GACAGAGAGAGATCAAGAGATTTTCTTTTTTTATTTTTTTCGAGGCCTCATCTTTTGTGTGTGTGTGTGTGTGTGTGTGTGTGTGTGTGTGTCTGGTACTGTTGTGCCCTAATTCACACGAGGACATCAGTGCATGAGTGAGTGAGTGAATGTATCCAGCGGCCTCCTCCGACTCAAAGTAACAGACAATTCTTGCAAGTCAGCCAACCAACCACCCGTGGATATCTGTGCTCTGTGTTGTGTTCTGGATAGGTCAGGTCAGGTCAGGTCAGGTCGGGTCGGGTAGCGAGTCAACGTCCTAGGTATTGCATGTGTTTGTGTATCTGGCTATACCATGCCAGACAGCCTTGCACTCGACCCTCGCGTCCAGAGAGTTCAGAGCCTACAATCCAGCGTCCAGTCACCAATACCTTTTCTTTACCTTTGCCTCGCCTGTCTCCCAGACGGCCAAAACCGGGGGACGCGGTCAAACAGAGCAGAGCAGAACGTGCCGCCACTATAGAACAATGGAACTACCTACGAGTACTCGGTACTCGGTACCTACCTCTCGCTACCGACCCTGTAGTTGTGCTTGTAGCGCCGCCGTAGACATGGGGGTACGCAATCCAATCCAATCGCTTAATTACTTAGTCCCCTATGTACCTAGTGTCTTTTGTACCTCTGTACGGAGTACCGACACGGCACTTCCCAATTCAGAGATTCCGGATCTGCATGTCAAAAGGACCTCCTCTGGCGCATCATCCCGGATTGCCCTATTGGGCGGTTCCGTCTCGCGCCCGGGACAGGGACCCTGTACTCGCGTCCTTGAGCACATGCACATCATGACTTCGGCAAAGGTTTCGTGGGTGGTCAGTCAGTCAGTCGGGCAGTCGGGTAATTGGGTAATTGGGTGGTCGGGTAGCTGGGTCTTTGGGTACAAAGAAGTAGAGAGGGAAATGGACTCTCGGATGTTTGAGAAGGATACATCTCTTCTTGCATTGGCCACTAGAGGACTGCGTGTGACATTTCACTTCTAGCACACATCTAACAATCTCTCCCGTCTGCTCAAGGCAAGGTCAGCTCAAGTCTGCTGGTGTGACTTGTTAGCTACACAGCCAACTACCCAGGCGCTGACAGACAGCCCTTCTGTCCTTCTCCCTCACCAACACCGCCAAAGCACTACAGCGCGTATATGTACTTTGGATGATAGTCGCACAGCTCTTCAATGTCCTTGGACGCCAGCGGATCCTCGATCCCTTGCGCCTCGTATTCCTCGGCCCGTCGTGTCTTGGCCGCGTTGGCTCGCTTGCAGATCTGGTACAGGACCAACACGCACACCACTCCGACGCCGTACAGGCCAAGCGACACCCCATGTCCCAGGATAAAGCGCGGGGGGTCACGGTACGTCTGCGTCGAGATGATGCTGTAGCTCTGCACGAAGATCTGGCTCATCCAGACACTCGTCGCGCGTTTGGTGTAGCCGCCGTGGCAGGGCAGATACCACGCCACGCCAATGGCCAGACCCGGGTACGCTCCCGTCGTCACGAAGCAAGCCCCGGCAACCAGGGCCACCTTGTTCGTCGTCGACAGCAAGATGATGAAGCCTGTGATGGTGGTTGAAAGGCACGCCAGGAGCACCATGGCCTTGCGCCCCAGTCGGTCGGCCAACCAGGAGCAGCTGAGGAGTCCAACCAGTCCAAATGCGTATGGAATCATCGAATACAGCTGCGTCTCCAAGGGTCCAAATCCGAATTCGCTGATAAAGGTCGGAAGAAAGACGCCAAAGGCACCGATGCCGACACCCTGGCATCCAATCATGGCAGCCCCGAGATAGATCTTGGGGTCTTTGAGCGCGATGATGACTTGTCGTGAGCGAAACTTGGCGCCCGCACTGTTCTGAGCTAATATATAACATTAGCTGGTGGTCAAGGGACACAATTCTCTGTGCCAACTTACAAGATCTCAACCTTGCGAGGATCAGCTGGCGCTGTCTGTGGTTACGGAACCCGGGAAAGTGTCCTTTGTTGGAGACGGTTTCGGGTAAGCCAGGGAGTAGAGACATGATCACGAACCCCATGCCCACTGTGATCACTCCCTCGATGATGAATAGCCATTGCCACGCCCTGATGCCCGAAGAGCCCTCCAAGTTCTTGCCTACACCGTAGGAAATAATACCACTGAATGCTCCAGCAACTGGCGTGAGTGAATAGATTAATGCTGTCACCTGTCAGCAATTTGCCACAGGGCGGCCTTTTCGTGGTCTCATCTGTGCTCACCTGTCCGTAATGCAAGTTCAGAGTGCTTGTACCACAGTGAAATAAAAATATAGGCGTTGTTGACAAACGCTTCCGCAAGACCAATCACCACGCGCAGACCCATCAAGGTGGCGTAGTGCTTGGCTTCAGCAGCAGAGGCAGCAGACACTCCAAAGATAATGACGGCGATCCCAAACACCCATCGCGGATGGAAATAACGCAGAGCCAGGCCTGCTGGCAGTTCAACGACCATATACCCCAGGACTGGAGAAACATGGCCCAAGTTAGCAAGCGAACTCAACCCACATCACCACAGCTGATGTTCGTGGAGGGAAGCAAACTCACAAAACATCATGACAATATTGTAGTATTGCTGAGCAGTGAGCTCGAGGTCCTTTTGCATCCCGAGGATTCGCGCGTTGCCGATGTTTCCGCGATCCTGCATAAAGTGTCACAATCAGGCTTCCTTTCTGCAAGAGCGGATCGATGCTTACCAGGTACCCAAAGAAGAGGGCTAGCGCGAGAAGCGGCAAAATGATCAAGTCTTGTTTCAGTACAAGCTTGCGTTCCTCTTTCTTCGTAAAGGACTCTATATGGAGCTGCTCATCCTGGGCCGTCTTGTCGACACCGATCTCAGCGCTTATCTCTTCGTTATGGAAGATCTCCACGTGGGGGACGAGATTCTTTTCCGTCTGTGTGGTCGACATGTCGGGCTGTGGGGTCCCTGCAAGAGATAGCTGAGAAAGATTCGGTTGACCGTTGTTGACACTTGCTCAATAATCTGGCGACGGGTAGTCCATTTATTATCCAAGGCCCAGGCTCACGACAGTTGCGATCATGGAATCCCCACAGAACGAACCCCAGAGTCCCCCGCCAACAAGACCGACCTTCGCATGCTGAGGCTGCCGAAGCCGCTGAATCTCGACCATCTTGATGAGTATCAAGGCGAATATCATTGGTATAGAAATCCGAAAGTCCGAGTAAGCGAAAGCCGAAAATCGCAGCTGTCGGAATTTCTCCTCGCTTCCCCGGCCTGTTTCCCCAGTTTCTTGAGATCCACAGCCAAAGAAAATTGGGCCACCAATGGAAAACCCATGATTGGACCATAAGCGATGGACATAACGGCATCTTCCCTCCTTCTCGAACACATCCCGGACGCGCCAGACCTGGTGACCCTCCTAATTGCGGAGGTATTGGTACTAGGGAGGAAACTGTTCGGACCTGTCTGCTGCAGCGAACGTGGATGGCAAAGTCTGCAAGCTGTGATATGCAGGGGCGAGATTGGGCTCCAACTCAGTCAAGTTTCCCAGACCTCCAGACCTCGAGTCCGCATCCTGGGCATAGGTGCCTGTGAAAATTTCGTATGACGGCCACCACAAATCCATGTTACCAAAGTCCGTAGAGGTCGGAGTCGCCTGAAGTGCCATACTCTCTTCGGACTCATCGCTCCGATTTTCTTTGTCACGTTAGCATGGTCTGGTTTGAAGAAAGCAGACGTGTCTCCACTGACCTTCATCTGGGTAGGGGTCTGGGTGTCCTTGGAATTCTTGCCGCCAATACCACCAGCAGTCATACAGCAAACTCATGCCTAGGCGACTCCTGCATTTCACCCGCACTTGGCCTGCACTCCGCCTGGTCTGCGCTTCAATCATCTTACCTGACCAGAGCTGGGACAAAATGACTGTGGCTCTCGAGTAAGCGTCGTCATGTCGGATCGAAAGTCTTTTGTGCAGGATGATGGTCTTGAAGTAAACTTCACGCCCTTTTTTGAGGTCCAGGGCTTCGCGTAAGCTCGACCTTGCAATCCTTAATATCACACAGGATGCCAGGAACATGATCCTCGAGAAGAAGGGAGGCGCATGCTCTGCAATCTTTTGTTTTTGATCCAGCTCCGCTCCAAGCTGAGCGAAAGCGACCGCAATGTCATATAGTTGAAACAGCGTCTCACTGCTGAGAGCCGATTGAGGAAGGAGCATGTGGAAGCAAGAGATCTGAAGCACGGCTCCGTCCAGGAGAAATTGATCTGGGTGCTATCAGCAAGCAAGGATTGAGGAGGGAGGGGTTCGGTTCCCTACCAAAGGAAGTTGGACTTCTCGTCCGTAGACTCTTCAAGTCGCTGACAATGTTTTCAATCTCTGACTTTAGAGCCACAATGTATGCATCGGACACTTTAGAATTCAAAGTCTTCTCGAGAGTTATGATGCCTTCACTGTGGGTAAGACAGAGTCGCCTCTGGAATTCGATGCTGGGGGTCAATGTCGCAGATAGTCTTTCGCTATATTTCTCTCGCTGATACGTGTCAGGGAGTACTGGCGGAGATACCCCAAACGCAATGTTTACTCTTGACAAATTTAGAGCCACGTCTCGATATAGCGGGAGAACTGGCATGGCTCACCTCTGGCAGACAATCAGGCAATTCACCCAGAGCTTGGCCCGAAAATCGACAGAATTTTGCCCACCCGGGTTGAGTCTCCTGCGTGAGAAGTCTTGACCAATCCCCCAAACGTGAAGACCACTGTTGATGGCCAGTTGTAGAGCCGCCCCTGCCAAAGCTGGAGAGGGGTCCCGTTCCAGAGTCTCTACCGGCATCGGCCAGGTACACAGTAGTGTGAATGACTGGATGGTGGCGATAACGTCCTTGCAGGAAAAAACCGCATCTTTGGCCAACTCCATGACCATAGGACCGATTGCAATGATCAACGTGGGATCGCGTTCAAAACGCATACTCCCAATCGCTAGAATGGTCCAGAAGAGCAAGGGAGAGTAGACGTAACAATCATCCGGACGCAATGAAGTCTCCAGTATCGGCACGTAGGAAAGGTAATGCTGTAAGAAACTGTCACGGGAAGTTAACGCCACCTGAGAGAACAGTTGGGAGATTTGATACAGACATCTGGAAGCAAGCGTCAACATCCTCCCCCGACACTGATAGATCTTGCAAGGCGCGCGGTAGTGATGTCGCCGACGCATGTGGCAGGGGAGGGTCTTGGGCATTTCTGTACGACAGAGTTGGTTCTTCGGCTGCGATTTCCCAGGCTTGAACCTCCTCTGCCGAGCCCTCATCACGGAACTGGGTCAAGACTGGTGAAGTGTCTGGTTGCAAGCCCTCATAAGCTTGCTGGAAAGAAACATGGGGACTAGGCTGACTTGGAGCTGAATGCTTCTCTCGTCGAAGAGAGTCGATTTCCGCCAACAACTCATACATCCTCCACAGAGTTAGCGAGAAGGATCGCAAAAACGACAGCAACAGGCTCGGGAAGAATTACTTTGGTCGTCCGACCCGGCGGAAATCGTGTGAAATGATGCATTCTATATTGCGAAGGGAACACCTGGAACATGGTTTGGTGGAATTCCTGGTCGCATCGCACTTTAGCTGTAAGGAGGTCCATTAGTAGCGAGCTCCGGTGCTGGGAGGGGAGTTTACCTTGTTCTGCCTGCAATAATTGCAAGCTCTGATCCTCGACCGTTTCCCAGGCTCTGGGGTGGCTGCCTCCATCAGGTTACTCTGGTCTGATGTCGATCTGCATCACAAAGGATATAAACAGTAGCAGTAGGGAGGCTCAGATGTAGTCAGTCAGCTGTGCGCTGAGGGCAAAAAATAGTAGAACAGGTTGGCCAGGCTAATTGGTAGAGGTGTTCCGGTCGAGTATGAATTTCAGTTCAGTTCCAATTCAGCGCAGCGCAGCGCAGCGGGGAAGAGAAAATGTATGGGGGACACACGTGACATCCATTCTTTATGATACGCATGTGACTTGGACAATTACAAGGGTAATATAGTACTCGATAGGTTATGGCTAGATACAAGATCAGCCTCGGCAGTCTTCAGGAACGACTTGCCAACTGGTTGAGCCAACTGGTTGAAGCAATCAGTCTGAAGATATAGATACTGGATGGTGGACTCGGCACACAAGGGAAAACCACATGTTATTGCAATCACTATATCAGATCATAGGTACCCAGTCGCATGGTTTCCACACAGTCACAGTCCTCCTCAGGGCTCAAGGAGAAGATAGATTGTCAACTCCCGAACATGGCCCGCGTCGAAGGGTCGTGGTCCTCTATCGGAACCATCGTGTCTCGACGGTGCCCACCTTTTCCACCACCATGTTTTCCCCCTCCTTCTTGCCATCCCAGACCGCATTCCGACCAGTGATCTTGATCCGGCCATTGCTCCATGCCTTGCTGGTCGGTGCGTTCTGCGGCTCGTGTGCCATTTGCACTCCGGCCTCTCTCAGCACGGGGCTCTCATCGAGCAGGGTGTTGATGACCACCTCGTCGTTGGGCACGCAGAAATAGAAGACGCTGCAGCGATTGTGTCCGCGCTGGTCCTCGGGAGGCTCAACAACTCGGTGGATTGCCGCCTTGAAGTAGTCACCAGTCCACCACTTGAAGATCTCACCAGCATTGACAATGACGGCACCCGGGACGTGCGGCACATAGGTCCACTCGGAATTGTTGTCGTAATCGCGAACCTGGAGGGACGACATGGGCTGGCTGAATAGGATAGACAAGCTTGTAAAGTCTTGATGACCACCGAGCCAGAGGCCGCCCGTCACCTTTTTCTCTTCGTCTGTATATTCGTCATAATACTCCATGTATCGTAGCCACGTCTCGTCATGGCCCTCGTAGCGATGCAGCTTCACGAAAAACTCCTCGTCTGTGATTTTCAAAGCGATGGCGAACAGGCGGAGAAGCTTGTAAAGAATCTCCTTGTGGGTGTACTCAATGAAGGACTGAATCTCAGGCTTGTAGGGCTCCATAGTCTGCAAACCGGGTTAGGCAATTCGAGCAGGGCGCTTCCAGTTATATCAGACTCACAGATGGCTGCTCTCGGAGAGCCATGTCACGATAGATATTGAAGTTCTCGACTTTGTCACGGACGTTGCCCTTGGCGATCCAATGCCCGCGAGGCTTGAAGCCATGATAGGAACCTTCTTCCACAATAGGTGCTTTCAACCTGTTCTTTTCCTCATCCGAGGTCCTTGCCAGGATAGTGTGGCCAATATCGACTTGGCGTGAGATGTCTTCCTCATCAAGACCGTGGTTGACGAGGATAAAAAACCCTTGCGTGGTCATTGCAAGTCTCACCTCTTCCGCCAGTTCTTTGCGGGCATCGGGACCATCGTCGTAGCGACTCAGGTCCACGGTGCGCAACTTGACAAAGTCTTTGACAAGCTTCGAGGGCTGGACAGGCACAAAATGCTCAACCTCGGGCAACGACTTTGAGATCATTTTTGGATTTCGTAAATGGTGAAGTAGCAAGGTCGATACTCAGAGTATGCACGTGAATGGTTGTAGTGATGATAAGTTGCACCTTTACATCTGTGGCGGCCTCTAAACACTATCCAGGTATATATGCTGAACCATTGTTGCTCACTCCACCTCCACAATGTTCATAACGCGTGGGTACCACTGCTTCTCTGCCGATACATCGATCACAAGTCCTTGATTCGGACTATTCGGAGCTGCCGAATTCCATTGTTGGTGATATCTGCGCGGAGAAGTTATAGATGTATCTCTCATTCGCCCTGAAACATGTCGGTCCCAGGATGATGCGCATTTTCCACTGCCCCAATAGGAAGAGCACAGAAAATAGTAGAAAGGATATTCTGGCCTTCCACAACATGAGCAGAGCTGCGAAAGCCGAAATTCGGAAATCCGCACCACGGCTCCTATAGCCATGGGTCACGCATCACAACCAAGATGTCCGAAATGCGCATTTCGGAGCACTGGTCGACGGATTTGCAAGTCAGAAAACTCCAGCGCTTGCTTTGCGCCCTCTGTACCCTCGAGGTAGAAGGGGTGGGGGATCAATCCGCATGGAGAGCAAATCAGCCTCGTTTAGAAAAGATATCGTCAATTCTTATACGCTTCGTAAGCACCAGCACAATCGCTCGACATCCCTGAAGACCTCATTTGCTTTAGCTTTGTGGCCACCATAGCAACAGCAATAACAAACCATTGTGCCGTTTCAATATTTCTTCTTCACGAACATGGCTAACAGCGCGAAGAAAGCCTCCAATGGCGTCCAACAGAATGCGTCGTCGTCGGAAGAAGTGACTGTTGCTTTGGCCAGATTTGTTGCATCGTTCTCACAAGACGCTGTTACCCCAGAGATTGTAACCAAGCTCAAGGCATTGCTGCTCGACTATCTCGGAGTTTCTGCATCTGCGGGCGCCTTTGCCGAATCCAGTCCCAAGTTTTTGGCAGGAATCGCAAAGTTCTCGCAAGGTGCCACAGGCAGCTGCACTGTTTTGACCAAGGGCTCGACGTTTCTGCCTCAGTATGCAGCACTTCTGAACGGAGCTTGGTGTCATACGTATGATTTTGACGATACAACATCCGAAGCGATCCTCCATCCAGGGTGTAGCCTGATCTCCGCTGCTTTGGCCGAGGCCGAAAACCTCAACGCAACTGGAGCTGACCTCCTCGTGGCTCTGGCGGTGGGCTATGAAGTTGCCTGTCGCATAGGAACCGCCCTCGGACTAGGTTCATACCGCAGAGGATTCCACAATACAGGCACGGTCGGTCTGTATGGATCAATCGCAGCCATCAGCAAGCTCCGAGGGTCTTCTCAGCAGACTGTCGAAGATGCATTCGGTCTCGCGCTCTCCAAAGCCGCTGGATCCATGCAATTCTTGGAAAATGGCAGCTGGAACAAACGTCTTCATCCTGGATTTGCAGCTCACGATGCGCTCCTCTGCATCAGCTTGGCCGAGGCTGGAGTTATCGGCGCCACCAAGGCGATTGAAGGTAAATACGGGCTTCTTCACTGTTACTCCGAGTCGGGCAACCCTATCAATTTGACTCGTGACCTAGGAAAGAGGTGGAGTTTCCTCACAACGGCATGTAAGCCATTCCCAGCATGCAGAATGACCCACGGCCAGCTAGAAATGGTTGGGAAAATGCGCAAAGCCTATGCAGCTCATGGACCGCCGGAGCAGGTGACAGTTTTTCTTCCTCCAGGATGTTTCCCTATTGTTGGGACTCCAGCTCCAAACAAGATCGAGCCAGATTGCATCGTCGACGCTCAATTTAGCTCGTACTATCAAGTCGCTGCTTCGTGGCTGTACGGCAATGACCTTGGCTGGGCGATATACGACAAGATTCGAGACGAGAAGGTCCGCGAACTTGCCCGCAAAGTCACTTGCAAGATTGATGAGTCATATTGCAGCCTCGAGTCTCGACTGAAGGTGGTATTCGGGGATGGAACTATCGTCGAGGATGAAGTAATCTTTCCCCTTGCAGAGCCCCAGCGTCCATTTGAATGGGACACCGGTGTTCAGCAGAAGTTCAAAGGTCTCGCAGAGCCTGTTTATGGGGCGACAAAGTCCCAACAAATCTGTGACTTGGTTGGCCGGATTGATGAGGTCGCTGTAGTCGATTTGATGAAGCTGGTTGCCTAGCCGTAAGATGCTCTCTTGAATGCATCATGGAATAGACCAATAGCCAAGGCGTTTGATAAGACAATGAGTGCAAAGGCTCTCGCAGGTCGAACAGGCGACTTCGCACTCTTTATCTCCTTCATCTCACGCATTGGCACTCTGTGAGTGTTTTTGCAGGTTGAGCAATGTAGTCAGCGGCCCGGCTGGTGTGTCATACCGATCCATGTGAATTTCTACCATTCTCAAACCTGTTCCATCGGTGAGTTTCTCGTTATTCAGTGCCCGCTCGAGCTCGCCATACGTCCTAGCGGACGCGGTGAAAGCGTTTTCTGGAGCCCCAAAAAGTTTGGGTGCTTCTAGGTAGCGCCACGCGGATATATCGTTGTAAGCTTCTTTCATACCATGGATGCAGCGCTCTATCGTGTATCCATCATTATTGATCAGAAAAACCACCACGTTGAGATTGTGTCTGATGACAGTGGCGAGCTCCTGGGCTGTCATTTGAAAGCTGCCATCGCCAATAAAGAGAATGGTTCGAGCGTGCTTAAGGTCGTGGTACTTCGATGAGGCTATTAGTTCGCGCTGAGCCAATGCCGCACCCTGACATGCTGGCAGCATGTATCCGATGGAAAGCCAGGTGACAGGAGTGGAGAGTCTTGTGTGTTTAGGCAGGAGCATTTCTCGAACGCCATATCCCGCTGTTCCTGTTTCACCGAAGATGATATCCCCAGGCCGCAAGAAGGAGTTTATGAGACGCCAGACTTTGTCTTGCTCGATAGACGTGTTCGTGGGAACTTCTGAGAACGATAAAGGGAGAATGCGTGGAAAGGTTGGATGGGTGGTGTATTTCTTAAGTCTTTCCGAGTTCCATTTCTGTAGTACTTGGGTAAGTGCAAATGCTGGCGAAATGTCGCGATGGAGGATATCCCCAATCTTGATGCCATCCCAGGTAAAGTAGATGCAGACCGCTGATTTCGGCACACCAGTCCAATTATATGTGTTGGTCGAGCTGAGGTGTGGTCCAAAGTACAAGGCCAGATCTGCCCCGTCGATGAAAGCTCTCGTACGAGGGTCTGCGAAGCTCCCGGCATAGATACCATGGACGTTTGGCAATGTCTCATTGGCAAGGCCTTTGCCGGATAGTGTCGTGAATGTAGGCCATGTCGTCGAAGACACGATTCTTTCAATGTGTTCCAAAATTCCCAGCGCTCTCGCTTCTCCGTCCACGAAAATGAGGGGCTGTTCTGCACTATACATCCTGTCGAGGACTTTGTCTAATATCGCGTCGTACGCAGGACTGTAGAGTGTTCTTGGGATCTCCATCTTCTGAGTAAGCCTTGCTGCGACCACCGGGGCTGACACAATATCCAGAGGAACTTCAATGTAGACTGGTCTGGAATGTAATATGCATTGTCCCAGGACGTGATCGATTTGCTGAGGTGCAGTAAGCGGATCGATCAGATTGGTCTGTGCCACGGTAATGTGTGATTGCATCTGGGCAAAGTGTCGGTAGTCACCATCCCCAAGAGTGTGGTGTACCATCAAACGGGAGGCTTGGGTGTTTCGGGGAGGTGTGCCCACTATATGTACAACTGCTGCCCGCTCTGTAAACGCACATGCTATGGCATTGATGGCTGATAGCTCGCCGACACCAAATGTGGTAACCAGGGCTCCGACACCTTTGATACGCGCATACCCGTCCGTGGCATACCCGGCATTGAGTTCGTTGGTATTACCCACCCAGAGGAGGTCAGAAGGGACAACATAGTCCAGTAAGTGAAGATTATAGTCTCCAGGAATCTGTTCAACCTCTGTTAGCCCGTTCTGTCGAGTAGATAAAAGAAAGTGGCGTCTCGAGGGTAAAACACTCACGCCGTGAATTGCGCCCACACCTAGTTGCTTGAGGCGTGTGAAGAGATATTCTGCAACTGTTGTAGTTTCTGACATGGTTTCGAGGGTATATGCAAGACCTTGCGGATCTCGGGAGCAGCTGGTAGCAGGGTGTGTTGTCTGACAGCGGTTCTCAGGGTGATACTGGGGTTTGTCAGAGGCTTGCGTAGGTGTCGGTTCGAACACTGACCACCAACTTCTTGTGCAGGAGGGGAAATAAAGAGGTCCTGACGTTACCGCCAGATCAATTGAAGCCAATATCTTTCTGAAATGATATAACGCAGGGTAAAATATGCGCAGCACGAATTGAGTGCCACAACTACCGTTCAGTGTGATGGAATGCTGCCGTTCATACCCAAACAGAGACTAATGGTCACCACGCATGAGGTGCTGGAGGCGATACACACCAGTATTGCCCGCTGTAGGGATTTCCGGTCTTGAGAACGAGGCGAAGTTTACAGTATTGCTGGTGGTACAATGCCCTGGCAGTTTGCTGTCGCAGGGCGGGGGAGGAGGCGGACAACACGGTTTCGGTTTCGGATTTACTATCCTCCGTCTTTATGATGTCATTAGGAGCAGCACATTTGAGGTTGGGTAGTCAATATGGCCCGTATGGGTAGTGCAAGACATGGCAGCAGCATTACATAGATGAAGGCAATAGAAGGTCAGGCTACAGTGCTTCGAGGGGGAAAATAAATGTGAGAGATGTGGTATGATAAGGTGTGAGTGGCCCGATCATTGAATCAATCGCAAGTTCAAACTATTCATTCATCAATCTTGCTCGTCGCATGCTCAGTTTCTCAGTATTTCGGATTGCTGTAACGTCAAGCATACGTGGCCTCTTCACGGCCGAAATGTTGGAGCTTGTTCCCAAATCTCACAGCTCCTTCTGTCACCAGGCCAGCACAACGATAAATGTCGGTGAAACGATCGTAAGAAGCAAGCACCTGGTACCTTCCTTGCCTTCCCTGGTCTCCCAGATACTGACCTACCCACTGGATTTTGATCCGGCTGAAATTCGAAATTGATCTCATACACAATACCGCCAGGAGCTAATGGATACAGGTGATGGTTTCCCCATTGCAAACGTCCTCGGGCGCCGACGAACCAAAGCATCACTTATACATCATTCGAATAGGATATACATGTCCATTCTGGGTGTATACCGATAGCAGCACGACACTGCTAGGGGTTCAACTCAATCCATCATGAAATCGCCACGTAACATTCTCTCGCCCAGGGCATCTGGCTTCTTCATCAGTTTGGCATTCGGCGCCTCAACAGGCCTTGGGATCTCCTTTGGCGGCTCAGGGTTGGAGATGCTTGCAGAGCGAGGACGAGGGGCCCCTTGGCCAAAAGGATTGCCGGAAGAAAAGGACGGGGAGCGTCGGGTTCTGTCACGCAGGGCTTCGGACCAATTGAAGCCTTCTCCTGTTAGACGTCAGTGATATGCAAAACGAACCCAATTTGATTCGTATGGTTGACAAGAAAAATGAATAAGAACTTTTGAGAGGTATAAAAGGGACAGGCCTCGACTCTTACCTGCAGTCTTGGCCGTCCCCGACGTATCTCGACGTGATGGAGTGGCATTTTCAGAATTCTCATTCAGTGTAAAAAGGGAGGAGGAGGGGCGCCTACCACCGCCAGAAGCACCAGGGCTCCCTCCTAGTCTAACATCTCTTAAAGCTTGTGCTCCGAAACTGACCCGTCTGGCAAAAGATGGCGAAGAGGGAGGGTGTAAGGTAGCCCGCGATGGGTCATCCTCCTCAATAACTGCAGGCTCATCCCCGAAACTGTTTTTGAAATCTGGAGAGCTTGATACGGATGAGGTGGCAACACTCGCTCGTCGTTGAAGTCCAAAGGCATTGAGAGGGGTCTGGTTGGAGGGGTTTGTAGTGAGGCCTAGAGCGGTAATTGAGGTGCCTCTTCGGTGTTGTGGCACAGTGGGAGTGGAGGGGACACCCGAAGACGGAGGAGACGAGGACATGGCAGAAGGGGAGGAGCTTGACCGCGGGTTGAACATATCAACAAACGAAGAGCGACGGCGATGTTGTGGAGGAGGGGGCGAGGGCGGAGCAGGGTGGCGGTCAGACATTGTGAGAAGCTGACTTGTATGGGATATTGTAGGCGTCCTGAAGGAGATGAAACTCAAAGAGTGAAGAATGTATTTTGTATAGGTCCGATTTCTAGCTGTGTTCTTGACAACGTTGGGTGAAGTTCGAGAACTAGAAGGTCAGGTACTGTCTGTAGGACAAAGGAGTTGTCCCCCCCAGTCACGTCATTGTAGCGTGAGCAGCCTGCGGTTGGTGGGGATTTGTGTTTCAGGCGGAACGGGAGGAGACAATGGCGGTAGCGACGATCAGAATGGCTCAACAGATGGTTTTTCGTAGTTTGGGGTGTTGAGGCACAACAAGGATGGCTATGAGAGACGTGAGCAAGGGAGAGAATAAGTAGAAGTGAAGGGGGAAGAGGGACGACAATTTACATATGTAAGTCAACTCGGAGGGAAGGGCCAGAACGCACAGACCCTACGAGGTACGTACGAGGTACCGATTACAGATAAACGCATCACCCACACCCACACACACACACCACTTGCAGCTGGGGAGAAGATGCTCACACTCTACTCGTAGATTCCTAGCATGACAGCTCGCTTTCCTTTTCCTGGGCAACATTTGGGCTTCGATAAACACGTAGCCAGCTCTGATTCTGACGCCCAATTGGTTGGTCATAGTGGCGCCAAAGCAAGCAGCAAGTAGTTGGGTTCGGGGGAAGCATCCACAGGGAATGGGCTGCATTAGCTCACTAGGCCATCCCCAGGCCGTGCCGGCTGTTCCACAGCCTGGAGTCGCCTACGACTGGGCGTCATTCGCCCCTAGTGGCCTCTTGGAAGCAGGGCCCTGGCACCCACTGCCAATGATCGGCGCCTACTGTGATGCCTGGAGCTTGGCGTAGAGGCACAAAGTGTGGGGTAAAGGCTGCGAAGCATTCAGAAAACAAACATCCTGGCATCTAAGGCTCCAATCATCACCCCATCCATCTATCATCGGCCATCAGCTGCGCACTTGTTCATTTTCCTCTTTTCTCCATTCCTCTCCCCGGAACCTTGCTAGACAGAACGACCCTCCTATGGGCACGGGTATGGGCAATACTCGTACACGCCACTTGACACGCGACATTCTTCACAGGTCGTTGTGGTTTCCCTCCTTGTACGAGTCTGACACACACCAATCCGCCATGCGCGCCCTTTGAGTAGCCGTTTCGGATAACTCTCGGCCAGGTTATATGATGAACAACAAGAAGTACCTCTTCCAACGACTAATTATGCGCATATGAAAACGTCCCTTTCCGGGGCCTTCGGGGCCGTCTACGTACCCCTTTCGCAGCGCTTCTCCTACCACCCTGTCAGCTGAGTGTCCGGGTGCTTGCGGAGCACTTTCGCCTTATTACCCACCAAAGTCTCATCTTTTCTCGCACGCAGCGCAAAGATGTCGCAATACCTCGTCAAGGACTACACAGAGCCGGTTGCCGTTGGAATGCAACATGGTTGCTATGCTGTGAAGGGGACAATGCGCCCATGATGCACTATTCCCAAGGCGGATAATGAACTGAACTGCATCCGTCGTAAAACTACTACAATGCCGCTTTCTATATGTCTAAATCACCGAATGCAGCTGCTGGGACTGGTATTGATGCATGCGACCAGGTAAAGGAAATTCCCTTTGTGTTGAGCAAGACTCAAGGTAGGTGTTGATTTATTTCCTTCGTGCTCACCACTTTTGGTGTTTTTTTTTTCCCTCTGTTGTTTTTAGATTTCTCTCTTCGTGAAAGGACATGGCTCCCAGAATTGATCGCGGCGACTCCAGGCGCCATGCGCCTCGAGCGGCGAGACCCCCACATGTTTCTTCCAATGTGCAACCCCGAATGGTCCAATCTTCGCGGCGTTTGGCGAGAATCGGTACTATCACGCAGCTGGAGGGGCTGGCTCACAGCCCCTCTCCTCGGTCACGTCGGTCTCCGACCTCGAGGGGAAATATCCATCTCTTGGGTGCGACAGTAAGGGAGGAGCAGCGTGGAGAGCTAGGACGGTTACGCTCAGTCATCAGGAGACTCGAGGACGGTCGACATGCGTCCATCAATCGATTTATTCCACCAGAGCAGGACGCGGCGGAGGTCCTCGAGCTACCAGAGATCGACAGTGACAGCTCGCCCGAAGAAGTTGAGAATATGATTGCACACATGATCGACTACTTCTTGAAGTGGACTGATGAGACGCTTATCGAAGGACCGTCAACTATCTTCCACGACATCAGACTTATTCACGCCTCGCTGCAAAGTGTCATGGAACTGCCCGAAGAGGTGATCTCTTCCTCTGTGGTCCACAGCGCGCTCAAGACTTTCAGAAAACGGCACGAGGCTTTCGTCAGCATTTGGGCTCAAGCTATTCATCGCGCCCTCGTCGGCAAGCTCCTGCAGATCGAATCACAGCTCAAGCACCACCCAGCGGCCGTGACGGAATCAGTGTTCACTTCGATCGTGTTGGATATTCGCACCGCATCTTCAAGTTATGCCTTGCTGGTGCTGCTAGAGTCCGATCAGGATAGTATCCCATTGCTCTTGTCTAGTGGTGCAGCGACAGAGTTGTCGGACCGCTGCGCTCGCTTGCATGGGGTGTTCCAGAATGCAACCTACAATTCCGAACAGAAGGAGCTCTGGCTCCTGATCTGGAGAGACTTGAAGACTGTCTTCACTTCTTTTGACCAAGGGGCAGTCCCGACATCTCCTACCAACATCGAGCGCGATCGCATATTCTTCGAGCTGCCTGGAGTATATCGTGAATTCAAGCGCCTGATCAGCTCACCGGATGCAGCCAATCCCAGAAGTATCGAAGATATGGTTGGAAAATACTGCCGATACATCTTCCAATGTCAAGTCGACCCAAGCAACAAATACGAGTCCCTTCAGCGACCACGAAACGCGCCTTTGGAAAGCCACACCAAAGAAGCGTTGAGAGAATTCATTGAGACCGGGAAATTCGAGACAAGCACACTCTCCAAGATTCATTTCGCGGCCTCGCGGTTCAACACAATTAGCGGAGGGCCGGTCAAGGTCAGACGATGGCAGCATGATGCCGACGACGGAGAATGGGAGACTGTCGAATTGGATGTGCTCTCCCCAGCCTCGATGCACATTGCGGAAGGGCTACCTGACCACTCGACTGTCCCTTTGAGTGCACGATCGAGGTCGTCCGTTGCCGGCCTTGACGATGCCGAGTCCTTTGTGGGTGCCACACAGAAGCAGTCGAAAGGCATGTTCTCATATCCCGAGGGGATCAACATGAAAAGCGCGTTTGACTATGTCTACTACCCTTTTCCCGAGACACGGGCTCATGAAATTGTCCAGCACGAGCAAATTTCCAGAGAGATGGGCCAGCCCGGAATTGTCTCAGAAGGTCCACGAGCTGACTTTCTCGTCAATCGACCTCCCCGTCATGCTCGCGATCCTGCCAATATCTCAGTGTCCAACAGGCTATCCAGTCCATTCGAATGGATCCGCTCAGCGATAGGGCAACTTCTTCCACAGAGACGCCGTGTTTCTGATGCGAACCGCCCAACAGTCAGCACTCTTCCTTCACGTCCTTCGCAAAGACTTGCATTGAAACCACGGCCTCGTCCCATTGACCCAAAAGCAAGAGTGCGCAAGTCCACCTCTGTCGCAAGTCCAAGTCTCAAACTTCGTGGAGGAGGGCCTCCACCTCATCGGTTAACGCCATCATTGCACAAGAAAAGTACTTTCGATCCACTAGCATATCGACGGATGACGATAGAAATCTTTCGAAGAAGGCTTAAGAGCATTTATGGGCCCGACATTTATCCCGACGAGAACGAAATGTTACGGCTGTTGAAGCAAACGACCTACGATGTTGACAAGGCAGTAAAATTATACTCGGGAGCGAGTGACAGAACCGTTAGCCCGGTCGGAGACACCGCTGATGAGCAACATCGACGCATTCGTTTCTCTCATCAACCCGAGAGCCGGACTAGTCAGCGTCAACGACTCCTTGACCAGAATTCTATGAATCATAACACGGAAGTATATGCTTACCGAATGGATACTCTCGCCGAACCCGGTGCTGAATTGTTTGATTTTCCCCCAGGCAGTGACTATGACGGCATTAACCAACACTATCATGGTGCTGGGCAGCCTCCCACCAGGCCAGTGCTGGGCGAACTTCCCGCGGCAGCGGACCCTGACGATGATAACCCCGACGAAGACAGCCCTCAACCAAGTTCCGATCGAGAAAACCATGGACCTAGGTCCTCCCAGCCGTCTCAGCCTCCTCACAGCTCTTCTTCTCCTGAACCATGTTCTTCACGCTGTCACCCTTGCCCCAGGTTTGCAGGCCAATACCACCACGTGTGTAGACATGCACGTGTTGTGGAACCCGGAACGCCGCCACCGTTCAATATCCACGAGGACGAGGCCTCTGATGATGGGCCAAATCAGAATCCGGGCTTGCGGGCGAATCAGGCTGTAGTCGGTGCCATGACACAGGCAGTGGTCCAGGCGCTGACCCAGACTGTGAACGAGACTGTGACCCAAGTTGTGAATCAGGTTATGAACCAGGTTGTGGCACAGGATGGCGAGCAAGATGATGAGCAAGGTGAAGAGGAGAGTGAAGAGAGTGAAGAGGAGAGTGAAGAGGGGAGTGAAGAGGAGAATGAGGAGAATGAGGAGCAGGCCGCGAGTCAGAATGCAGGTAACACTCCCCATACCAGACGACCACCCAGGGAAGAGCCACGAGACGACGACAATCGAGATATCGCCAAAGTATTTCAGACGGACCCGGGCTACAAGGGCGAGCTGAGTGACCTTGGTATCGACGGATTCCTCCATCAAGCTGTTGCAGCCATGTATGCGCAAAAGCCGAATTGGATTAACAATGACTCGGTACGGCGGGACGTGCATATGATAATGGATGGATTGGTAGACAGGATTATGGAGCTGCGAGACCAATATCTCGTGTTGCTGGAGGCTGGCCCGACGCCTTTCATGGAAGCGATATCGCGAAATGACATCCGACATCCAAACCCGGACCACCCTGCCACGGTCATGCTCTGCAGAAGGGCGGCTAGGGATGTGCGACAACATTATGGTCGACTGTACCAGTTCTTTGACGACAGGCATTTGCGAACCAATCTTGGATTCCGCCACCAGTTTAATCGGCTCATTGTAGCAGTGAGGGAGCTACGATATCTTTTCCTGGAGTACGCCCAGGTGCACGAGGCTGAGGACGCCCCAGGCACGCAGCAGCAGAATGGTCATGGAAGTGGAGCGGCGAACCAGACAGGCAATCAAGAAGAGGACACTGACGATAGTCAGTCGGACTCCCAGAACACCCCTTCGACGCTTGACACCGCACGGCTGGCGAGACGTCGAACTTCACCCAGACGCCACAGGATTGTCCCGACGCGGCAGGAATACGAGCTGATGTTTGTGGACGAGCTGGAGCGGGAACTCCGAAACCGCGGATTCACCAACCTCGAACAAGCATTGGGGAAGAAGAGATGGCTCAAGGCCGACCTGGTGAACAAACTCATGGCGCTCGACCAAGAAGGCAATCATCTTGGTCATGGGGCCGACGAAGGGTATCGCCATATCACCGGAAACTTGACAGCTCGGAGTCGACCAAAAGGGTTCAACTTGGACCATGCGCTCCAAATATATAATTTGACCAAGCGGGCTAGGCGCGGTCAGGAGAAGAAGCAGAGGAAAGAAGCAAGGCGACAGGCGAGGATCGCACGAGGGATACATTCGCCAGCGCCGGTGTTGCCAAGGGTTCAACCGAATCCAGTGCCGTTGCCTGTACCTCGTCCGGTGGTTAGGGCCAGCAGTCCGGACGTCGTGGGTCAAGATTCCGAGGACTCTGACACTGTGAGTGTGGACTTTCGCCGACCGTAGTAAAAAGGAGAGCGTTGGGCAGAGGTAGCCAGGCCTGCGCGAGCAGAGAGAAGCGTGGATGGAATTGTCTTTCATTCTGTTTGTATCGGGTAGACTAGTTAATCTTTTAGAAGTATGATGAGTCGTTACCCGTTGGTTGACGGGTAGCAATTTCAATCTCGCTGATCTTTTGTTCAGTACAAGTATTTGCGAGACTGACCGACTGATGATCTCCTCGTAACCGGCGACGGCGTGTGTGCCAGAGGGAGCATGAAACCTGATCGACATTCCAACCAGTACCAGTACTCATGGAGTACCTACGAGTGTACTCACAGAGAGTGATTTTGTGCGCGTGATCTTTCTTTGAGGGGTAGGTGATCCATCGAGAGATATGTGTATATATGTGCGTATGCGTATGTGGATGTAAGTATTTACATGTGTACTCAGTCCAAGGTAAGAGGTATACCTACCAAGACTGTTTCCTCTCTATGATGAAACTCATATTCATGTCCACGGTGGGGATCAGCACACTCTTCAACCCGGAAATTACTTTTCTCTCCTCTCCTCCTCTCCGGAGCATCTCCCCCATACGCCCCGTCGCAAGGCTACTCTGTGCTGCGCTCGAGGCTGTGCTGTGTCATGATTGGTCCCACCACCAGCACTACCACCACGGATGACGTCATATCATCCTCTAAAACACTAGTCCTAGTAAAAAAGATGGAGGTAGGGATTCAGCCTCGCAGATCCTTCTCCGGCCAAGAAGCGAGGGGGATTTAAGGGGTGCGTGGGGTTCTTCGGCCTGAAACACGCTTGACGGGGGCCTTGCGGGCCTTGACGGTCGGTTCTAAAACATAACAGAGGACAAAGTTTCTCATGGTTCCTTGTCTCGAAATTTTCAAACTTCGTTGGTCTTTGACGGTAACTCGTACTCGGACTCGGTAGATCCTCAAAGGTAGGTAGGTAGGTACAAGTACCGATACCGACCAGGGACCAGGCACCAGGCATCAGGCACAGAGTTATTGTTAAGTGTCTGGGGGGATCTTGGCTCGTTCCATCTACCTAGGTACCGATCCTTTCAAAGAGAGAGAGGGAAAGGAAGGGAAGGGATGTGATCACCAGGGATGAATTGGGATGTGATGGGATTTTCCTGAGTTGATGCGCAGAAACCACCATTCCCAGTGTGCCAGTACTGTACACACCGAGTAGTACATAGTAGATAGTACCATAGTACATATTTACTGTAGTAACCTCTTGGTACCTCATGCCGATACTGTCCCTCATATTCACAAGTCGTTTCCCTGATCTTCGTGATCTTCTCACCCTAGTCACCCCTGGTGCCCAGCGCCCAGATCGTCGGAGAATTTTAACGAATTACCAACGACGACAAGGGGGGGAACTTGTTCCTGGCCCCCACTTCCATCCCCTGCACATCAAACGCGAACCGTTCCCTTCCTTTCCTCGTATGGTACCTGGACGCCCCATGCGGAGACAACGATCAGCCCAGTTCCCATACGGGTATACAAGATTAATTTGGGGCCTTTTTTCTTCGACTGTGTTTTTTATTGGGAGGGGAAGACGCCAAGGTACAGCGGAGATAGTTTACCATTATGGAGTAAGGTACTAGGGACCAGGGACTAGGTACTAGCAGATGAGACGCGAGCGAAGAGCGAGAATCGAGGCAGTGAGGCAGTGAAGAAAAATAGACGAACGAAGAAAGAAACCTTGGGCAGGGAAGATCCCAACTTCTGAATTCCCTGGGCAAATTCACCTTGTGAGTAACTCGTAAGGGGGGATGGGAAAAAAAGGATTTGATATATATAAAACGTCGACAATCCCCCCGTATTCGCTCGCCTTGAAAATCCCTTCTTTCCTCCTTTTCTCCTTTTTTCTTCATCCACACACACACACTCTCTCTCTCTCTCTGATATCCCCTCTCATACCCTCAGACTCTCATACCAACTCAAGTCTGTCCTTGTCCTTGTCCGTCTAATCCAGTCATTCACTCACTCATCCACCCACTCATTCACTCCTTAACAAGTCCTGCTGGCAAAGATTATAAGACACCACACACCACACACCACACACCACACACCACACACCACAGACAACACCGATCAACCACCTTGACCGTCTGTTCCCTTTCCATCAATCAATCAATATTACCAGAACACTTCCACCCCTAGAACAATGCGTCTCCCCAGCGTCCTCCTCGCCACCCTCGCCCTGGCCAGTCCCCTCGCCCGCGCACAGGACCTCGACTCGCTCCTGGCGGACGCGACCTCTCTCGTCTCGAGCGTCGTGTCGGCCATCGGCACCGACACGGCCACGGAGCCGCTCATCACGAGCATCGAGTCGGCCATCCAGAGCGCCACCAGCGCCTTGTCCCTGACCGGCGACGCGGGCAGTCTGGTCTCCTCGTACATCTCCGAGGCGAGCACGGCCCTCGCCTCTGCGACGGAGACGGGGACGGGGACGGGGTCGGGGTCTGCGGCGACCACTGGGACGGCATCGACTTCGGCTGATGGCTCAGCCGCGACGGGTGGAGAGGACTCCGGCAACGCGGCGGCAGCCCTGTCGGCCGCAGGCGTCTTTGTGCCCGCGGCTCTCGTCGGTGTTGTGGCTCTGTTGTAGCCGGCCAGTCGGCCAGTCAGCTAGCTAGCCAGCAAACACAACACCCGACAAGCGGGATTGGAATGGCCTCCGTTCAGGACGGGTGTGTGGCCGACGATCTGCAGGCACGGTAACCAAGGCATTGCACTGTGGTCGACGACATGGCTTTCCTTTCTTCACTCACGCACTCTGAGGATCAGAAGACATTGCGCGAAATCCTTACCATGTTCTTCAATGTTCACTTCCAAATCACTCTGTTCAAGAACGCGCCCTTCCTGCTTAGGCATCTGAAATCTGGAACGAGCACGAGCGCGTGCATCACGTATGAGTCTCGAAAGACGGGTTAGTCGGTTCCGGCACTGCCAGGGGGACGATCGCCATGGTGCCCGGAGGAGAAGGTGGTCATGGCGCTGCGGAGTTAGCTAGGACCTGGACCTGCGAGGAATGATGGCAGGAGAACGAAAGTCTTGTTGAGCTGTGGGTGCGAGATCGCCGGGCCCGGGTGAGAGATTACCAGGCCGTAACCCAGCATTCTATGTAATGGAAGGTCGTACGAATGTCTATCAGTTGAGCCCCCTGTGTCCCTTCGTATCATTGCCCCCCATGATAGCCTGGCCACAGTTCAAGGCATGTCGCTCGGATCTCATATCTCATCTGCTGCAGGAGACAACCGACAGGTAAGTCCGAGGAACAAACAGAAATCCACTCCCACAGTGGCTGGCCGTCAGATCGTGGTGCAATCATCCCTCTCATTCCAAGCTGAGGCGACATGCCAGAGCCCAGACGACCATATGCAACTCCAGATCAGATCCGGCAACCCTGATCGTCTGGGCTCCGAGAGTTGATCCGTCTTGTCATTTGTCGAGCGTCCACAGTCCCAGGAATGCGTCGTGTGCGAGCGTCGAAATCACAACCACCCTTGATGCAACCCCCATTCCTCACTGGAATGCGCCGTGTTCGTCCAGCAGCAACAACAAACATTGGCATGGCCGGCCACCTTCATTTACGTGGCTCTGCCGCTCGTGCCTTGTTGAATCTTTCATCTTCTCTTTCTTCTCTTCAGTCACTCCTTCAAACTCTTGTCGTTCGTTTACCTTTGCCCTTGCAGTTTTCCAACACTTCATCTCACATCTTTCACGGCCGAAAAGACATCATTTGCCATCCCCAAACTACCATATCCCACAGCAACCATGCGTTCTTTCTCGCTTGTCGCCGCTGGCACCTTCGCCTTCAAGGCCATGGCTCAAACAGCCAACTTCACCCCGGATATGGCGTGGAATGCCGTCACTGTCGGGCAAGTCTGGCCCATCCACTGGACCGTGGGCGATGGGACACCTGTCTCCTTGTTCCTGGGGAACACGAGCTGGAATACCCCGATCTTCGGTGAGTTGAACGCGCCCTCACATATGACTGGCACTGACTGACGGATGTTGCGCAGAAAACAAAACTGCCACCGATGCAGAGTATGACTGGACAATCGCAGTCCCGGATGGTTTTGTTGCTGGCAACTATGCGCTGGCCTTGGTTCAGAGTGGTGCCATGGACTTCTCCCCCCTGTTCAGCGTCAGCCTTCCTGCTGCAGGCTCGTCTAGTTCAACCACGTTGCCCACATCCATGACAACCCCAATGCCAAATGCTACCGTCACGGCCACTCTCATCTCTGCCACTGTCGACCCCACAGCAACTGCAGCTCCCACCGTGACCGTCACTTATTGGGACCACGAATGCGGCTGCACAAAGACATCCGAGTTGCCTGCGACAGCTGCCGCCACCGGCTCAGGGTTGGTTGGCACCCAATACACCTGGTACGACGAGGTCTGCGGATGCACCAAGACCGCCATGGCCCCAGCTCCTACCACTGTTCAATGTCCTGGAAGTGGCTGCGCCAGCTACACAGCTCCGCCCGGAGGAAACGTGCCACCTTCGCCATCTGCTCCGTCATCTGCTGGCGTACCGGCTCCTTCATCATCGGCTTTCCAGGGTGACGCGAATCAACTGAGTGGCTCGGTGGTGGCAGTTGTGGGAGGATTGCTTGCAGCGGCCATGTTTGCATAATTGTCTTGTGGTTCCTCGAATTTCATCTCGTCACGTTTATTTTCTAGAAGGGGGCATCTTTATAAGAGTGCTTTGCACGCATGTTTGCTGGCACCAGCTAAGTGCAAGAGGCATCGCGGCTACTCGGCAGTTGGGAGCTCAGTTGAACGTTGCGGGTGAATGTTGGACATAAAGGGTCGTGGCTTTCATGATCTGGGGCTGGAATTCCAACTCTATGCAGTCTTCAAATAGTTTTCTAGTATCGTGATATCAATCGTCTCTTGCTGTAAACCATGTCGTGACCATCATCAAGGTGGCGTTTTCCTCACCGCTCGCCCTTGATCTTTGCAAATGCACCGACTTCTGCGCTCGATATCGAGAACGGACTCTTTGGACCATCCGGGGACCTCGGACTTAGGGCGACCGCAAATAAATCTTCTTCATCAGGGTCTTCCTGTTTCGTGGTTTGGCTTATAGAGTTAAGCAGCGAAGCACTGGCGGGCGACTCTGCCTGTTGTTTTCTGATATAGTCTGGTGGTGCCTGAGCAACGACCTTTTTACCCCCAGTCACCGAGGAGGCGGACGTTGGTCCATTCCGGAAAGTACCAAACGACGAGTATGCCATATCGGATGCCTCGGGCGAAAGAGGATGGGATTCGCGTGTTGGAGTATTGAGGCCTCTAGCATTGAGGTCCCTGTCACTCGTCCCGATGCTCAAGCCTTTGAGCTTCTCGCTCAGCCTTCTTCCACCAGGAGACTTGGGGCTTTGGATCCCTGGACTCACGGGGCCTAGAGACTTGGGAATATTGCTCAGATCGAGGCTCGGGGGCTTAGGAGTCAGACCAAAGTTATTCTCAATCCAGGACTTCTCCGACCGGGCCATCTCCAGAGCAATGCCTTCGAGATTATGTTCCTCCTCATGCTTGATCTCCTTGTCCAAGACCTGGAGCCTCTTTTTGGCCCATATAGTGTGCAGCACGCCTTTTCTCCCACTAGCTTTGGCCGTGGCTCCCAGCTCGGGGGTGAAGATAGCAGGTAACGGGTTCACCGTCATTCTCAAAGGCGCTTGCTCTGTGGTTGAGGTCTCGGCAGGTTCGGCGGGGTTGATGGGGGGATAGTACGCCAAAGTGATGTGAGGTGGCACAATGGCACCCGGAGGCAACAGGAAATATACACGGCGGATATTGTCCGAGGGGTTGTCGTCTGCTGGGAAGACGGTGCGTTTGCCGGACCACGAGACCTGCCACCTCCCCGTCTTATCTCTTGTCTGATCATCGTCTTGCCATTCCACCATCATGACTTTGGTGCCATCGTTCCCTTTCCCCGGTTCGAACTCGAAGCGGGCGAGCGCAGTGACGGACAGGAGCGTGTCAGGCTGGGTCGGCGACCTGGGAGACTCGGCTTGAGCCATCGCTGACGGGCAGAGAAACGACAGGGACACAACTGGGTCTTTTTGACGGCAAGATCGGACAAAGTTGGACTGGCGAACCGGGGCAAAAGAGTGGAACAGAGACACGAAAGACAGCGAGGAATAATATGAGAAGCAATCGGGGAAATTGAAAGTTGGAAGCGAAGATGGTACCGACTTTTAGGATCTCGACTAAGCTTAAGATGGCTTGCTCAGGGCGTTGGACATGGTTGCAGCCGTGTGTCGCTTCCGGTGCCTCTCCTGCAATTATTATTCAGATTTCCTGCACGCGAGGACAAAGATAGTGAGATGGAGTATCTGTCCATAACCTCCCCTCGTTAAGCCATTGATCCTGCTCGGCGTCATCAGTGTGTTGTCTTGGTCATGAAAATAGTCATTTGACAGCAAATCTTCACCCAGACGTTCTCCTCGAACCCGCAAGTCACATTCGTCGTTTACGCAAGTCGCCAATAGACTGCGCCAAACGAAGCCTCAACGGCCGGATCTGATTTCGACCAGCGGCATCGACACCAATCACGATGCTCCTCAGCTCAACATCCCCTTGCATATACTTCCCAAGTACTCTTCGTCATAAAGGGGGCCAAAACCCTAATGCCGCTGCTCCTGTTGCTCTACGTTCCTGCCACACTCAATGATAGCCACGGGCCCCATCCAGACGGACTCTTCACCTACCATTGGTCTTGGTGCTTCGATGGCAAATAGTCAAGAAACAGGCACAGATTTCAGACAGAAATTAATGCCAATGAATCTAGACATGCTACTCAAGGCTGCGAAATATGCCCAAAATATCCTCCTACGAGGTCGTCTGCACAATTCCATACGCCCAACAATGCCGAGAGACGACCGTGTCAATCTTATGCAATACCCAACATTGTCCAGATAGAATAAATCTCGTAAACTCCTTTTGGTCAATCCAATCTCGACTCGTCCTGTTTTTCCAATTTGATGCCATCATTATTCAAAGCCCATCCTATATCATGCTCTCCCTCTTGCCATAAGTCCATCCCCAAGATCGACTCCAGCACGGGTCCTGAGAGACACCCCCTTCCATGCTGCTTCGGCTTTCCCACTCATTGACCTGGTCCCAGCCGAACCTCTGCACCCGTTTCCGCGTTGGGTACCGTAGTCCAAGCCTCCCGAATACCGCCCGAACGTCGAGGGCGGATGTTGCCGCTCAAAATCAGCTGGATGCAAGTCCTCGGCCAACGATGAAGCAAAGCTTCGGACGCTATTTGCATACGACACAGGGCATGAAGAGTAACCGCCACCCGAAGGACCTCGCCATTGCGCTGATTGGCCACGAGATTGTTGGTGGTCATGAGTGCGCGAGATTTTCCGGGTTTGTCTCACATACGCGAATTCAGCGTCGTGGGAGGCGTCGTACGAGAATGCGTTGGATGGATACCGCTGCTGTTGATACTGAGAGGAGTTGTGACATCCGTCATAATAGTCCTGAGACGAGGAGGAATAGTCTTCGGGGGGGAGGGATTGCTGCCAGTCGTGATGCTGTCCTCCCTGTTGTGGAGGAATGACCGGATAAAGCAACTCATCCGCCACCTCTTCGTAGTATGGCTCATGTTGTCGTAATCCCCAAGATTGTTGCCTCAGCCCCTCACCCGCACTCAGTCTTCGAGCTTTCCAGACCGCAGCTTGCGCAACCCATGGATCCGGACTTATGTCGATGGGTCGGGGGGAATGAGATGGCGGAGGAGGAGCCATGGGACCGGAGTGGTTCCCTTGATAATCAATGTATGCAGGACGGGGTGAGTGTAGTGGAGGTGGAGGACCTGCTTCATTACCCATTGAAGGTTGTCTCTGGATGGATGAGGTTCGATATGCCTTCTGTACCATCTCCGGCGTGATGGGTGGCGCATCACTGGCAAAACTAGCAGGCCTTAGATTCTTCCCAGGTAACCCCCCTCTATCGTTAAAAGAAGATCTCCGATCTGATATCGTACTATCTCGGTCCCGTCTTGATCGGGTTCGAGGCCGGGACAACTCCGCAGCGGTCTTGTCTTCCTTAATAGGGCGCGGACCGTCTGTCAAGTTATAATGGCCTGTCGGGAAGGAGGTGCTGGCGGTTCCCACATCATTGACAAGAGCCAACGCTTCAGCCTGACTGACTCCAGAAGGGTTACGTGATTCTGCCTTTTCTTCTTTAGACCGACCAAACCACGATCTTCGACGACTGCGAGACCGAGGTCGCTTGGCATGGAGTACTTGTTCCGGAGCAGGAGATGGAAACCTGACCTCGTTCAGGGGGAGAAACAGGGTAGAGTTACTGTTAGCTCTGTTTCCCATTGAGGAGTATGTTTGGTCCAGTTCCGGTACGGCGTATGAGCGTTTCCGAAGGTTTTCTTGTGCCTCTTGGGAGACATGGGGAATGTTGTCTAACTCAAATGATCGGACTCGAACAAGGGCTACTTGGCCAGGAGGTTGGCTTGATGGGCGCCTCTTCTTCAGGAGTTTCTTCCGTGCCTTTGTACCATTTGTAGGGCGGGGATCGGATTCGGGGGCTGTCGTCGTTGGGACAATGGGCATCGGAGCTGACGCTACAGGATTGGGTTGAAGATTAGAAAATGTCGATACATAAGGTTCACTCCTGCGCGACTTCAAAATGGAGATTCCAGGTTCAGAGAAAGATGGCACACGTCCTGACTCCTGTACATCGACATTCACCTGTGAGTCTGGAACTTCTGGTAAAGCCCTAAACTTTGTGGGTGATGGGGTGGGCCTGGCCATTTGAAACGACCGCAGCGAGTTGCTTGAGCTGTAGCCGCTGTCCGATTTTTGAGGTGCCCGAGAAGACGGAATTGCGAGGGAAGGGTTTGACAGCTGGGGTTGAAATTCGACTGCAGACTGAAAGCCTTCATCGAGAGAGTACCTTGGTTCGATGGGGGAATGCCAACTCATAGGGCTATCACAGGGTCGAGATTCGTCGCTTGCCTCATTCTCACGTAGAGTTTGTCGACCCCGACTTTCTTCGGATCTGAAGCTCGACTTGCGCACCACCGACCAAGACGGCGAAGGTGACCTCTCTGGAGTACTGACTGGGGATGGAAACTCCGGGTCATTGTTGAGCGGAGGCGTTTTCTGTAATGACGAGCATCGGCTCGCCCGCCAAAGCGAGCCTTCAGACCTGGTCCTTCTAATAGTGCCAACTGGAGAGCTGGACTGTTGCTGGTCAAATGGGCCGACACCAAGCTCTGCGATATACTCTTGCGCCATTAGTGAGGTATGATCATCAGCTGGAGTGCTGGCCGAAATGAGGTGCGTTTCTTCTTGTGCTGTCATGACACTGTGCAGTGGGTGAATCCGTGGCCCAGCTCTATCATCATTGTGCTCCCAACTAAAGTACCGACACTCAGCATTTCCCGTCGGAGGACTCGGCTCCAAGTGGGATGTATTGCCGGATGCAGAGACCAATAAATCGAACTCTTCGTCGGCATCACCGTAATCGCTTGACACATCTCTCCGTGGTGCTGGGGCAGATAGAAGGTGTTTCGACACCTTTGATACCTCACTGAAAGCTGGTGATGCGCGTCCATTGACGATTTGCAGAGAGCCGTGCCTCAGGCCGGCGAGATGAGAATAGCTTATATCTGAAGGCGTACCGGCACGGCCAGTTGTCCTTGGAGGAGGTGGAGGTTGCCAGTCAAAGTCGTCTATATCAAAAGCGATTGTCTGCCGCTCCTCTATCTCTTGAATGGGATCACGGCCCTGGCTCTCCTGCCTGCCAGCAATTTGAGATGGCTTTCTTGTTGCTGTGCCAGGAGCAAAGGATGATCGACGCATGGGGGGAATGGGCTGTGGTTCGAGGATTCTGTCCATCGCTGAATCCGGGGTTGAAAACACCGCGGTATCACACTCCAAGGGATTGATGCGTTCACTGCTAGGGGTACGGGTTATGCTGGAGGACCTTTGCAGCGACAGACGCCGGAGCAACAGAGACTTCCGCTTCGGCGGCTTGATAGGTGACTGAGGGGGTGGCGTTCGTTGTTGCATGGTTCGCGATGGACTTGTCCCAGCTCCAGCAGCCTTGCCCTCCAACTGACTGACCATATAGGCGACCCTGAAGCCCGAATCATTCTTGTGCGTGCGGAGAGGTGAGCCCGAGTCTGTGGCAATAACGCTATCCCGCGACTTTTGCTGCTGAATACCTTTGCCTGAAGCGGGGGATGACGGAATCGACAGCTCTGTGCGGCTGGCATTTTTGCTCTGTGGAAGCGACGCCTGAGCTTTGAGACTGGACGTCGACACACCGGAGGGGATTCTGCCTGTAGGGGGCTTAGACAAGCGATTTCTCCGACGAGGCTCAGATTCTGTATGTGCGGACTCGGCTGCGAGACTCGACCTTCTCTTTGCAAACCACATGGCGAGTGGTGCAGCATATGCCCCAGTTCATGCGAGTTCCTTCCGGAGAAATGCTCACTCATGCAAAGGTAATGTTTCCTCAACCTTACTCTCAATGAGCGAGGTTATAATATCGCGGTCATTTTTCAACCATCTGCCAGCTAGTGGCTCCGAATGCAGAACGATGTAAAAGTATGATGGTCAAGATGTAGCTGACTCGGAATAGAGAATATCGGCCAGGTCAGCAGACCTGTGCGTCTGTCATGCAAGGCAAATAGAGTCCGTGCTCCGGTGGTGACAAAGGCCCGTTCGTTGTCGCGAGTGACTGGCCGAGAACTAGGGAGACGAAGACTCTGGAACGACAGACAGGTGGTGCACCTAGATCGTAGGTGAGAACCCAAATGAGCGGCTCGGTGAAACAGATTAAGAAGCAATAGACAAAACAAATCCAGCCAGGGCAACACCGGGTCGATCAGTCGAGTGATGTACTCGGTATTGCAGGGTAAACGAAGGATGTGGGTGAGGAGGAGCAGGATGAGAGACGACTGTGGCGGTGGAGCAGCGCAGTGACGACTTTTGATCCGTTTCATATTTCATGGGGAAATGGCGACGAGGACGCATGGACCAAGCCGTATGTACGTAGACCTTGGAAGCTCAGAAGCTTTCAATGCAGGGCTAATCCTCTCATGTGCAAGACGAGGTGGTGGTGCAGGGGCGAGGGGTTGATTGGCTGAAACCACCCCATGTAAACAAATTTCAGGTCGCCCGGAGACGCAGCAGTGGCCAAACACAACAAGCAGAACTGAAGCCCAGGGCCCCGACTCTTGCCCTCAACCGGATTTTTAGACGCTTAATTCCAAGCATCAGCCACCGCTAAACTCTTCTACTACCCACCCATCGGACCACCGTCCCTGGGGACGCCACAGTTAACCTTCCCCTCTCTTTCTTCCTCCAGTGGTACCCCTTGATAATCCCCCAAAAGAGAGACCAGGGTCAAGGGCCCAGGCACTGGAGAACACGCCTGACGCAATCGAGTCAGCCACTAAGGCTAAGCCCCAAATCTTGAGATCCGTTTGTGCAACTCCGGCTACCTAACCTTTGTCCTCGATCCTCACGTCCATCGGTATACTCCATGCCCTATCTCAAAGTTGACGGTCCAGAACTTCCGCTCAACACCGCACGAAGAAACCTCCACACCCTTTTTTGCCACAACCGCAGGTGACGATGGTGGCCTGTCTGATGGGTGATAGTCCGCTGTGGAACTTTCACCGAGCTGAAAGTGTATGTGCGTCCGCGGTCCACACTTGAGAGAAGATGCTGTTGGATACCTACACGCGCGCAAACGAAGCGATGTAGGTACTGGTGACGATTGGGGGAACGGACCTCGATCACATGCGCAAAACCACTACGCGACAAAAGAATGCATTGGGCACCTTGGTAACCAGCGAATACGATCGCCCCAAGACCATCGGTGTCTGAAACACCTGCGTCTGACGGTCAATACTAATTGGAGCTGCAGATGAATTGTACCGACTCCTCACTCCGTAGTCTCCCAGCCTCCCTTCTGCACTCGAGCGGGGAACCCATAAGGATCCGGATGCATCGAATGGCGCAGTTTGACTTTAGAAAACATGTGCCTCGTCATAAGCCCGATCGACATGTGCAAATAGTCAGACTTTGAGTTTCCTTTTACCTTTTGGTTAGGGTGCCACTACGCATTGTCAGATGAGGGGGAAATTACAGAAAAAGCAGTGGGAAACAGCCAGTCGTGTGTGAGAATAATCAAGTGAATTATTATTTCTAGAGCTCGAGAGCTGCAAGGGAGCCGAGATCCTCTATTCATACATCCCAGTCATTCCCCTTGCCCATGTCCCGTAGATAGCCGGCTCATGAACCTTATCCGAATCCGATATCCTGCTTGTAACGCCACGCTATGCAGCCTTCACGCTGGTGTCGTACAGATAGTCCTGTCTGCAGGTTCTTTGGCGGCCTTACTCAACAGCAATGCGTCTGCTTTCAGGTGCGGCCTTGGGAACCACAATGCTAAGGAGGCCGTTCTTCAATGAAGCCTTGACCGCCTCCTGATTCACACGGTGTGGGAACCAGAAGCTGCGTGAGAACTCTCCCACACTGCGTTCAGTGATCCAGTATTGTTGTTGTGCAGGCTGTTGCTCAACTTTGGTTGGCTGTTGCTCCTGCTGAGCAGGTGTCGGTGCAGCCACTTCTGTCTTGCTGTCGACGGCAGCGACCGCGGATGAGTTGGCGGGCTCCTCATCTTCGACAGTGGGTTGATGCGACTTGACGCTACCAGTCTCGGATGCAGGGGCTTCCTCGATCGCAGATTTGTTGTCGCCTTGGAGAGCCGAAGGGCGAGTACCAGATTCTGTGGTGCGCTCGGTTCGGCCCTTGATGGTCAAGGTGTGTTCATCGACGAATTCGATGCTCAGATCCTTCTGCTCGATACCTGGGAGTTCACCCTCAAGGATGTAAGTGTCGTTTGATTCCTTGACATCGAAGCGAGGGTTCCATTGTTTCTTGGTTGACCGACTGGCTCTTTGGATCTCATTGAAAGAGTCGTCGAAAAGAGACAAGAGCGGCGCAATGTCACGGCGGGAAGGACCGCAGCGTGCGGGCGCAAAGGCGAGTCTTGGGAAGAGGAAAGACATGTTTCTGGTGGAAAGCGTTGGCTTGATTATTCTTGAGGCTTGAGGGACAATTCTCGTTCGAGTTGAATGCATAAGACTTGATCTTGATGGATGTCGAAGTGCAGAGAACCCTTCGTCGACGAAGATTTTATAGCCTTTCATCTTGCCTGATAGAAGGTGCTGGGCCAGTCGAGATGGATGAGAAAGCAGATTATGTCGACCGTGCCACCGTTTTGCTGGATGCTTCTGGGAAACGCAAGCACCCTCTGCCTGCTGCTCGATTTTGCCACTAGGCGCCAGACGCTTCGGTATATAGCCAGAAGCTTCCGTGTCACGTGATCCCACAGAGCATCACCATGATGAGGACAAAGGGGACAAAGGCCACGATGAGAAGGTGGTTTCATCGAAAATGGAACAGGGTTATCGCCAGGCTCAATGGATGTCTGTAACACCAGGCGACGAGTAGAGCTCGAGCTTGCGGGCTCCCATTCTGATCAGTGTTTCAACAGCTCCAAAGTCCTTTTTGTCCACAGTCTGGTTCTTGCGGAATTCGCGTCTAGAGTGACTTGATCAGTCAATATCCTATAGCAGCCGCCTCGTATAACAGCTCGTGGGGGCAACACTCACCTTGCTGCGGTCCGGAAGTGCTCTCTTGTCGCCTGTTGAACCAAGGTAGAGTAAGATATGACTGAGTGACAAATGTGGAGAGGAGAAGAGAAGAATCGGGGACACCAACCTCTGGCTTCTTGCCTGCAGCACGCAGACAAGCTCGGTACAGCTTGAGGACTTCGCGCTGAAGACCTGAATGACGCATCTTGGCTCTTGGTTCGATGCACTCTGTACTTTTACACTGGACAATCAATACGATGCAAGCAGGCAATTCGAGAAAAGTGAACAAAAGTTCCTTCAAAAACGGCATGAGATTTGGGCCGCGGCCATTCCATATTTGGACATGATCTCACGCTGTCCTGGTACTTCGCTGATTCAAGTTTGAGGGCGCATTTCATTCAATATCCATTCAATATCATGTATCTAGCAGGTATCAACGTCTCATACAAGTCATGTCCACAACAGTATTCATGTTCTGGCGACAGCAAGCTCTCCCTTTGCAACTCATTCCTCCTCCAAAAACTTCAGCAGTTCGGCGTTCACCTCATCCGCATTAATGTTCGGCAACGCATGAGGTGCGCCCTTGATCTCCACCAGCTTGCCGTTCTTCAACAGCTTGATAGCCTCGTGGGCGCTCGCTTCGATCGGCACGACCTGGTCATCGTCACCGTGTAATACCAACACGGGGATTTCAATCTTCTTCAGGTCCTCAGTCATGTCCGTCTCCGAGAAGACCTTGACGCACTCGTACGAGTTGACGAACCCGCACATCATCCCCTGTTGCCACCAAGACTGAATGAGACCCTGGGAGACCTTGGCGCCGGGACGGTTGAAGCCAAAGAACGGACCAGAGGGGACGTCGATGAAGAATTGTGAGCGGTCCTTGATCATGGCGGCTCGGAAGGAGTCGAAGACCTCGATCGGCGTGCCCTTGGGGTTGGCTTCGGTCTTGAGCATGAGCGGCGTCACCGCGCTGACCAGCACCGCCTTCTTGACCCGACTGGAGCCGTGACGGCCTAGAAACCTGGCAACTTCACCACCGCCTGTTGAGTGTCCGACCATCATCACATCCTTCAAGTCGAGGTGTTCGAACAACTGCAGCAAGTCGTCGGCATAGGTGTCCATGTCGTTGCCTGTCCAGGGTTGGCTTGAACGGCCGTGACCCCTGCGGTCATGAGCGATGACCCGGTATCCCTTGCTGGCTAGAAAGAACATTTGGCTCTCCCAATTATCACTGTTCAGCGGCCAGCCATGGGAAAAGACAACAGTGCCGGAAGCATCCTTGTGGCCCCAGTCCTTGTAATAGATTTCGGTGCCGTCGTTGGTGGTAAGATATGGCATCGTCCAACAACGTGTGGGTGTTGACAATTTTTTAGTAGATCGTGGTGGTCGAGCTTTCAAAACGAGACTCTCGATGTGAGGAGCATGGGACTTTGGGGAATCCACCACCAATGCTCCATCCCGCTTTTATATCCTGCTTTTCAAGTCTCATCCCGTCAAGCACGCCACGAACGTCAATTCCAAATCAACGCGAACAGGTTTTCCCGTTAGAGAGGTCACCCTTACAGTCACGCTGCATCATTAGGCCCTAAAAGGAGGAGCCTGCCCAGATAAGGCGCAATGAAGATCCCTGACTTGGCATATCAGCATTGACGGCTCGTCTAGACTACTCGTTTAGGCAGAATCTATCGTGGACGCTCTTTTGGGTTGCCTGATTCGACAGCTCGGTTGAACCTTGACCACCGTCGGCTGTAACACACGTACCGAATAGGACCGCCTAGCGAAATGCCTAGGTGGGTGCGGGATATACCAGGTATGTTGATTTACTTGCAGAGTTCCCATCCAAATAATACCTCGCTCGTTGCTCTGCATGAGGCTTGAGCGTTCAGTGTTTGTTTAGCCCACTCCTTAGAAGCGTCATACCTCTGCGCTGCTAAAGGTCTCGCTGGATCAGTTTGTCCCCATGATGGCCCTAGGTTCTTTTGGCTACTGCGATTTCACTAGCCCGAATACAGCAAGTCTTCAATTGCCCGACACTGTCTCCAGATTGGCCTCGACCACTTCCTATTCCAGATCCAAACACCCTCGACAAACAACATCACTGATTCAGTAAAGACGATAGGTCACTTCCTATCATGGTTCTGCAACCCACCTACTTTATGTTCCATTAAATGCGTTACGCCTCCTGCGTGCCGCAAGCAAAGTCCGGTTACATTGAAAGGGACACTTCTGGCAAGACAACCAGCGAATGGATTTCAATCAAAGTGCATTCGATTCTCGACAGGATAGAACGACTCTCAGCAGCGACACGCTCAGATGGTTCTTGATATCGCTTCGTACTTGACCCGGCACCAAGGTGTCAGTGTGCATCATAACGATACTCGTGCTCAATGCGGTCGCCAAGGTGCCTTTCCTCCGAAACAACCAAACTACAAAAACTTCTGGATCCGTATCGCCTGTTCAGGTGGGTTGAGTGCATGTGATTCAATTTGACGAAGCACGTCATAAGCGCTATGACACGAGACAACGATCGCGAGACTGCATTCGATCAGAACATCCGACACATGAAACTCACAGAAAGGAGAACGATGGACAGGTCCTTTGTCCAAGACTGGCTGAAGACAGTTAGACAAGTTTCGGCGAAAGAGAGTTTCCTGTCCTCTTGAGAAGGAAATTTTCTTTTCTTCTTTCCTTCTCCCCTCTTCTGAACTTAAAGAGAAAATGAAACGGCAAGTAGTACTAAGCAAGGCTGTTTCTTGACTGCGACTGTGCTACTACATCTAGAGCTTCTTCTCGGCGGCCAGCTTCGCGAACCGAGCCTTGGTCCGCTCGGCAACGGCCTTCTCGTTCCAAATGTACGTGACGCTCGGCTCCTGCACCACCTTGGCAGCCCAAGCCTTAAACTTGGGCGTCTTCTCGTCGAGCAGGGCGTCGAGTTTCGGGCTCAGGATGCCGTACTCGGGCTTGGTGAAGCCGAGGAGACGAAGCAGGAACGGCGCGGTGTCGACCTCGGCGAGCGTCAACTTGTCACTGCCGCCGAAGTAAGGGCCCTTTCCCTGCCCGGCCCAGTCGATGAGGGGTTCGACCTCCTTGACGAGAACGGCGACCAGGTCCTGCGCGGCGGTGTCCTTCTCGGCGTCGGTCTGCGCGCGCCAGCCGGCAAAGATCAGCGGCAGAGCCTTGGAGACGAAGGTGTCGACGAAGAAGGCCACGCGGGCGCGGTACAGGGCGTCGTCGACGGACGCGGTGCGCGGCAGCAAGTGGGATGGATGGGCGTCGGCCAGGAACTGCGCGACCACGGCCGATTCCGTGATGATGTTTCCGTTGTAGTTGATGCTGGGGACGAGGCCACGCTGTTGTTGATGTTGATCGACCGATCAGTCCACACCATACACACGTGCACATACACGGAGAGACACAGCTGAGATATCTCTCCCGGAGACGGAGGTAGAGTTCGGAGTCGAAGGCAAAAAACATACCGGGTTCACCTTCAAATACCACGGATCCCGCGGCCTGTCCAGATCAATAATCTCCTCCTTGTAGGGGAGTCCGAGCTCCTTCAACGCCACATGAGCCCGGTGCGCCCAGGGACACCCGTGGTTGGTGTAGAGGATGATGTCTGGCGTGGCGCCGTTGGTGGCCATGGTTGAAGGAAAGGAACTTGTCGGATCGGATCGTACAAGAAGAGAGGGAGATATAGATGTATGATAGGTACCTAGGGCGTGGGAAGACAGGAAGAAACAATCTGTTTATTTTATGGAACAGATAAAGAAAGACGGATCAAGAAATAAATACCTACTTTGTACTGGGAGGTAATCATAGTACAATAACTCGACAGAATGACAACATCTACCTAGTGCCTAACAAGTATCTCGTACATACACAACAAATCCAAGTCCCCTCCTGCTCCTCCCCGCCATCCTGCCATGCCATCCCGCCATCAATCTCCAAAAATTGCGATTTGTCAGCCATTTCCACTCGCCCCGAATCGGAGGAGTGAGACGAGGGGTGAAAGGGAGGGGGGGGATCCAGTGCATATCATTCCTTCACCCACTCATTCACTCATTCATTGAATGTATATTTATCTATCTATGTATCTATCAAGTCTGCGCAATACAGCCGAGATACATAAATCTAGGTATATAATATACCTCCCTCCCCTTTCAATCCCAAATCCCAGGTCCAAAATAGGTAGGAATGCTTCATATTTCATATTTCATATGAATCCACATATCCACACATATCGACATGATAGATATATATATCGCGCTGAAATATTGATCGCGACAATACCAATCTCACAAATCACAAATCAACGTCCAATATCATAACATACGCTCAAACATACGCTCAAAAACATACATAGCACTGTCTGTGGTGGCTGCACGCTCCGTATAGCCTTGCTCACTTTGCTCATGGTCCATCTCTTCGTTACAGCAATGCCTTAGCAAAATTACTTCCATCTACCGAGCACAAAACCTCAACGCCCATACTCCAGGCTCGGCACAACCACAGGTCCGTATTTGACCACACTTCCATATGCGCCCTCTCCCTGCACCAAAAAGTCGGCCGCCAGACTCAACTTGCCCGATCCTCGGTGCATGTCCGTCTGCCCAAATGTGCCATTGACCACTTCGGGATCATAGACCACAACCGCCACATAGTTGCGCCGTGCCATCAATTTCCGGTTGTTGATGGGTTGCCCCGTCACGTCGTGCGTAAAGATCTCCATCATGTCTTCTTTCGTGTCGGTCGGCTGTGATGGGGTGGATCGCTGTCCATTCGCAGGGATGTAGAGTGGTTTGTTGTTGTTGAGCAGTTTCATAACATAGCTGTGAGGCGGAGTATTCACCACCGGCGACGAAATAATCTGGTACATGGTCTTGTGGTCTGATGGGTGAGATGGATCGTGGACAAGACCCGCTCCACATGTGTTGACTGCTCCGGATACAAATGTCATGCGGATGGATCGTTGATGCGAGATCCCCTGCAGGGTCCGAATGAAGTACGTCCGCTCCAGATCCTGATCACATTAGCAAAGCACAGTGCTGGGGCTGTGACACTCACCTTGGAATCATGGGTCCACTGGTCCTTCAGCTCGTCGAGAACGTCAATGTCTCCAAACGGACTCAGAATACCTCCCATGAGCCCAGATTTCCCGACGGCACGTTTGACCGAGTCAAATCCCGATCCAACTGCTCCTTTCGCTCCGACCACGCCTGCAACGGAGCTCGTCACTTTGCCGAGCACGTTATAGGCCCCCGTCACCGCTTTCTTCCCGGTTGCCACGGTCTGCGCTATCGATTCCGCAGCATCCAGCCTCGGATAGATCAAGGGGACCGGTATCATCAGGAGACAGTGCTGGATTGTTGGTGGGAGCAGAGCAATCTTCGGAAAGAGACCTTGGTAGGTAGGGCCTGCCATGACTTGATGGAGTGTCCGTTCACTTCGAGTGTCTGGACCGACCACGGCGACCGCTGGCCCGAGGAATTTGACGAAGTGCCACCCCGTCCCCGTAATGGTAAACAGATCTCTGTCGTCTGACACATTCCGAAGGAGTTCGAGTGTAGTGTGATGCTGGAATAGCAGATACATCTCTATACCAATCCTTCCAATGTTCTTGAACATGTTGCTAAATTGCATGTATTCTGGGTAAGAACCAAACCCGTCAAATCTGTTCTCGTCAGCCTGTTTCTCAACCTAACAGTGATATCAACTCACATGTCGTGATCATCAATCGTCAAGATATGGGGTATCTGGGCAAAAGCCTCGCGCAAATATGGCTGATCAAAATGACTCGTGTAATAATGAAAATATGCATGCGTCACGTCCTCTTCGTGCGCTGCTGTCCAGACAGCATTCTTGCGGTTTTCTTTCCCGCTCGTTGACAGCCACTGTTTCAGCGATGGTATCTCCTTCCACAGCCTGTCGGCATTGATCTGACTGCCCAAGCCGAGCTGGCAGTGGAACCCGCCGCATTCGGCATGTTTCTGCATGATGTCTTTCCACATGAATCCCACCCCGCCCAGTCGGGCGCGCTCGTTGGCGCTCACGTTGAGGGAAAAGTCGTTCGCAGAGGTGCATACAAAACGCCAATTGGTCTCATGTTTGCCAGCCACCAGAAACTCATATCTCGTGCAACCCAGGTGAGAAGTAATGGCATACGTCCACTTTGCAGCTCCAGACTCTTCCATGTGCAGGTCAACCTCGTACTTGTAAAATGTCCATCGCTGATGAGTTGAAATGCCACTGGCTTTCAACTGGCGCGGGTTTGGCGACAAATCAACACTCTGATGAATGTGTATTGTTGGCGGTTGGGGTGCATCCGTGACCAGCAGGATCGATCCATACCAGATGCCACGCTCTATATCCATATTGGCATAGCGAAGATAAGGACCAAAGTAGACGCCATTCGTTGCCACCACCTTGTACAGATCCACACCAGCGCTCGGAGGCGGGCCAGTGAAGGCTGCTGGTCCAGGCAAGCCCATCACACTTTGCTGCTCATATCCAGGAGTCATGGGAATGCCCGGAGACGCGAGTGGTTTGGAAGTGAAAGACAAGCCAGGTGAAGCAAGCGGGTTCTGGTAGACACTGGCGACCGGAGACAAAGGTGTATCATTGAGGTTGAGAGGCGTCGGACCTTTGGGAAACTCCCACTGCGTCGACTGTGTAGGTAAGTGGATATAGTAATATTGCCCCGAGTTTGGGTCCAAATGGGCTATCCAACCCTCGGGAAGCGGTGGCGGAGAAGCGGGAGGAATTTGTGAGGGTGTCTGAGGCACGATGGGCTGTGCTTGTGGCATCTGTCCGTTCATGGTCGCATGGACCTGTGGGCTTTGGACTGCTTGCCTAGGGTCGTTCGCAAATGCTGGGTGGTCCATCTGGTTGGGGACCTGTGTTCCTGGCATGAAGTTGGTTGGTTGTGGAGCTACTGTGGGTGCGATTCCTGCTGTCGCCGCTGGCGCCACAGCGGCCCCGACCATACTTCTCCTTTGTTTCTCGTTCCCTGAGACGTTCCTCCCACCAGGAATCTGAGAGTATGCCGGAGGAGGCTCTTCATGAGGCTGCAGCCTGGAAATCTCAGTTTCGACAGGATGCTGGGCTCGAGTTGGAGATTGAAGAGCTCCTGAGCGTGTCGTCGATGCGGTGGCTGCAGTTGGGGGTGATGGGCGAGCTTCTTCCATACCTTGATACACTGTCGGAGCAGGGTGTTGCGAGCTCCCCGGGGCTTCGGTCGGCGTCCAAGGCCGCCGTGGGGGAGCGTTGGTCTGTGTCTGGGCGGGCTGAGGTTGCACGTTGTACTGAGAGGCTCTTTGCTGAGCCGCAAGGCTCTGGGCCTGCAAGCTGTTCAGTGTTGCGGTGCCTGCAATGCCAGACGCTGCGTAGCGGGCTTCGATGTCGGTCTGTGGACGGGCCCCTGGGCCAACGATTGGCGTTTCTGGCGGTGGAGGAGATCCGCGCTGAGCCCTGGTGGTGGATGTGGATGCCGTCGAACTTATTCGGTTGATCGAGGAAGGGTCCCTGATCTTCAACCTGCTCAAAGCATCTGCTGCAGCAGCCGCACCTTCGGGGGGTGGCGGCCAATACTGCTGGCGAGATTCATTTTGACTCGGGAGAGGCGCCGTGCTCGGCGGATCGCCTCGCTGAGGGGGGCGCTGGAATAGTCCTTCTTTATCTGGCGCATCCGGGCCGGGAGATTCTGGCAGAGGCTTTGGCGCAGTCCCCCGGCGTTCTGCCAGTGTTTGTGGAATTCGCCCATCTCCTGAAGTCGTCCTCTTTGCCTGCTGCCTTGCCCCATTGCCTCCAGTTCCGCTCTGTTCAGGAGAAGTCACTCTTCTCACATCCGGATAAGGATATGGGGCTGGAGAGCCGTTGGAACGCGTGGCTTGTGCTTGCAGGCGAGCCTGCTCGTCCGGGTAGGGGAGGGATGGCATCGGGTAGACAGTGGCAGGCTGAGCAGGCTGCTGGGGAATAGGGCTCTGCTTGCCAGCAATAGAGGGCACGCCTGAGGAGGCGCTGGAGGTTCTTTTATTAATGCGCAAAGGCTCGACGATGGTGGGGGAGTCGCGGTCATTGGGACGGTTGAGGAACATCTCGCCGTCCGGCCTTCCATGCTGGCCCGAGACACTCATGGCTCCAGAAGCGCTTGCGGCTCTCGAGCAAAACGTAGAATATACTGCTGTCGAGTTTCGTAGGTGGTAGAGAACTCGCAATGTGATCTGGGAGTGGGGCCTGCCCTGTGAGAAGGATGAGCAATGATGATGATGATGAGGTGGTTCAACTGCGGTCGGGTCCAGGCCACGGATTTAGAAACAACGGAAGAAGGGAAATGCTGATGCCGAGCAAGACCTGAAAGATGGCCTGAGCAAAGGACGAAACAAGCGCTGCAAAACTGAGAGCTGACAGGAAGATTCCAAAGAGGAGGAAGATGGGTTGTGCGCGTGAGTTGCAGGAGTTACAAGTACCTCTCAGTGCAAGGCAAGGAGGGGGAACTCGTTGGCGCCTTGACTCGACGCCCTATTTCTCTTGCGCCCTCTTCTTCTTCTTCCTCAGTTGTCTACCTCAACAACGCGACAGCAAGCGTACATAAAAGTAAAAGTCTTCTCTATGCTGCTCCTCCCGTCAAATGTCCAGCCAGACTAGAAGACCTGCTGGCCCAGTTGCTATTTTGTGCGACTCCTTCAATGGAGATCCAAGGCGTGTAACCGCCCAACCAAGCGCTCTAGATGGTGTCTATCGAAGACTCGCCCCACGTCCTTGGGCGCCAACTGTCGCTTCATTCGTCTGATTGGTGATACGGACCACCCGCTGATGCTCAGAGCAATAACTGCTGGTACTTCCACTTCCCCTGACCATGCGCTCCGTTCAAACAACGTGCTAACGGAGCATGGTTTCTCTGTGCGAGGTATCTCGGTACGGCGACCAATGCCTTAGGCATGATGTGGATCGCAGTTTTATTGAACATCCCCGGCCCGCAGGCCCGCTCCACGAGTATGCCACACAAACAAGTGACGCCCCGTACCTTGAACTCCGTCACAGGACAGTCGAATCGGATATAATACATCCTCCGCTCGAACCTCCCAGCGACTACAATCGAACGCCTTCGAGAACAAGTTCGATATTATACAAGGCTAATGTGTGATCCGTCCATTCCACACCCAAAAACCACCCCTGCCAGGTGGAATAGAAGCGAAACAGGAATGGCAGCGTTGGCACCAAATGCGAAAGTCCTTGTTTGCCCTCCTTATCTCGATGTGAAAATGCTGGGGCTGAGAGAATGTGAACCATTCCAAGTCCTTGGGGGCCTGGTGTGTCAAGAATCTACATCATATCAATCCCAAATGCACAGTAACTCAGTGGTGCCTGGTGTAAGGTGGAGATGGCGTCCTTAATGATCCCGTCGTGACTGAGGGGGAGCAAAGAGGGAGACTGTGCTGATCACGCAGGACAAGCTCGGTTTCGAGGGGTGCCTGGCATGCGCGACCCAAATGCGCTGGCGAAAAGAATCTGGTAAATCGGTAAATTCTGCTGTTATACGTCGCCCTTTCGTCTCACGGCTTTGCCAACATATGCCCATGTACGTCTTATGGTACAAGCAAATGGTTGTCCGGAAGCTTTAGTCTATCGCTATCAACGCGATAATCGACACAATGTCTGCGTCCTCGCAAGGAAGGTAGTTGAGTTGTCGCTCTTCCATTGCGAGAACATTAGGAACATTGACTTGGTGAGTTTGTTCAGCTGGGATTTCACGAATGAACCACCACCCCCGAAACTTCAGATCGTATAGCAGACGTCCCTCGGGACTAAAGAGTCAGTGGACATAGTCAGCTCCGAAAACGGGTCTCATGACCGCATCATGCTCCCAACATGGGCCCCAAAGCTGGGCGCGTGCTGGTTATGCCTGTGGCGTAATCCAGGGCCAGTTAAATGTCTGTCCAGCGGTTTCCTCAGACGAGGAAAGGCTGCCACGCCACTTATCACCCAGACTCGATATGCGCAGTATAACTCTGAAGAGCAGCGATGCCATCTGGTTGGCCCACCGAGGATCGTCGTCTGGAGCTCGTGGTAGAAGATTGTTCCATTGATAACCGCTGCTGCTGTCTTGCCATGCCGCGAGACCAACACTTTTCCCATTCCGCTTGAAAGCAGTCGAACCACCAAAATTTGCGACAGATTGCCGACACTTTCTTCCAGGAACGCGAGACGGGAAATGAGTCCAACACGTAATCCAAAAGAGCGTCTGCCTTTGGTACAGGCTTCGCAGATTGTATACGCCAGCTGATGAGCAGGGAAAGCCAGACGATGACTTCGGAGTCTGACACCGAGGGGCTCTCGATAGCTTTGACACTCTTGGTCAATGCGGCGAGTGAGGCAGTGTCGAAGATGTTGGTGCGGTTCTCTCCACTCAGGTGGCGGACGGCGATGGCCAAGCCTAAGCAAATGACATGTTCCAAGCCAACGGGTAATCTAGATCTTTTTAGATCAAGTAATATAGTGATGGCGCTCCGAGAACATTCTCTTGGTTCGCAGAAGAGCCTGCAATACCTGAGTTTCAGATCTTGTGATTGGTCAAAAGGAGAGGCAGCTGACGATGACGACGGGGAAGAAGAAGTGAGGCCGTCAACTAAGGGTGCCCATGATGCAACTGAAGCAAGGAGCTTGATGCATTGAACACTCAGATGGCCGGAGAGAGCAGCTTCAGCAAGACCGACGGGAAGCGAAGCGACTTCGCGGCATATGTCGGGAGGGAACGGATGTCGGATGTATTCGATGTGGCTTTTGGGAATGGCGGTTGGGTCATCAGGACTGATCTGAAGGTATTGGCCGAGGGCAATGTAAAACTCCATCCTACACCCGATGTTAATAGAGTTCGACGTGGACGATTTCCCGAGACATACGTCGTCAAGAGGGCCCGAATCGCGAGGTGAGCAGGCGTATTTCCAAGTCCACCACGTAGCGAGATAATTTGCCTGGCCCCTTTGAGATGAGATTTCAGTGACGCCAGATCCCTACGACTGGACTGGAGACAGGTTAGACGCGACGAACCCATGTGGTGGATTGACGTACATCGGCAATCATCAGATGAGTAATTGAAATCAAGACACCATCGTCGAGGTGCGCCGACGGCGCCGAAAGGCGTTCTCGCAGAGAAAGGATGGCTTCGTTCTGCAATTTGAGCATGTCCCGGGAGCGATTGACATGAAAGGGATCACGGCGCCAGTCATGGAGACTCTGGGCTCCGAAAAGCAGACATTTGAAGAGACCTGGGTCTTGCATCGACAACGGAAAAAGGATTGATATCACTGGATGCTCGACATCGGGAGTGACTTTCAAACACAGCTCTTCCTTCCGAAGTATGGAAATGTCTGCCAATGTTAGCCGAATCCTTGCTCGGAGACCTTGGTGACTTTTGTGGTCTTACATTCGTCAATACTTTCCGTTGGGAGAGGGCTTGTTCCGGATGGATACGACGCAAAAGCCTCGCGTCGATGGGAATCCAGCGGGGTGATGATGAGCTTCGCCTTCGTCACGAGCCTGCGAGATGTGTTGGATCGCTCTCCTTCGCCATTCCCTTCTTCTTGAAGGACATCTCGACTGAGGTTCCGACTGTCATGGCCAATGAACTCGCGAGCTCCCATCAGGCTGAGTAGGGCTGATTAGTTCATCAGTATCGAAGCGGAGGTGATGGATTGTGATTCAGGCCAGCTCCATGGCGGTAGGATGAGTGCAAAATTAAGATTAGCCGCCGCTGTAGGATCCGACTTCAGTAAGATCGATAGGACTTTCGTGCGTTGTCGATGTGCTGTTTGATGGAACTGTGGTTTGTCTCAACTCTTCCCGCAACGCAGCGGAGGGGGAAAAACCGCTCTGAACAGTCGAAGGATTCTTTCCCGTCTATCCTTGCAGCAAAACAGATATGGCAGGCCGTGAAAGGGTGTGCGTAAGGCAAATGAGCGAGGGCTGAACGACATAAAAGGAATCACACAACTTCGGCACTGGCGGCCAACATCCTCGACCGAATTTCCACGCCTTTGCCGCCACAGTCGAGCCAGTACTTCGGCTATTTGTTGATTGCGTCAAGAAGCTTTTCAGCGAGCGACTTCTGGAAGCACCGCTCGAGTCTTGTTGCTCTTGTTCTCGCTTGTTTCGCCCCCCTTGGACCAATTGAATTAGTGCTGATGTTTCTGCAGTTTGGGTTTAGTTCCCGTTGGAGATAGCCACTTGCAGTACCGAAATGTCTAGGGGGAGTAGGATTATTAAGTCGCTTTCCGCGCGTGGATTCCTCAATCATGAACTCGTCTTTGCGTTGCAGAATGGCATACTTGTATCAGGTACCCAGCACGCAGCACGAGAAAGACACACTGACCGAAATGACGGGGTAATTGCTGTGGACGATAACAGTCGCTTTTGGACACAAGTCAGTTCTCCTCAGCCTGGCATCTTTGATTTGTTTCAGGCTGTCGTCCAATGGCCACGATCCGCAGTTTCGCCGGGTGGCGTGTATCCCACCACATAGGTTGATCTCTCCGATTTTGTGTGGGAACCATATACAAAAAGGTCGATGCCGACTGTCTTGACTGAGAAATCGATTCCATGGCAATCGAGACTCCTATACCCCCTTTCAACACCCCCCCTGCCCCGGACGCCATCCTTTGATCTGAGGCTTTGGCCAGGCAGGTACCTACCCGCGGTGTCAAGACGCTCTTCCACTATCCGGAGCCGGTGCAAACTTCCGTTCTGGTTGTGCCAGGTTGGATATGGTTCAATAATCAAGATTCGATATACGGGAGGACGGGGATAGTAGACTTTCAGAGCTTGGTAATAGTAGTTTAACTCTGTTTCCATAGCCGTGGCTGTATCTGCGTTAACGAGGTAACCCGGACTCCGAGACACTTCTGTTATGGGTCCTCGCAAGGGAGAGCAGCTTTCTCGGTAGTCTTGACAAGACTGCTTCGTTCACATCGGGAGGTCGACTTGACCTTCCTCACAAAATGGCAACTTGTTAGCACTGCGGGGAGGAGGTTTTGTCCGTTTCCATCCGGTTGGCTGGCGACACTCTTCCGGGGTCCCCTGGGTCTCGGGCTTTTCGAAAATTGCTTTCCGGCTCGCAATCACCCAGAGAATGTGCCAGAACAGATATGTCCAAGGGCGGTTTGAAGTATGGTTAACTCGCTAGTCTGGAACCCCAGGGTAAGCACAATAGGACACAGAAGCCGCTCGACCAGGAGACACATAATGCCGAAAGAGGTGGCCTTGAGTAAATTACTGTGTACCGAGTGCCTCTGGTGCCTCCTGAGGAAATGTCTCAACCAGACATGCTGGCGAGAGGCGTGTAAATCTCGTCACAGGGATCACTTGGGTTGACGCTGAATAGAATGAGGGAAGCCACGGTCTGGCAGCGCAACCATATCAGTTTGACAGGCATGTTCCAATCCAGAGTGTGCCCTACATTGGCACCGTGCAGGCACGTCCATGTACCGAGTACCTCGTAGTAACCTTGCATACCGAGTATGCTGTACTCGTATGCTGGTTGCGCAGTTGCTGTGGCGGGTGATGACGCAGTGACTGAGCCCCTCAGGTCGCAGAAGAGGCTGAAAAGGTTTGCTGAACCTTGGCGCCTAGATATGCTCCAATGAGAAGCGATGCAACTTGTATTTGTCCAAGGAGTCTTACGCAACTGCCTCTGGAAGAAACCCCACCTTCTCACTTTCAATTGGCCGCCGTCTCCAGGGCGATTGCCTTGTCTGGAACCTCCCGCACCTCCGTCTCTGGCGAGCGGACGAAACTGGATTTTCTGCAAGGCTGCGGACTTTCTTTGGCTCAACCCGCAAGGCTTGGTGCCCACTCCGGCCGCCCCCAAGTGTCACTAACTTGTCGATACTATGCGCAAACGTGATGATGGTGGCTCATCAGTGACATAGCACTGCTCCACCTCCGGTTGCCATAGAGAGGACGTCATCTTGAGGCGCAACTGACTTTCAGGTATATATCATTGACCTTGGACTGTTGGGCCTTCAGTTCAGGTTGACTTCTTTGTACTCAGACAGTCGACTAACCTCCACCTCAACGTGCTCGCCTCCTCTTACCCAGCCAAAGCCACCGAAACCTCATCGGCATCACGATACCTCTCCTTCAACAAAAACCCTGTCAACATGCATTTCTCCAAGCCGTTGATTCTGGCCTTTGCCGCCAGCGCTGCTGCTCAAGGCGACGTTAGCTCGGATATCAGCTCACTCGTATCGGTCGCCACCTCCATCGCCAGCGCAGTAACCTCTGCTGCTGGCTCGGGCGTCACTTCCGCGGCCTCAATTGCGTCGTCCCTTGCGAGTGCTATACCCTCAGGTGCCGAGTCGCTCGTCTCTGCCGCCCAATCCGAGGCTTCTTCCATCTCCTCGGACGCATCCTCCAGAATTGCCAGCCTCTCATCCGTGGCAGCCACCGCCAGCCCCTCTGCTCAGAGCAGCATCTCGAGCGAAATCAACAGTGTCTTGGCCAGCGCAAGCTCTGCCCAAAGCAGCATTGTGAACAGTGCGACTTCAGCAGCATCCTCCTTTTTGACCTCGGCCTCCAGCACCGTTAGCGATGTCGCATCCTCTGCTTCATCAGCTGCGACCAGTGGTGCCTCGTCGGTGGCGAGCAGTGCGTCCGCATCTGCATCTAGTGCTTCTGCTTCTGCGACCAGCGCAGCCGGCAACGGTGCCGCCGACGGTTATACTGTGCCTGCCGTGGGAATGATGGGTAGTCTTTTCTTGGGAATGGTTGCGCTCTTGTAAATGGTACACGAAAATTGTTATCATTGTCCGCCAGGATTCAGATTCTAGTTGCAAATAAAAGAAGCTTTTGTAACTTGAGAATTCTTGAAATTATTCCGGTATTTGGTCAACTTACTAAAATAGTAACTCTGATAGCTCAGTTTACAAAGTCTGACAGTGCAGGGTATTTCTAAGGAAGTCCACCAATGTATCGAAAAGGTTCATACGCTTGAAGAACGCTCTATCCCAACCATAGTATGTCAGGTGAATTAGCGTTCCGACTATCAGCAGAGTAAGGTGGATCTAAATATATCACAAATGATTCTTTGTCATGCCCTTACCGTGCTCTGCTCTTCAATGTCGGATGTATCCACCTGTTCAGAGAAATCTATTATGTTCTCTCAATTAATCGAAGGAGGCAGATATGTTTGAAAGGTAATCAAAATGGAAAAGGTTTGATCCACGCTGCGGATTGCAAGCTGGAGCGGTAGACACGGCGAATCTGAAATCTGCCTTTGCGGATGCTTCATGTGATCAACGTAGACTGCGGTGACGAAACTCACATCGCCGGCCGCTCGTACAACCCGCGGGCGGGTTAGACCCTCGCAGAGAGGCGATGGGGCAACCCCAGGCTAGCATCCAGTTCTCAACTCGCCTCATCCCGCCTCATCTTGTTTCAAGGCAAGCCATGTGGAACACTCGGCAGGTCACCGGCGTCGAGAGCCACTGAAGGAAGTCAATGACCTCATATCGCAGCAGCACCGATGGCGCAGAGAGGAGGCCGTGTCTCATGATCCGTGACCTCGCGAATTGTCCAGGCATAGAGCTTTGTCCAGAGCGTCGCGCCTCGCTTGGCCTCTGATTACACCGGTTAGGTGGCTTCCTGGGCAGGCGAAGATCACCCGTGGCATATTGGTCGGGCACCTCTCCTTTCCCCAGCTCCCGTGGTCCGTAGCCACTGAGGATACTGATAGAGACAAGACACATAGTCACCGCCGGATGCGCCGGCACTTTGTTGCATGGAAAGCCTCTTCCAGGGAATTTCCTGCGGGCTTTTGACATGATCACAGGAAGTGGGTAAAGAACCTCGTTTCAGCAAGATTCGGGGTGTCTTCAGGCGGTATTGGGCAGCGATAGATGTACTATCGGGACTCCGCAGGCACGAACGAAGGTGTGATGGCGCAAGTAGTAAGCGGTAGCCACATGTACTCCGAGATTGCCACCGAGTAGGTAGTGGTAGCCTGCTCTACCGCGAGTGGGGATGGAGGTGTAGCGAACAGCTCCATGCACCATGACGGCAAAAGAGTCTTGGAAGCGCTGTTCGAGAACAGGTTGTCGCATGACCGAGTTGATGGTCAAAGGGAGATGAACTGGTTCAGAGGTTTAGCCATCAGGGTCGGGCTGACTGGCACCCAGACTGGGAGGCACCCACGAAGGTGACATGGGCATTGCGCTCTCTACCCGAGACCTGGAACGGGAAGTGATAGCCTGAATGTCGATCCATAGTACTATAACATCCGGTCTTGGAGTTCAAGCCGAGGTCGATCTCCGCCCCGGTTGGGCACGAATTGACTTCATTGCTGTCATGTTCCCCCGAGCGGAAAGTACATGGCGACAAGATAGCTCTTTAGCACATGTTGAACCAAACGCGGACAGTTTTCGGGTTTGACGCGTTCCCCAGCACGCCCTTTCTGCAGCGAACCCCACTTACTGGCTTTAACGGTCTCATTCCGCCGCCAGCATCCAATTGAATTTGATCTTTGACGAACGCCTCACCTGGCGAAGTGCTAGACGAACTTCGATGTTGAACGTTCTTTAGCTGGGCGGAGCTTTTTCGAGACTTCGCTTTACAGACGGCGATCTGGAGGCAACAGTTGCGGCGGGTCAGCATCCACAATTGGGCTGCGATGAGGGTGACAACGTTAGGGAAAAAGAAACCGGGAACAGGCAAATTGCTGGAAATAGGACTGTACAGGAGGAGTGGCAGGTAGCAATGTTCAGGCGGATGATTGTTTCATTCGTCCTTTCGTCAGGTTGAGGCTGTTGACAGTACCGAGTACATTCTGAGATAAGATGGTCCGGACGACTTTGTTCAACCTCAGGCTGAGAAAGATTGTGGCGCAGGACAGGACAAAAAGAGGCTCTCTGTTGGGTGTCAAATTAACTAATAAGGCCAGATTGGGGCGGCATCCTGAGGGCTGGGTTTCCAGGAACAGTGGCTGACTCTTCTTTCCCCTGTCAACCGGTTGTATCCCTTTTTGCAACTCGTCCATACTGTTTATAGCTAGCACTCGTATGTTCTGGTGGCGGTTTGTTTCCAGCTTGTTTGGAAGGTTCGGAGAAGGGAGGATGGGGGTCTGGTGCCGCAGTTGACGCTGCGGCGTGTTGGTTTCAGAATCAGGCGCCAGTGCTGAGACGAGTCGCTGTGATCATCAAAGTAATTGCCCCTAAGCGGACCTGGTGAGCGCTTCGCCGGCTCGAGGCAATCAAACAATAAGGATCACTGCTCAAGCAGCTATCTCGTCGCAGCGAGGGGCGGGCTGGAAAATGGCGATGCTACGGTGGCAAAAAAACAAACGAAAGGGTCCAGGAGGAGACCAGAGGGTGCGAAAAGTACGGGACACCAAATACCCTTGAGTTTGTTTTGCCGCAGTTTGCTGCAGGAACAGGTGGACTGTGATAGGCTTGGGAGGTAGAATGATGGAATACCTGCAGGTTGTTGTGGCGGGATGATCTCTGACAGGCAAGTGAGGGAGCCACACAGCTGGCATGCACGCCCGTAGTTCAACTAAATATGCATTAAGCAGGCACGTAGGTAGGCACTTCGTACAGTGAAGGGACCTAGGTGTGAACCTGCAGCTTGCTTTCCCCAGCCCTGCAGGCGCATGGTGTGTGACTTGGCTCCCTTTGATCTTTCGGCGCAACGTCATCCCCTCACTCGGGGATTCGACTTTACCAAAGGGAATACGAAAGGGTGGGCAGGGGGCTCCTCTCGAATGAGAATATGCCGCACCTTCTGTAGGTAGCACTGGTAGGTACGAGTGCAAGCGTCCTCTCAACTTTACGAGTAATTCGTAGCCCGGCGCCCGGGCGTGCCCATAGTCCCCCATCTCTTCCACCTAAAGGCCAGTTCCAGTGCCGTGTCCCAGTGGATTGTCTCAATTTCCAGCCAAAGTCAATTGAATTGGCTGCCCAATTAATCCACATTCCCAGGGGATTCCCACCACCATGCCATCCCAATGCTTGCCAATCTTGAGGAACACGAATCCGAGCCCGTCACGGCAGTGTGCGACTTTGCTGCTCGATTGGGCGTCGGTCGTCTTGTGTTTCGTTTGAATCACAAAGTCCCCTTTCCCACTCTGCCAACCCACAGCCCTGCCAACCCTGCCTACCCGTTTCCATAGCCTTCCTGGTTTCCATCCCCGTCACCCGTCCACCCCAAAAAACATCCACCCCTTTAGCACCTTTCGCCCTGTTGCGGATGCTGCCGTTTGTTTCTTTTGGTTTTGGTTACCCGGATCCCTGGTCCCTCGTCATCTGAGTCACTGGCAACACGCCAGCAAGGCTTAGGATTTTCAGTTGCCTGATGCTAGGTCCCGATTTGGGATTCTGCCTGATGCCGACCCATCCTCACCAGGCTTCAGCAACCAAATAAGCCTGGATTGCTGATTCCTGCAATTGTGACTCTTCAGCATTGCTGTGCACCTGCTATAAAGCCGCTTTCAATTCCTCCCTCAATTCTGCCCTCTCAACTCTCATACAATCCAACAGTCAGCACTCCCAAATCACACACAATCCCATCACAACACAACCATCCTCCAAGAAACCCCCTTAGCGACATTTTTGGAACCCGCCCCCACCTCCATCCACTGTCACCACTTTTAGCACCTTCGCCACAAGGTTTCCAATTCTCTGAGGGCCATCCTTCCAGACCTTCTTGGAATCATACCATCTCAAATCTGTGAACCTTGCACCCGCGATATAAATCTCAGGGCATCTCCTCGCTGAAATTCTGCGTCTCATACATCGCCCTTCCAGACACATTCACCCCACCACCACCACCAAGTAAAGAAACAAGTCTATCGCAGACACACTCCAATTCTCCAGTCGTCACTGTTGGTTGAAATGGCTCCTCAGTATCACAGCTCATCTGGCTCCAGCAGCGCTGGTGAGAGAATCTACCACGACTCACGGAGAGAACAACGCGAGCGCAAAGAGCCTCGTAAACCTGTCAAGCGAGAGGTGGTCATCGTCCACCACCGCGACGCTGTCACTCGCGACCAGACCAGATCCTCGGACATGGCCCATAACAGATGGAGGTGAAAGTCAAACAAGACAAAACCACTCCAAGAAATGCACGCTATGCATGCCTGTACGAATCAATCATACTACACACTGGGAATTTGATACCAAGCGGAAGGAGTTTGGGAAAAGGGAATACTTCGATTGGGCACGATTGGGAGTTTACTGGGTTCTTTTGCGGCGTTGATGCGTGATCAATACTCTTGAAGAGTATGCAGCAAGACTGTCACACAAGCATTTTCCTTTGTTACCGGTCCAGGGTTGCCATTCAACGCATCTTTTGTACTACTCTCGAGGTCCTGGCTACTTTCCCAGGCCTCCTGTCTCTGATTGTGGATCAGATGGGCAAATGTCACCAATATCTCACATAGAAATCCACGGACGCGAGTCTTGGGTGTATGCGGCGAGGTGGAAGAAGCAGTCTTCATTGTTATGGGAACGTTCCCACCTTCATAGGGTCTATCCGACTTTATCGATTGCCGTATCATAATCATCAGCCTATCGATAACAGTGATGATAATCAATCTCGTTCAAATCCTCAAGTTTACTATTCGTCCTCGTACAGTCTTTATGTGTTTCTATTCTTGTCGTTATTGCAGGACGATGTTTCCCCTTTGCCCAGCGCAGGACAAGAGAGTTTTTCCCTTCCCGTCTTCCATCATGTCTCCTTTCGATGTCGATCCCGCAGCCTAAAAGCATTCGGTCGGAGAGCATAAGATCGTCCTGCAGAGCAGCCAATCGTAACGGGTGAGGCGGCGGCTTAGCTGCTTTTGCTTTTAGCTGCGGCGGGAACAGTGGACATGGGGTTCCTCCTCGAGTCAGAGGTCGAAGTTGGCGGATGGAAACCGAACAGCTGGAGCATACCGGATGGGTTCCAATTTGATGGTTACACCCGTCGACGCGGGCCACTGGGGCTCCTGGGCCAAACTCCTGCAATTTTGGCTTTAGGGCCCGCGGCACTTGCTCCACAAAGAGTGGCAGCTTGAACTTGAAGGGCAATGGGATGGGAAGGTTTGGAAGGGAGAGAGAACTTGCATGATCCCGCATGATGACCCGAGCCACAAGGCAGTTCTCGACAGTTCTATCCTTTCTTTGCTTTGCTCCGAACCCGCCGCTCATTGTCCGGACCAAAAGGTTTTCTTCAACTTGGCGGAACTTTTGTATCGGCTTCGCACCATTCGGGGTTCCGTCTCTCAAGTATCGGACGTGCTGCGAACACATGAGTACAGACAACTTTTATGTAAGATGGAATGCCACCCTCTGGTGCCATTGCATCCATCAATCTGCGCCTTGTCAATGCTCTGATTTCTCAGTCAACTTTGAATGCCTCTAATCAGGCGCATTGTGCATGGCGCGCGGTAGTCCAAAGGGCCGTGCATTTGGTCCCTCTTTCGGTCCCATCAGCCAAGTTCCTCCAATCCGTACCGTCCAACTGGCACCAGCTACTGCTGCATGCCACGACGATGACCTGCCGCAGCTCTTTGCTGCCATCTGCGAATGAGACCGGTCGCAGATCACCTGCAGCTGTCGCTGTGCTGTGGCCTCCGAAGTACCATGCGTCCTAAAGCTCTCCGACTCGTTGACCGCCAAAGGTCCCGTATCCTCCCAATCCTCACTCCCGTCAATTCGTTGCCCCTTGCAGCGGTGGTCGCTGCTACTACCCATTTTGATGAGAGAGAGATCCAATGTCCAGCATGTCGGCTACTCGCGGATAAGTGCCAGATTCACGAGTTGTGATTCAGCTGCACAGCATCGTGGAGAATCATGGGCTACGGCCGACGCCGAAGTTCTGGTCCACGTGTCCGAGTCCCTGCGATGTACTTTCTCCTCCCACTGAGCCTCCTTCAATTGCACCGGATACCTTTCTATTGAGTGCTTCTACTTTGTGTGCCATGTCCACATGCCCAGACATCTACATTTGGATGGTTTGATTGTTCTTGTCATCTCGATCCTGCGCATGGCAACAGGAGGTGTCTATGCCAACCCCAGTGTCTTGACAAGCACCGAGAAGTCTTCCCATGTAAATCAATTCCTGACTTACGCAACCAATCATGGCCTGGTTGTCGTGTTTGGGTGATTCCTGCAGGTACAATGTTGTTCAAATGACAGCCTCGTACTGCTCTTCGTCCTTGAGGATGTCTGTGGCTGAGCGGACAGACTGTTGGCGACACAGCCTCCTTCCGTGTCCTTCGGCTAGCTGCGTATCGAGCTCCCCGAACAGTGAATGCCTGGTTCTGCAACGAATCCCCCATACAGTCCACAACAAGAACTCCCATTCCATTGCAGACGGAGTAGCACCCTCTGGATGGCCACGTCAAGAGCAAAGACAGGGTAGCATTCCAAGCGTGTTGGCAAGACAATTCCACACAGCCCAGCCCAGGTCAAAGCACATGCATTCAGTGTGATTATCGACACATGGTCACGCTACCCGGTCTGTGGGCGTGCTGGCTAAGATTAGAGAGGTGTGAGCACGCAAGGGGGCCTCCTGTAATGTGCTCGATGCTCGGACAGAGAAGTCGGTCTCAATCGACCAAGCCAGCTCGAGGTGTTCTCGCCCAATGCCTCCCTTGTCTCATGCTCGATATACACGAAAACACGACCGGGCCTTGCGTGCTTCTGGGATTTATTATCATCAGTAGTACCCGGCGCTAAAAGCCGGTCTTCATGTGTATGTACTCCTTCTGTACTTGGACTCGGGATCTTGGCACCAGAAGCTTTGACTGGTGTGTGACTGGTTTAACATGGGGTGTGCATGGCTTCAAGTAAATACTTCGGTCCCAGATGAGGGGAGTTCGAAGCTTTGCTGATCTTGCTGCAGGGAGATGGATTCCATCCCCTGGGATGCGGCTGGATGCGCCTCGTTGGAAGCTTAGCAGGCACCATCACCACCATGAGGGGGGGAGGACACCTTGATTTTCGTAGGTATTGAGACTCTGGAGTGCTGATCCCCCCTTTTATGTATCTTATTACCTTATTATCCTTTCAAAGGCACTCAACCCATCGACGACCAGCTCGATTGCGTGACATCTAGGTTTTGTTCGTTCAGGAGCATCCTTCTTACAAGGACCACATAGAACAAAATACTCGCACGCTTATGCAGTTTCATACTCCTTTCAACCTTTGGGGGGCTTGCCTGCCAAGTCTGCAAGACAAAACCCCCTGTGCTCTCTCACGGGCTCACCGCATTTGTAGTTGGATTCAAAACAAATAAATTGTGCCTGGTGTACTCGCTTCACGTCCTTCTCATTTTTCTCTACAATCCAAAAGTTCTCTCTTGTGCTGGTGCTTACAATTAATTACAAAGATCACTCCGACTTCTATAGATATTACGGTATGGCGTTGGCACACGCAGCATTCCAACCCTCTCAACTGTCCATCCGGCTAATTTGAGATACAGAGAAACACGTCAAACATGGCTCCAGTTGCTGCCGTCCTCTGCGGTAAACATCCGCAATTGACTGAATACATGCTCAAGAATCTTCTTCCCAAGATCGAGGGTGAGTTCTCTGTCCCAGACGGCGCTTCCTGCGAGAGGGACCTCTATCAACTGGAGATTGCTTCAATCGAAGTGGCTCATTGTTAACTGAACCCCCATCGTGTTAGTCGTCCATGTCTGCAACAGCACCGATACTGCAGTCTCTGAGATCCCGGGCCTGCTGAAAGGCACCGTCAGCCCTCCCTCGTCAGGTCTGGGCTCGAACGCGGAGGGAGCTGGCCGGTCCGACATTTCACTCATCATCATCGGCGGCGGCTTCACGCCAGAAGACTTTCAAGCCATCAAGTCAGCCGCCGACAGCGTGAAGCCCCTGCCATTGTTCTGTGCCGACACCAGCAAGGTCCCTGCCGGTGCGGGCCCTCCGCCTCCAGAACTGATCAAGAAACGGATGTTGGATGCTATCGAGAAGGAGGAGAAAGGCGAAGGAGAGTGGGCCCCTGGCTTGTACATGTATTGATCGGCAGCCCAGGTTCTTGAGAGACAGGAGGGCTGAAAGGACTTATTGGAGCTTTGTTCTCGTGTCTCAAAAGATAGTGAGAAGGGGGGGAATGTGTCCGAGTGCCGCTGACATGACCGGGACTCGGTCGGCTCTTTTGCTCTTTTGAGGCTGCTAAACATAGGCACAACAAGCTCCATATGACTATGTACTTTCATGCTTCTACCAAACTTGATGTTCAGGCTATTGATCAATCTCACTTTTCTCTCCACGGAGATCTTCTGGGATCGGTAGCACATCAGATCGTGCCTGTGGCGACGAGACTTTGGCAGCCGGCACACCTTGATGCCCCAACGCCCGCAGCTCGGCGGGGCAAAGTGGCAATATCACAACCCAAGCATGTGTTCGTAGATATCGAAACGTGGGGATCAGCTGGCGCTAGGATCTGCTTGAAACTCTTGTCTTTCTTTGGTCATCATGTCTGGGCTCCTTGCATCCAATGCATCAATACGTCAATGCACCTTGAGGTGCCATCATTGCCCAGCTCACTCATGGTTACACAAAGGTCCATTCCTCCCCCTCTCACCGTTCACCTCCTTCCAATAATCATCCCTGATGCCCGGATGCCTGAGATCAAAACCCGTCAAAATTCCCCGATGCTCTTGCTACTGGTTCATCAAGCGCCTATGGCCTTGATTGTGTCTACTTTGATCTCTTGGACGCACTTTGATTTTGAGACCTTCTTATCGCCACAATGTCTCTGTCTTGAGCAGCCATCTACTAGACCGCCAAATACGACGATGTATCATGAGAGATTAGCAACACTTCTCTTGATATGTCGACCTAGGGAGGGTGTTTGACACCAACCACAGCATGGATGTTCACTTCTCTTTAGTCATAGCCGTCATCTGTGTCCTTGCTCTTTATGTGCTTCACCGGGTGGCAGAAGAGCAAAAAAATGAGGTAGGTTAACCATCAGGTCCCCCAGGAGCCACAACATGACTGACTGACTGGGCTTCAGGAATATAGTGCTATCGCGGACCTTCATGGCTGCCGTCCGCCTCCAAGGCTTCAAAATCAGAGACCTCTAGGTCTCGACCGCCTTGAGCAGATCTTCCAAGCCAATGCTGAATCTAGACTTATGGAGCTTTTCCTTTTCCACTTTCGTCAAACAGGAAATACCCTTGAACAGGTATTCTTAGGGTCAAAAGCGTTCGGGACTATCGACCCGGCAAACCTGGAAGCTATACTAAGCTCGCAATTCAGTGGTGAGCCTACTTCGACATCCCGCCTGCACGATGGAAAGTTGACCCCCTTGGCCAGATTTCAGCATGGGGTTGAGGAGAGAAATAACGTTTCCCATGTTCGGAGATGGTATTTTCACTCAAGAAGGTGCTGCGTGGAAGCATTCGCGAGACTTGCTCCGGCCACGGTTCGTCCACAAGCAGTATGAGAACTTGGACATTTTCCGAGACGCTATCGATGACCTCCTCAATGCCATCTCAAGTTGTGGTGGTGTCGTCGACCTCCAGCCGCTCTTCTTTCGCCTCACCCTCGACACCACGACCGCTTATCTTTTTGGCGAATCTGTCAGAAGCCTCCGAACCCCTGAATCAGCCGGGGAGAAGTCGTTTGCCGTTGCATTCAATCCTGCTCAGGCATATGTCGCCAAACGCTTTCGACTGCTCGACTTGTACTGGATGATTGGCGGCAAGCCATTCCGTGAAGCCTGCAGAAATGTGCACAAGTTTGCAGACCAGATCATCGACCGAAATTTATTGCATAAAGGAAAAAGTGTGGGAGGCGATGAAAGGGGGCTTGGTTTTCTCGATACAGTGGCAAAGGAAATACCAGACCGACGTGCGCTTCGAGGTCAGATTATAAACCTGTTAGTTGCAGGCCGTGATACGACAGCTTGTCTTCTGTCATGGACATTGTACGGAAACAAATCCCATGCTCCTTTGTCGACAAGCCTCTGAAAACATGCTGACTCTGATCCACAGCTTTAGTTTGGTCAGACACCCCAAAGTGCTCGACAAACTACGATCAGAAATCAGTGATGCCTGCGAGTGCGAGGCAGAATTGAACCGGAATAGTCTTCGGAGTATGACCTATCTTCAGAACGTCATCAAAGAAAGTCCGTTTTTCCACACTTCCCAAGTTGTATACCAAACTTTACTCGGCACTAACTAACTTAATCGACAGCTCTTCGACTGTATCCATCAGTGCCTGTGAATTCCAGAACAGCCACGAGGACGACCATTCTGCCTACGGGAGGCGGACCGGACCGGAAATCTCCCGTGCTGATCCCCAAAGGTGCTTCTGTTGCGTATAGCGTCTATGCTATGCATCGAAGACCCGACCTCTACGGGATGGACGCCGACCTCTTCCGGCCCGAACGATGGGATGAAGACATGCCCTTGAACCAGGATCCCACCAATGCCAAATGGGGCTACCTTCCCTTCAATGGTGGGCCACGGATATGTCTGGGCAGTATGATCTTTCCACCACCCAAATATTTGAGTGAGGAACAACATGCTGACTGACAGGATGACGGTCAGTGGACTTTGCCGTGACTGAGGCTGCCTATACCATTGTTCGGTTAATTCAGCGTTTTCCCACCATCAGACTTCCTCCGGGTGAAGTAGTCGAGCGGACTGGGGTGGAAAAGCAAACCATGACCCTCGTCATGTCCATTGCCGAAGGTTGCAAGGTTGAATTGCAGTGCTAGTGAAGATATAGAATGCTTTGAACACGGTGGAAATTTCTCTTTTTGCAACGCACATCAAGGTTGTATTTGATCTCTCAACAGCTCTGCAGCTTCGTTGTGTACGCATGGCTCTCAATACGACGTCTGTCGAGGGAAGGGGGCTGTTGATGGATGGATGGGAATGAAATATGGGTTGGGAGAATGGACTTTGGACCAGGATTGATACCAGGCCGGTTCGTGCGTGGAATACTAATACTGAACACCACAAGCTTCCACAATTGCAGTTGATCTGGTTGGATCCCCAGGATATGACAGGTCAGGACGTGATTGTCTCTCTCTGTGCGTGTGCGTGTGCGTGCCGCTTGGTGGCTATGGGCACAAACACAACAAAGCCCTCTATGGCCAGACAAATCTCGACCTGGCCTGACCTGACGAGGATGGCAGAAGACTGAGAGCAGATGTTTTGCTAGCAATTGCCCGCACAGCCGGCTGCTCTTCGGCTTGAGCGGATGGCATCAAGTGAGAGGCAGATGGACACAGAGAGAGAGCAGATGAAATGAACAGACAAGAATCACTTCCCACTGTGCTGTGCCGGACCAGCTTTTGAAATCCCTCACCTGGTCGCGTCTTCTTTCTTTCTTCCTGGCTCTTTTCCACCACCACCACCATCATCATCATCAACCCTTGTTCCATCAACATTTCCCTTTCTTCCACTGTTCTTGTGATCGATACAGCTCACAGGAACATTGTCAAAGCACCGTCACTTTACCTGCAGACGCTGTCAGGTCGACTTGCTCTTGTTCTGCAAGAAACTTGATCAGTGGTGAGTTCGAGATGGATTGTGCGCCGTTTGAGAGTTGAGGACTGACCGTGAAAAACAAAAAGAGATCTATCACCACCACATCGCACTTCGTCTCGTCAACGATCCGCCAGAATCCAAAGATCCCCGTTGCATCGCAGAGGAGCGTTCAGCCTTTGAGCCGCGCAACAAAAAATAAACATGTCGTTGAATAACCGTTCTCGTCGCTCTCGGCGCTCTCGGTCTCACCTCTCTTCCTCTCACTCTTCCGCTTACTCTCAACGCCGCTCAGATCCATCTCCTCCACCCAGCTTCAGTCATCTCTCTGGCGGTCCTCCCAGCTTCCACACTCACTCTGATCCCTTCGAGTCTGACTTCATCATGCCTGGTACCACCACCGTCATGGCTGGCGGCTGGAGCGACGCGAGGTCACCAACTCCGCCCGAGGGCGTCATCCGAGTCGAAACCAGCTTCACCGTCGAAGAAGTCTTCATCGAACCTGAACCCGCCAACAACAATTCCACCAGCGCCATCTTCGGTGACTCGAGCAGCCACTACCAAGCCACTGTCTGGTCCGCGGCGTCGCAGGTCGCTCGAAACCTCTTTGAGCCGCAAGTGAACAATGGACGAGGAGGAAACATCAACATCGACCGTACAACCACCAGTAAATGGGTTGCAACTGCTCTGCTGTTGGCCTCTGTCAATCTTCTCACCATGGTCACCGAGAGCATGATGCCGGTCATGATCCCAAACATCATCTATGACCTCAACGTCCAAGGATTTCAGTGGCTCATCGCTGGTCCAGCCATCGGAGCGGCAGCCACGGCACTGATTGCAGGCCACCTCTATGTCGTCGTCCCGTTCAAGCACATTTACACCGTCTTCGCCTTCATTGTCTTGATCGCCACCATCTCACCTGGTTTTGCCCCGAACATGGCCTTCCTCTTCTACACCCGAATTCTCCTCGGCGTGGGTCTGGCAGGTCAGCACTTTGGCATGCTGGTCTTTTTGGAACACAAGGGCAGTTTCGCAGACAAGATCCGACGCGATTTCTTCCTCACCCTCAGTTCCACACTCGGTCTGATCGTCGGTCCCATCTTCGGCTCCATCTTTGCTCATCGCAACAAGAACTGGTCCTGGGGTTTCTACACCGCCTTCCTGCTTCTCGCCCTGGCCTTGGTCTTCCTCTTCTACCTGCTTCCCACAGAGGTTGAAATTGCGGCAAACGCACCCTGGGCTTGTGGTCCGGTCTTCAACTGGAGCCATCGCATCAACTGCATCGACACCCTCGGCGGCCTGCTCTGCTTCTTCGGCATCATCACACTGTTGGTCACATTCAACTTCGCTGGCATCTTGATTCCATGGACAAGCGGATACCTTTACATCTCTCTAGTCATTGGCGTCGTCCTGGTCGTGCTGCTCATCCTCCAGCAAGCATACCGAATTCTCAACTCACCATCGACTCGTCTGTTCCCTGTCGAGTACTTGTCAAACTTCAAGACCATGGCTCTGTTCGTTCTCATTTTCCTCACTGCTGCCATTTTCCAGACCGGCTTCTCTTACACCACGCTCTATCAACTGCTCACGCGTCCTCAGCCCTCAGCAGTCAAGACGGCATTTTACCTCTTCTTCACCATGACGGGCCCATACTTGATCCCAGTCTTGATGATGCCAGTGTACCTCGGCGGCGGCTTGATCATGCGTTGCCCAATGATCCCAAGCTACAGCTTCTGGAGCCTCATCTCATCGGTCTTCCTTCTCCTCGGCACCGTCCTGCTCTTCATCAACATGCCATCTGTGTTACCCAGCTCAGAGGGCCTGCCGACAATCGCCAAAGAGCTCGGTCTTGCTTGCATCGGTTCCTGGTCTACAATCACCTTGTCAATGGGCCACCAGCTCATGGACTTGCTCCAGTCGCCACTGGCGCGCGGCAGCCAGGATGCCCGCCAGAAACACCCGCTGCACAACCGTGCGTTCGTCTTGTTCGCGACATACCTCGGCGCGGCCGTCTCCCTGTCAATCGCCGGCAACATTTTCATGCACGTCGGGCTCCAGGCCCAGTTGGCGTTGCTGGAACAAGCCAACGACGCCGGCTACCCGGCCAACGTCGACAACGCGCTGGTGCTTCTCCTGGGCTACACCTTCATCGACAGCAAGGTGGCACCAGCGCTCTTCGGGGCGTCGATCGCCGCCTTGGAGAACGCGTTCGGCTGGTCTTTTGTCGGGGTTGTCGGTTTTGCCGTCGCCGCCTGCGCGGTCAGCAGCTGTCTCTTGGTCGCGAAGGCGGCCAACGGCGAGCTGACCTGCCACATGCGTGCCCGCCGCGCCCAGATCCCCGAGGACTGGCGCGCTGGCATGGGCACGCGTGGTGACCAGCGCGACATCGAGCTGGAGGACCGCGTGAGCGGCACCACGCTCTGATGGGCGGTGGCGGTGGCGATTGTCCGGTGTCTTGTGGTGGTGGTGGTGGTGGTGGTGGTTGTTCTCGGTGGGGCGGTCGACCGCAAGAGGTCGTCGCCTTAGTCAAACGTGCGCAAAGAGCACGTAGAATTGAGAAAAGAGACGGCGACCAGCGCCAATTGCTGGGGAAAAGGGCAGTGAGCATAGCGAGCGCGCAAAGCGCAAAATGAATGACAAAAAGAATTGGAAATGCATGTTTTATGTCTCGTTTCTCGCTGTAGGAGTGAAGTATCGTGTATTCATCGTCAAATTCTGTTTCCAAACGTGTATTCATCGTGAAGAAGCCAGGCCCAGCATTCGACGAGGAGTTCGGCGACCAAAATCAAAGCTGAATGGGGAACAAGAGAGGAGAGGCAAAACAAGTGCTCTCTCTATCTCTATCGTCGTTCTTTTGCTGGGGTATCATTAATCTCTCATTCCCTCTTCCATGTCCGGTGGAGGGGTGCTTTCTATCGACCGCGAGATTTATCAATCAATGTCATCCTCGTCCGATGGTATGCGTTCGCTGTCTCTATCGCGCTCTTCTTGGACGTGCGCGCCATCTTGATTGTCTGATCCATACTCTCGAGCTGCTTCCTTCAACTCGTCACCAAACAGTAACGTAAACACGACCACGCCATACACTTCCCCGCTCCTCTTGTTTTTCAGAGTATATCGCAGCTCATGCGTCTTGGAGTCGACGTATTGGATCACGTTCAGTGTGAAGCCGGGCAACTTGAGGGAGAAGTCGTTGAAGTCCAAGTACGGGTTGCCGAAATCGGACTGGTAGAGACGGCCGCGCTCGAAGGTGAAAGAGGAGAGATTTGTGCGATTGAGGAAGTGTTTCTGCCGGCCAGGAGGGTCGGCGGGAATGTTGGCCTCGGAGCGCAGGGCGAGACCTGTACCTTCGCCGCCTTCTTCGACGATGACGTCGTGGAAGTTCTCAGTATGTTCCTCTGGGATCTTCCATGCGTGGCTTTCATCCTCGTCGACCTCGGCCTCACCGTCCTGGTCCTCGACATCTGACGATGGGGACGAAGATGGAAGCTGGTCCTTCGGTATGACTTCGTCGCCAATCCTCAAGATATTCCAACTACTCAGCGCCGGACCATACAAGAATGGTTTCTCCGCGTAGACATCCCCATCTAACCCTGGATCAATCCACCATTTCACAATTCTAAACGCCTGGTTGAATCCGGGCGGTAACCTATCTCGTATAGGCCGGTCGAAATCATTCCCAAACACCAGCTCTTCACCCGGAATGTCCCGCTTGGGGACGAAACTCAAGGATATGCTGTATTGGTCATATTTATGGAGGTCGGAGGTGAAGTATTTCTCGGCGGTGACGGGGGATGAGGGCGGAAACCCTGTGAAATGGCGAATGCGGACACACACAGAGAAGATTATGGAACGGGTCTCGAACGTGAGGGTTTCGGGGCTGTTGACGGGGACGGTTTTGTGGGTGGCGGAATCGTACGAAGGCCCGGCGGTGACGCGCAGGCGATATTGAGAGTGGTGGGAGGCTTGCGACTGATCGGGGGAGGATGATTCTCCCATAACAGGCAGAAGTTAGTTTACTCGATTACGAAGCGCGTGGTTGTTTGGAAATCTCTATCAAGTGTTCGCTCCAGTCGTTTAGGTGATTCAGTGTTTTGCAGCTTGACGCAGCTTGCGGGGAAATTTCTCGTTGAATTTGGTCGTCAATGTCATTTCCGTCTACGGCATGTGCCAAGATCGCTCCCCTGACTGCCTCGCATGCCTGATCAGGTCTTACGTCAGGCTGCAGCGTTCTCGGTCGACCTTCCCTGAAACTACACGGGTTCCGCCTCCAACAATTCAGGCTTGGTGTATTTTCCGGTCCTGAGCTGTGGGCAAGATACGCTCCCATGCGATGCACCTGATGAAAAGGGTGACAAGGTGAAGTCAAACATACCTTGAGCAGCTACAGTACTATAGCTTGCGCTTCTCGCTACAAAGACTTGCCACGCGGCTGTCCTCTCTATGAAATATTCCACTAGAAGCTCTCGGTCGGAATAAATGGAGCAGAACCAGACCCATATTATCGCCTAATCCAGTTAAGACTGGTCCATGGTACGTACGATCGCCAATCATCTTTCTATGCGACTCCACCCAAACTTATTCATTCTGTATTCGTCCCTCTACATACATTCCGCAGTTAGCCAGACACCTCACAATGCCACTCCTGCGGAATAATATGCTGGCGTCTCCAATGAAACTGTGAGATAAAAGGGTGAGGTTGTTTCCGCCGAGAATGGAGACGGGGGTCCAACCATCAGCATTGCGGAAGCTGGCGGCCGAGAGCATCTGGGCTTTTTGAACTTCAGTACTTGGTGTTGGCACTGCTCGGCGCTCAAGGCTCCGCGACAGTGGTAACGGAAAAGTTGAGATTGGTCTAAACCTCGGCGTTGCACTCCGGACCATTATCTCCGCAAGTCAGGTGTAGAGGCGGGGACCAAAGCCTGGGGTAAGGAGCTTGGTGCCGGTCCTCTACATATAGACGGACTGGGCGTTGGTCACTCGAAGGCTTGAAATATTCTTTCGCTACCAACTACACAATGGACGAAGACAAAATCGCACGCCCTGTCGAGGTCAACTCGGTGGGCGAACAACATATTGCCATCCAGACCGAAACCTTTGCCATTGACGAAGAAGCCTTGGGCAACAACCTGCCCAAGCACTACTATCGCAGCGTCGGCTTCATTGGCACTGTTATCGTGAGTGTCGGCCTTTGTTGGTGTTGCCATTTCAGCGGCAGATTCAATTGCTAACGCGACGTGCACGGATAGGCTCTCGCCTTGGGAAGTATCAGCAACCTTTTGGGTTGGTCGCTGCCTTCAAACTCGTTGGCCATCATCAACGCGGATATCGGCCCTTCCAAGAACATTACTTGGGTCGCTTTGGCATACACCCTGGGCCTGTCCGTGGGCTTCCTCATCATCGGGCGGCTATCTGATATCTTTGGCCGGAGATGGTTCTTCATTGGTGGCAACGCCTTTTCCCTGGTCGGCTCCATCATAGGAGCGACCGCCACCCGCGTCGACAGTCTGATCGGTGCCAACATTCTCAACGGACTTGGAGGAGCCGTGCAGATATCCTTCACCGTCGCCATTTCCGAACTGGTCCCGAACAAGCACCGTCCACTCTGGATCTCAGGCATCTTCTTGTCTCCCATCGAGTTTGCAGGGTTTGGGCCCGTCATTGCCCAGACGTTGGCTGAAAAAACGGCAGCCGGTTGGCGCTGGTCGTACTATCTCAACATCATTGTGACGGGACTGGCTGTGATTCTGTTCTTCTTCTGCTACCATCCACCGAGCTTCCGCCAACTCCATCTCGATCGCTCCACGAGGCGACAGTTGGCACGGCAAGACTTTGTGGGACTTTTCCTCTTCACCGGAGGCCTGATAATCTTCCTGATGGGACTGTCGTGGGGAGGAATCCTCTATCCCTGGAAATCGGCCCACGTCATTGCTTCAATCGTCGTCGGCTCCGTCGTCTTGGTCATCTTTGTCGTCTACGACGCCAAATTTCACAAGGGCGATGCGCTGCTCCCCATGCGGCTGTTCAAGTATAGAGGCTATCTCGCCATGGTTTTGACCGCCATGGTCGGCAGCTGTGTCTACTATTCGATGACGGTCCTGTGGCCCCAGCAGATCAGCTACCTGTTTGGTGGCTCGCCGACTCATCGAGGCTGGCTGGCCTGTGTGGTGGGCGCCTCGTTTTTCATCGGACAGATCATCGGAGGGCCCATGTGCAGATGGATCCCACAGTCTCGCTGGCTCATGGTCGGGACCACCTTGGTCCTGCTGGCCTTCTCGGCGGCCATGATCACCGTCGGGCCCGGTCAAGAGTCAAAGGGCATTGGCATTTTGTTCATTGCCTGTCTGACGGTCGGGATCGTCGAGACCTGCGCCCTTGCTCTGGCGCCCTTGCCCCTCCCGACAGAAGACATTGGTGTCGCCCTGGGTGCTCTAGGGAGCATCCGGTCCAGCGGCGCCAGCGTCGCCACGGCCATCTACACGACGATCCTGAGCAACAAGCTCTCCGACTTTACCGGGCCCAGAGTGACCCAGGCCGCCCTCGCAGCCGGTCTCCCGCAGGATAGTCTCTCCGCACTGCTGACCTCCCTTGCGTCCGGCGACCTGAGCGGCGTTTCAGGGATGAACCCGACCATAACCGCAGCTGTCGCGGCTGCGACCGCCTCTGCCGCCGCCGACGCATTCAAGTAAGCCCAGCCTCGTCCCTGTCCTCCCCTTTGGTTCCCTTTACGTTATTAAATTATTTCACACGTGGTTACGACTTCTAACAAAAAACTTAATTTGCAGATATGTTTGGTACGCCGTGGTGGCCTTTGCCTGTGTCGCGGTGATCGCGGCGTGCTTTACCGTCAACTACGGCGACTTCATGACCGACGAGGTGGCCCGGAAAATGCACGGTCGCATTGTCGGAGAGAAGAAGGAAGAGGGTTTGCCTGAGAAAGACCAGGAGGCATGACTTGACTTTACTCGAATAGACTGGACTGGACTGGACTTGACCAGCCAGCCCTCCAGCCCTGAAAGGAAAGAAAAAAAAAAAGTCTCCGAACGGTCTGGGATGAACTCTCAGGGATTACAGGATTAAGGGGGACCGAGTCTCTCGGGTGGCCAAATCTGATCTGATTTTAATCTTCATTTCCTCTCGGTGTCTTACTCTTCTACTCTCTCTACTACTCCAACATGACGCAGAACCGCGCACATTCCCCCAGTTTCTTTTACGCCCTTTTATACAAGGCTCTTTATATCCTCCAACCCATCGATATATTGCCCCACCGCCTCCCCAGATTCAAGACGAGATATCGAACGGTGCCGTCGTCGTCGTCGCCGTCATCGGAAGGAGACTATCGAAAGAAAAAGGACTGTACCCTACCAGACTAGCGCTGGTGTAGGCAAAATCCTCATTTGCGGCTATTATGAAGATCTCGTCGACGGACTCGCCGACACTGCTTGCAGTGGCTGTTACAAGGCCGTTGTCGTCGTCGCCGGCGTCGCCATCAGCCGCTCCCTTGGCGTTGGCGGCCCAGCCTTCGACGAGCGTCGGTCGGCGAGGCCGCCAATAAGCACCGCGGCGGCCGTGGCTATCGGGTATATCGCGACACCGCTCATCGAGGTCGCGTCGCCGTACGTCTCGCGGTAGTCTTGCAGCACCCGAGTTATATGCGTGGCGTTGCTCCGGCAAGTCTGCCGCGAGTTTGCTGTCTGAGACACCGATCCAGAAGAATCACCACCGAACCTTGCCGCAGGTTGGTGTAGCAGGATCATGGCCGCGCAATATTTCATCCTGGGATTTTGATTGTTAGCTTTCTTGACGAAGTGTCCCCGGGACTTTCGATCTACTCACTGGAGAATGGCCATGGATGGCGGACAGCCTTTCCTGTACCGCACAGACAGGTGAAGCCCGTTGTACCACGACTGTAGCCGGTCGTTGAGGATGGACAACTTCTCCGTGGTACACTTTTCGCCGTTCCTGCAAACGAGTCAGCACTGGTCTGGCGAGGACTCTGGAGCAACGACGTACAGCGTATTGCAGATGCGGCCCACGATCTGTATGAGGCTGGTCCAGGCATAGGCCATCTGGGTTTCCCAGCTGACTTCTGGTGTCAGATTCTCAACGAGCGATATGTCGGTATCGTCCAGAGACAAACAACATGGTCGTCCAAGATAAAGAGCCCAGAGCCTTTGTATCGTATCATCGGTCAGCCCGCAAAGCTCGCTGGAAGGGAAGGTCTCTCGGCAATCACCTATCAAATACTATACAAGCCCAGAATGTCGTTCGGCGAGCTTCGATGTCCAATGGTGTCAAGGTTGCCACACCCAATTTGGAGGGGGTCAAATGCAGCCCCTGGTCGATGGCTAGCCGACAAGCACTGCCTAGAGAATGACGAGGTCAGGAATGGTGGCCAGTACAAGACTTGTTGTAGGTCATACCTATCATAAGCCAGCCCTTTGTGTCCAAACCCAACGCAGAGTAAAGGACAGATAAGAGTAAGAGTCCTTGAATCGTCGTGATCTGGGGGTGCTTCAGCTCCTGATAGATATACTTAGCAGCAGTTGCTACGAGCAAGGGCTGTTCATCGTCTTCCACGTCGTCATGCGCTGATAGGGCAAGCGCTCTGACCTTTGGCCGATCCGACACCCGGGCCGCACACGCACACACACAGCAGAGAAGACCCTTTGTCAGATATTGCGTCTGCCCGTGTCGTAAGTCATGCAGGAATGATTCCTTGTGGAACACTTGTAGCACCGTGTGCTGGTATTTCCAGTACAGGTCTAGAAGATAGGTTTGGGTCTCAAGATCGATGGTTTCCCGCGGCAAGACGTCGTCGCCAACCGAGACCTGGCCCCAGGGGTTGATCAAGGACGACGAGACACTTTCGGTCAGGTGTAAGCTGGACGTCGGCCCAAAGAACTTATACCGACCTTCATGATCGCTGTTTAGTTTCCATTGTCCCCCGCAGAGCCGCGAGACGATGTTGCCCAGGGAGAGGGTCGAACTTGCAGCTGGTTCAATCGCTGTCTCAGTTGGAAAGCCGGACAGCTCTGCTTCCCAGTGCGCTGTTCCTCCAGTTTGGGAGTACTGCCCAGCTCGGGCAGCAGCCAATGTGTTTTCCAGATCTGCGATCCGCTGGTAAAGGTCGCTAGCTTGTCTTTTCGACAACAAAGGACTGAGACGTCAAGATCAGCCAATGTACGATTTCAGGAGGCCGACAGAATAGATTGCTTACCTTTTCCTTCGGTCTCTGTTTGGCCACTCACATGGCAGGTTGAGCCTCTTGCACTTCTTGCATCCACCAACATCCATGTCACACTAGAACGGCTGAGCCACTGTAGGTGATACTTGACTGTCACCGCCTGATAAGACAATGCTTACCTTGGTCTTTTTCGTCCGGCAGCGCACGCAGGCGACCTGGGCAACGTCAGTAGCCAGCGGGACTCTCGTTCTGCCGACGTTTTTGTCCGAGCCAGGTGACTTTGTTGTCCTTGTCCTAGTATCGGGCTCGTCTGCAATATCTGGGACGCCGGCTCCCGATGGAGAGAACCCCCAGGGACTTTGCAGGTCGAGTAGGTCCATGATCAGTCAGCCAGAGGGTGTCTGTAGGATGAGAGATATCAATTGATGTTGTGACTAGTGGTGAAATCTGGCCCTACTCGATGCAATAAAAGCTGCATGCAACGGGGCCGGCCTCCCTCGCTTTCGCTGAGCCGACTGAGCAGTGATTTATACGAGGTATACACTTGTACGTGTAAGTCGGCCACACATAACATTCAGCGGGGGCGTGGCGAATTGAACTGTGGAGACTCAATTAATGATGCCAAAGCACCTCGTGGGTTCGGCTATGCAGGGGCTCTGCCTCGTATTTGGTTGCGAGCTGAACCACTTTGGGGTGTATGGCCCACGGCAGTCTCACGCCGCGTTGTTCGGTGACAGGCTAACAACTACCCCAGAAATGCACGGCAAGTACCAAAGGTACCAAACTTCAAGGTCTGAGAGAGGTTTTAGTTGAGAAGCAACAAGATGGACCAGGAAATGCGACGCCGAGTTCACGTCAAAACCGCAACAGCGTTCAAAACAGAGCTCCAACGAGAAAACACAACTGTATGGCTGTCCCAATGGCCGAGGCCGCGAATTTGATCCACGAGGTCTAAAAGGCGGGCAGGGCCCTGATGAATGATATCCCTACCGTTACAAGGCTTGGGCGTCTCCAGGCATATAGCCTGGTCGAGTAGTCTCTCGGGGTGACAACACTCTTTCTCAGCCTGGCCGCGAACTTGTATTTGGTAAAGACATGGCCGTTGCCAAAGGTCACTTGAGTCGGCAGGTTCTCTGCGAGCGCCGATTTGACCAACTCCCAAAAGCCTTGTCATTGACTTGCCAACCCTGCCAGCTCTTGTTTAAGCTCTTCACAGCGCTGTACGAGTGGTTCTTAGCTGCAATGCCAAGTCGAGGCAATAGCGAAGGCGGAATTTCAGCAACCCTCTTGACGGAATGATCGGAACTGGATGCGGGATCAGCAACTCCCAGGTCTGCCCGCTGTTTTCCAGAGACGGGATACGGTGGGTGGAACATCGACTTCTTCGTCGAGCTCCATCTCTCTCCAAAGACTCCAAAGACATCAAAGCAGTCAGAAGGGCAAAAGGACCTCACCATGGCGACTGTTAAGTGAATACAGAAACCACCAGAGGGTGTAAGGGCTAATTTATGTTACAGCCACGTGACAGTATTCGGGTTATAGTCACGTGACTACGGCATCACTTCAGCCAATCATATGCGCCATATCAATGCAGCCAATAAGAACCACGGTTTCTTTGCCCGGGATATACGAGTACTCTACGGCTCTCCTGACAACAACGACGCACGCGGACGGGGTACCTTACTCATACGAAATAGGGACGTCTAGGTTGTGCTGATCACTGCTCATGGGCCATGCATTCGGACTGCGAGGAGTAAAGAACATTGAAGTCTTTTTCGAAGGGGAATGGAGAACAGACTTTCCTCAGCCTTTGAATCCTTGGTTGTCCGTATGGAGCATCATGTTTTCGAGACTGTTCAGTCGATTGTGAGTTATGTGGTCATATGTACATCTGAAACGAGCAAAGGTGGGAAGTAGGTGGAACAAGATAAGCTCCAACCACACTTGTACTGCCTGTTCGTATACAAGTGGATGCTAGGGCTGTGACCACCCACGATCCTCGATCCTCGGTGCTCGATTCACGACCAAAGTCATCGGTCATGCAGCAGCTGACACCTCCTGGACCGCGCTGGCCACAGCGCCGCCCTGGTCGGCAGTCTGGAGTTTCTGCTTCTTCTCCGCCTCGAACGGATCCAGTGGCACATTAACCTTCCAGTCGTTGGCAGGATCGTTCTCGCCAAAGGCGTATGGCCCGTCGTCATATGTGTTCGTGCGGCGCATGTCCCGCTTGTACTTGTACTTGTACTGGGAGTCGTCGAGCGCGCGGTGCCAGACGGCCGTGTTGTCCCACATGACCAAGTCGCCGTTTTGCTCCCACTTGACCTTGAAGACGTTGTCCGGCTGCGTGCCGTGGGTGATCAGTTCCTGCACCAGCTTCTGCGTCTCGGCGATGGTATATCCGTCGAAGCGGTAGGCGTAGCTCGTCACGTACAGATTCATGCGTCCGCTATCTTCGTGCGGATAGACGGCTTTCCAGCGCGAGACGGACCAGTCGTACGGGTCGACGTCGCGGTACAGCTCAGGGGCGGCCAACCGCCGGTTGTGGATCAGCGAGCAGTCGGCCACTAGGTGGTCGATCTTGTCTTTCATCGCTGGGCTCAGCGTCTCGTAGGCAGTGCGTGAGTCGGCGAACTCGGTCTCGCCGCCACAGCCCGGCGGAGGAATTTCGACGGCGCGCAGAAACGAGTACTTGTCGCGATGAGGGTGGTATTGCATGTCGGCGTGCCAGAGCTCGTTGCCCTTGGACATCAGCGCCGCTACTCGGTTGGTCGTCTGCACGACCTCGCCCTTCTCGTCCAGGTTCGAGATGTCAAAGAGAGCCGGCAGGTGTGGGAACCGCCCGCGTCCGCGCCCGTGGACCAGCGGCATCGAGTCGAGGTTGCCGAAGCGTCGAGAGAATGCGATGTGCGCTTCGTTATCCAAATTCGCCTTGCGGAACACCAGCACCCCGTACTTTGCGATGCCTTTCTTGAGCTGCTCGATCGTCTCGTCGGGGATCGGTTTGCTCCAGTCCATGCCATGCACCTCGGCCACGAACCTCGGGTGCAGGGGCTCGAAGTGAAGTTGCTGCGCGGAAGCTGACATTTTGGCTGACTTGAAGTTGAACGTACCACAGGGTCTGGTTTAGAGATTGATTGGTACCAAAGCAGGTCGGCGACAGGTGTTCGGCCAACTCTTAGTCTTATGTATCACACCCGGAGGTGGATGTAACATCTCTCCTCAGCACTCACGACTCACGGCTCTCGCGGCTTCCACAGCCACCATCCCAAGACATGTCTGCAGTGCAAATGCCCCGACTGTGGACGTGGTGCGACGTCCTCTCCCATCACTTGACCCCAGGTCAAGAAGAACCCTGTTTGGGAACGAACGGGTGGGGTCATGGGCATTGAGGTAGGTATTCGGTTTTCGTATGGCCTTGTATAAATTCCGACGCACATGATCTACACTGTCTGTTCGGTGGCTTTACTCGAATGGGCTGACACGAGGACTTTCGGTCAGAACCAAAACTCTTGGTCCGTACAGTGCGTACCAGCTGGAGCAGTGGAGCTCCAGATGGCCTGGACTTGCTCAAGCGGTTTGTTTGCTGTGGCAATGGGTCGTGTGTTATTGAAGAATTCAAAAAATTGTCCTGGCCAGCGTTGTGATAGATATAAATTCCGGATCTGGGGCTTTTATTCCGCCTGGTCGCCCGCAATACCTCCGCATAGACCAATCAAGGTTGTCTCAGCTTGAAATGGACCTGCAGCTAGCCAAGTCCCTGTCCTTGCTCCCTGGACATTCTAGTCCCCGTGAGCCATGCCTACCTCAGAAATTTTGCAGCCTTGTCTCAAGAGCTTGGATGGCTGGTGCCAGTCCCTGTATTTAGTGTGAGAAACGGCGGCCGGAATCATGCAGCGAGATGTCGGCAACGTATGGAAAACCGCCGCCGAACGACGGAATAAGTGATGGAATTTTACGACCATCTCCCTCGAACAATTCTTGGCCCCATCCCATACCTCAGAAGTGGTTCCTTCAAAGCTTGGCCGGACTTGAATGGAAGACGTCGCCGAGTTCAGTCTGCAGACCTGGACAACGGAGCCGCGACGTCTTAAGAGGAGGCTTCATTTGTGCATAGTCTAGATGCGGAAGCTTACGAGAGGAAACGGACACCGAAGGTCAAGCTGATCTGGTCGGAGAACTGACCGAGATGAGATAGAGACTGGGTCTCCACAGAAAGGATACCTTGAATATCACATCTCTAGCATGTGACTGTCATGCTGGAGGATGTAGAATCTCATGTGTGGACAATGACATTCACTTAACAACCCTGAGAGGCAACGCGCAAGACCCCCGTAGGCCATGTCAGGCCGATTCCATCAATCCATCAAATCTGGGCGGCAGCCATATTCCTTCATTTGGTGAAGTCGTCAAGATATTTTCCAAATATGACCAGCTGCATTGGCTGGGAGCCCCAGATAACAGCCATGTACCGAGGACGGTGAGCTCGACGCTTCTACGGCGGAAACATCTCGAGAATTTCCCCTTCCCCGTAGTAGGATCAGCTGATTCTAGAGTCGACGGATGACAAACATTTCTCGACAGCCCCATATGGGGAATCCTACTCGACCATATAATGGGCAATTGTCCTGGGATCTTGCAACAAGTGGACGACAAACCCGTCAGCCATTGTTTATATTCTCGGCCTACTTTCACGCCCTGGAGCCAAGTTGGAATTGTATCACAATACACTGCAGAGACCAGTTGAGGACTATTGATGGTTCGGAACTGACAACCGAAGGGAGTGAAGTCGAGACGGCAGCTCAAGAATGTATTCCGCTACGAGCTCAGGCCAGACAACCGGCAGTGTCGTCAGCGAGGGCAATGAGACTCTCCAGACATTATCTGGTCTCATCCAGAAGAAGAAAGTCCTGGCGGGCTGCGGCCTTGCCAGCGGCAACGTCTGGTGCAGCCAGATCATTGCGCGGTCCGGGTTCGACTGGGTGTTGATCGACATGGAACACGCCCCTATTTGCCCAGAAAAGGCGACCGCCATCACTCAAGCCGTGGTGGCCGCTTCAGCTGGTCAATGTATCCCCATCATTCGCACTCCTTCGCACGGGGTAGAATGGGTGAAATGGGCCCTGGATTGTGGTGCCGCGGGCATCATCGTGCCCATGATCAACAACGGTGTAGAGGCTGAACGCGTTGTCCAGCACGCACTCTACCCTCCGCACGGCCAGCGCAGCTTTGGCCCATTCCTGGCCCCATTTGCCGACACTGACCGCTCCTCCGACGTGGCCAAATACCTGACGAAGCGGGTTCCACAGCTGGCCATCATCCTCATGATCGAGTCGGCTGAGGGTGTCCGACATGCAGAGGAAATCCTGAGTGTCAAAGGGGTGACGGGATGTTTCATCGGCTCCTTCGATCTTCGACAGTCCCTGGGGCTTCAAGGGGGAGACGGGGAGGAACCAGTCTTTGTTGAAGCCCTGGAAAAGGTGCTGAGCATTGGGCGGCGCCACAATTTGGCCGTCGGCACCGTTGCCATGAGCGAGGCCGCCGCAAAACGCAAGACGGAAATGGGCTTTAGCTTTCTCCTTTCGGGAACAGACATGTTTTTCCTGGCTGCTGGTGCGGAGAGGAACTTGGATCAATGTGTCCGTGGAGTTCGGTCAGCCGAGGTATAGACTTGGACAAACTAATAGTGCTACCCTAGTCTTGACCGTCGGCCTGTTAAACTGCCCAGTTATCGTCTTTGCATTTGACTAGTTGCCAGGGGTGTCTAACGGAGAATGTCCTCCAAGAAAATGTCCCGCGGAACGAATAGTGCTGTGTGGTTCCCCTTGCTATATATCCTCGGGCCCACAACTCCGCCATTGCCAATTCCCTACAACTTCGACCACCTTCGGACCTACAGCAAGTGCTCGAATCCTTCACAGACAGACACGCAGAGAGATCACTCGCCAAATGAGTTGATGATATAATGTCTCCCACGGCACTTTTAGGCGCAGACGAGGTAGCCCAGCACAACACGCGCGAGTCGTGCTGGGTCGTTATTGAAGGTTGTGTCTACGATGTGACCGAGTTTCTTGATCGCCATCCGGGAGGTGCGGGCATCATTCTTCGCTATGCTGGCAAAGTACGTATATATGACCATTGACTTACAGGCTTGAGTTGTTGCCCTGACGGCTTCCCAGGACGCAACCCAGGAATACAATCCAATTCATCCCCCCGGAACAATCGAGAAAGAGCTACCACAGCGTAAGCCATCGATTCAAGAACGGAGAAAAAGCGGCATAGATTGACATTACAACAGACAAACACTTAGGAAGAATAGACCCGTCGACGATTCAAGTTACCACAGCCTCCTCTACCAACACACCTGACAAAGTTGATGTGATCCCAATCGAATCATGTATCAATCTCAACGATATCGAGATTGCCGCTAAGCGGGTTCTGCCCCGACGCGCGTGGGCGTACTTTTCGTCCGCGGCAGAGGACCTCCATTCTCTACGTTACAATCTCGACGACTGGAGCCGGGTATTGTTCCGCCCGAGGATTCTGAAGGACGTGAAACGGGTCAACATGCAGCGTACTATCCTTGGATTTGAGAGCAACCTTCCGTTCTTTATCGCGCCGGCCGCCATGGCCCGGCTCGGTCACTCCGATGGCGAGCTCTGTCTTGTCCGAGGCAGTGCACGCTACAACATTCCCTACTGCTCGAGTAATGCTTCTTCGGTGTCGCACGAGGAGCTTTCACAATGTTTACGGCAGGAACAGCAGGAACGGCAAGGCGGATGTCTGTTTTTCCAGCTCTACGCCAGAAGGACCAAGGAAGACACCATTGAACAGCTCCGGCGAGCGAAAACCCTGGGGTTCAAAGCCTTGGTCATCACGGTCGACACGCCGGTCGTGGGCATCCGCGAAGACGACGATAGGAACCGGATGAGGGAAGCCGCCGAGAACAACGAGCCATACGTCCCAATGTGGGGGCCTCCCCCAACAGAGCAAAGCGAGGATTATGTGTTCCGGGGCGCTCACTCGTCCTCGTTGAACTGGGACGATTTACAGTGGATTAAGGAGGAATGGGCCAACACGGGCCCGATATCCATCAAAGGTATTTTGACGGCCGAGGACGCAAAGATCGCATGCGACATGGGTCTTGAGAGTATCTACCTCAGCAATCATGGCGGGCGGCAGTTGGAGTCCTCGCCGTCGGCGTTGAGGACTTTGCTCGAAATCAGACAAGTATACCCCGAGGTACTGTCGAAATGCGAAGTACTTCTGGACGGCGGTGTCAGGCGCTCCAGAGACATCCTCAAAGCTCTCTGCCTCGGAGCAAGAGCAGTAGGCCTCGGTCGACCCTTTTTGTATGGTCTGAGTGCGTACGGGACCGAGGGGGTATACAAGGTCATTCAAAGTCAGACTCTCCCCTCCAAATGTGGTTGTATCTCTGCTAACTCCTGTTGATACAGTGTTGAGCGAGGAATTGGAAACTTCGATGAGACTTTTAGGGGTCACTTCGCTCGATCAACTCTCTTCGCGGTTTGTCAACACGCGCGACTTGGACATGTCGATTTCCCTCGATCTGGCGGACTTCAACCTCGCTCGCGCCAAACTGTGAAGGAGAAGGCATCAAGCATCGAGTCCGGGACGCCAGTGCAAAGGCGTAACAAGGTACACGCCAATAAATTGCTACACCAGGATTTGACTTTTTGAGAGGCATCGTTATGTAGACTGGGTTTGGTGCTCTGCCTCAAGTGGCCATGGACTACAGTTCACTGACTGTAAATATTCAATCGGCATATGGTGACTCGGGCAGGACGATAAGCCAATGGCGGACCATGGATTGGACCCTCGGCTATTTTGTTAGACCCTTATTGGGCGTATGATAATGTTCTAACCATATTTGGAGTGGTAGCCGCACGTGATTTCACGCGGGCACATCGAACCGGATACCAAGTTGATTGAATTCCCACGAGGTCGGCGCATCCGGAAATCAGTCTTGCCTGAATTAACTCCTAACCGACTCGCTGAGTTGAATTCAATGCCAAGAGGGGCTGGAAGCAGATGACTTCGCAACATGATCGATCCATACCCCAGATGGGGTCAAGGGCTCCAGATCCAACACGCTATCCCGCACGAGTGGCGCAGGCAGCGGCTCGAAGGCGGCCATCGACCTCCGCCAGTTCCCAGCACAGGACTTGCGCTCCAGAAACCCTCTGGAATGCAAGCAATACCTTACCTTCCACCATGTCCACATCCTATTCGACGGCGAGAGGTTCGTTATTTGTTGTGACAGCAGTGACATTCCCAAACCGCAGGGACGGTTGATTGTGGACATTACGTGTTTGGAATGATCAGGATGACTTGTCCGAATGAACCATCAACCAAAGCTCGAGACAAATATGCAGCACAAGCATGTGCAGCGTGCCAACGGCGCAAGAGGAAGTGCTCTGGAGAGATGCCGTGCCAGAACTGTCGGCTGTCCGCCACTGAGTGTGCCTATTCTGGAATCCGTCTTCCACGGGGTCGTCGTCCAGCAAAGGCGTCGCACAGGGCCACCGCCGCGAGCCGGTGTGGTAATGATGACTCGCGGACCAATGCCAACATCTCGACTTCGATGAGCCTCCCCTCGCCTGTCGACAGCGACATCGAAGTGCGACTTCAAAGCCAGGCACTCGAGCAACGTTGCAAATTCCTTGAACACCAGCTCACGAGTCTTACGAGGCAAGTGGGAGGGATTGACAAGACGGCCGACTCAACGTGCCCCAACGAAAATTCCCACTACCTGTTCTCTTACAAGCGGTCAGCAAACCCTTCTCGCGCCGTACACGACGCACCGTACCCCGACACTTGTGCACGTTCTGAACCCAAGCGCACCCTTTCATTTCTGGGCCAGTTTGAGGCCCTGGAAGATGCTCTCGAGTCGGACTACAGTGCCCGACACGACAGGTTCATCTCGATCGAATCGCCAGTTCCCGATGCAGCACCCGCTCGCACCATCACGAGCACGATGAGCCCTCCTCAGCATGGCCCCGAAAGAAGCGAAGGAGACGAAATCATGGCACAGACGAGGCTGGACGGGGTGGATCAGATGAGCCAGTGTCTTGATACCTATTTCGCGAGCGTCCATTCAAGCTATCCATGCGTCAACGAGACTCATATGCGGTCGACGTTTGCCGCATTCCTGGCCAACGACTCCAGTCACACATCCCGAGAGTTTGCCATGGAGGAGTTTGCAGCCCTCCTCAATCTCATCATGGCAGTAGCGCAGGTGGCCTCTGACACCTCTTCTGGGAATGAGGATTCCGTCCCGGGGTATCAACAAGTTTGTCGTGCCGAAAGACTACTGAATCTTGCCGCGTGGCAGGACAAACCCAGTCTCACCACAGTACAGGCCATGCTTGTCAAGAGTTTATACTATTTGTACACCTTGAAACTCAACGCCGCATACGCCACGATAGGAGCCGCCGTGCGCTTATGTTTCTCTATGGGACTGCACCGAGAAGAAGGCTGGGAGGAAGACTCGTTGGGCTTCTATGAAAGGACATATCGTCAACGCACCTTCTGGTGTCTATACTGTCTAAATTCGGAAATCGCTCACGCGCTGGCGGCGCCCGACTTATTCCCTCTATCGAGTTGTGACGTGGGCCTACCGGCATGCGTGGACGACAGGATGCTCTATCCAGGCTGTTCGTCGCTGTACGAACTTCCCAGGACATCACCCGTCCCGTATCTGCTTGAGTCTGTCGAATGGACAAAGTCGTGCTCCGAGATGTGGGATGAGCTGTACTCTCATGTCACCGCAAGTAAGCCGATCCCCTCGAACCTGGTTGCACGGCTGGACCACAAGATCTTGCAGCTGTCGCAGCAAGCACCAGGTCATCTTCAGTGGTCGGCGCTGTCGCGACGGGGGTCCGCGTGGGGACCTGATGAACTTCCTGCCTTCGTCCAAGACCAGAGCCTGCGTCTCTATCTCCTGGCCCGCAGTTCGCGGCTTCGTGCTCGACGACAAGAGTTGTTGAGTCTCAACCACAGGAGCCAGACGGGGACGGAGGCGGTCCAGATTGCGGCCGAGATCATCACTGCGGTCGAGCTCGGCTGGTCATCAACAAGCCAGTGGAAGCGTACCGAGCGGTACACCTATGTGGTACACCTCGCCGAAGCGCTCCTCGGGTTGATTTGCGTCACTTCGGCCCAGGACACGGGCGATGCGTCTGGTCCACTCGCACATGGGTTGTCAGTCGTGGACTTGTTTGAACGGACACTTCGGACTCTCGAGGACATTTCCACCGGTTTCTATACCGGAAGACAGATTCTCCGTCTGCTAGATGGACCTGTCCGCATCGCTCGAGGTCGACAAGCCGTCCTTCGCCAGGAGGTTTCGTCCAGTGTAATCCCGACGCCGACTTTACAAGCATCGGGACCAGGACCAGGACCTGCTGCCCCAGACAATCCCACTTTCCGAGAGGTCAGCATGGCTTTGAATCCGTCCTCTGCGGACCGCAGTCAGGGCCTGGCTTCTAGTCACCACAATGACTATCTCGCCGCCGACTGTGGCGTTGGCGGCGCTGAGGGCATGGTTCCCGGCTTCGCGAATCTCGGGCTGCCGAACTGGAACCCCGTCGGCTTTGGTGACGATGTGCATCATGGCTGGCAGAGTTATTCCTCCATTCCCATGACCTTGACATAGCGATGAAGGGGGGTGGATGTATCTATTTTATTTATAGTTTTCGTTCAGATTTACCTTGTATACGTAGTAGGGTGGTCGATCTAAGGATCTAACCAGTCGATCAAGTAATTCCGCATCCCTGTACGAGTCAAAGTATGCATTTGCTGTGAATATGGTGATATGACACTTGGGATACGCGGACGGCACACTTTAAGGGTGAGGTGGAGTGGGGTGGGCGCCGGAAAGGCCACGGGGTGCCCAGAAGTTGGCCCCGGGTTCTTCCACTTGTTACTTGTAGGCGCCTTCAACCTGTCTCGCTGCGCACTGGGGGCGCCTATGGCCAGAAGCCAAGGGGCATACCGTAGCGGTTATTACTAGTTAAGGTCAATCTATGGTGCATGCCCCCCGCGCCCAGCTCCCCTCTTCTCCCTCTTCCATCCCCCTCCCCGTAACCACCTCTACAATTGAGTCGGTATCTTTCCCCCAGTGTCCATCTTCCGCCTCTCGCCCATTTTCTTTACTCGTCATGCAGGCAATGTGTGTCTAGCATCCAGCACCGCCGTCCCGTCATTCAAGCTCCGAGTTTCGTTACCGCCTCAAACCAAACAACCCAGAGTCGCCAGCATGGAAAGACAAGGGAAACCCGCACGGCGACGCAAGCGAGGCCATTCGACATCATCGCCCTCGGCTTCGCCCCCACCCTCGGCGTCGCCCTCCAGTGGATCGGTTGCTCTGGCATGCCTGAGATGCAGATCGAAAAAGAAAAAGGTCGGGATCTGTCCGGAGAATGAGAATCATCTTCGCCCGGGGGTGTTGCTGATCTCTGTGCAGTGTGACGGCAACGCACCGACTTGTCGAACGTGCAAGAGGCTCCATGTCCCGTGTGTGTGGCCGCCGGGAGACCAACGAAAATTGTAAGAAATCTGCATTTCGCAGCTGGCTTAGCGAGGCAAAATAACGGACTGACCGTCTGACACGCGAAGCCCTTCGTCCAAAAGCCATATCAAGGAACTCTATGACCGTATCGAAGCTCTCCAGAATTCGCTTGCAGCTGCGCAATCGTTAGTCGCGGCTTTACGGACAGAGACCTCGGACAGTCAAGTGTTGACTGCTCCAACACCCACCGACGTTGTCTCGACGAACGTGAAGTCTTCGCTAGAAGTAGAAAGCAGCAGCGCCACCGAGGACAGTCTCATTTCTCGTTTGTGCGGCCGACAGTGGAAACTCAACAGCGACAGAGGAGGACAGTACCGCTTTTTCGGACCAACGTCTAGTCTACACCTGACCGAGAGTGTGTCTTCGTCCTTGGTGGATAATTCCTACAGTGCGCCCTTTGTGGGTGATGATCCTAGGCTTCAAGAACTGGTTGACCGGGAGACCCAGGACTACCTCCTCAATCTTTACTGGAAGTATCAAGACAACGTCTTACGCGTCTTCCACAAAGGAGCGTTCTTGCACGACCTGGAGAGGCGGCGGACCCGGTACGTGAGCAAGGCCCTTCTCACTTGCATCTTTGCCAGCGCCGCTCGCATTTCCGACCGTCCAGCTATTCGCGCTCTGGCGCTCTCCACGCAGGACGACAGTGCAGACGAGAAGCAACCACCTCTCCTTGCCCTCGCTACACGATATCTCGATGACGAGTTAATGCACCCTCAACTCACAACCATACAATCACTCTTACTACTGTCCACGAGCTACTGTGCCCTCAGTTTGGACACTAAAGGATGGTTGATAACGGGTATGCACCAAGCGAGATACCGTGCAGCATCGGCCGCAGACGTTGCTGACTTCTGCCGTCCGCAGGTAACGCGTGTCGGCTGGCGATCGACCTGGGACTACACTTTGACACAAACAAGTTGAGTTCCCCGTCCTTGACGGATTTAGACATCGAAGCTCGCCAGAACACCTTCTGGGCGTGCATCGTCTTTGATCGGTAACTTCCATCTCTTGATGCCTCATCAACCCGATGGCAAGCTGATTAATGTGTCAGACTCTGGTCGGTCTATCTTGGTCGGCCGTGTTGTTTTCCCTTGAAGGACTTGGGTGTCCGCGACCCTGCATACTCTCGAATGGAGCGATCGTGGGAGACGGACATGGCTTACGCGTGGGCTACTCTTTTGGAGATCCTCGGCCATATTAGCGATACAATGTAAGTCATGTTTTGGTGCGAAGTCGGGGCCTCGTCCAGAAAGGCCCAAGAAGCAAGACCCATCGCTCACTGACTGTCTTCAGAAATGGAGAACGATGTACGCTAGAAACGCTCTCGGAACTCGACGAGTGGCTTCGGTTCTGGTACACACATCTCCAGCCCTCGATTCACTATCATCGCGAGACACAACAACCTGCAATCACCGTCCTTCAGTAAGTACATGATATTTTCTCGCTTTTTCTTTTGGTGGGCTTTATTTTGACATTGACTTGGACCCATCACTCACCTCCGTGTGTCTTGTCGTCGGCCATAGCATGAAATACTGTGCAGTTGTGATTCTGCTGCATCGCCACATGGCCGGATTCCCCGCCGGCTCGAAACAAGGCCATTTTCGGGCATCATGCATCCACCACGCGATCGAGATGACCCAAATCCTCCAAGACTACCGCCGCACCCACGGTGACGCGAGGACTCTGAGTGGGATTGCGATTTTCAGCATTGCCACCGCGGCGACAACCTTCATTGCAGAAATCGCAGAACGACGATCCTCACCGGCAGAGGCGTTGCATCAGTTGAACTGTCTCAAGACCTGTGTCAAGACGCTGGAAGAGCTCCAAATCTCGTACCCGGTCGCGCGCAAGGTCCGGCGAACCATTCAGCTGATCATGAGACTGTGTCGGATAGGGTCCAGCTGTCTGTTCCCTGGTCACGCAACACCGACGGAAGATTCCTGGCAAGGTCCAAGCAGGGCCCGGCGTGGGTTGGATGTTAACTTCAACGTCAACGTCAATTTCAACGTCAACATCAACGACGATGGGTCCATAGGACCTGCCCTGGTCGAGGCGACAGAACCCCAAAACGACCCTCCCCTGATGGCCGCCGACGACGACGAACAAGCGCCGGTCTTTTCTTCGGGCGACAATGGCGAGTTCGCCGCAAGCTACAGCCCTTTTGCGTATGACGAGTACCTGCCGGCGTCGGCTCAGTTTGACATTTTGTACGGCTTCGGAGCGTCATTGTTCTCATAGGCGATGTTATTCGGTTCCAGACAATCCTCCTTTATGAAGGTGAGGGCGAGGCAGCGCCTGGGCTTGCCTCCAAGCCTCTTTGACGTTCACAGGACGCATTGTGCAGCAAAGCCGTGTCCGGGAAAATGACAGGCATACCCGGGCTCAGGTACCTCCCCAAGCTCTGACAATTTGACGACGAGAGGCAGCCAGAGCGGGTGTCGTGATCCACAAGCATGCATGCATGACCTTTTGACACCAAATGTCATAGCGGAGTCGAGGTTGTCAGTCCTGGAAGGCGAACCGGACGCGAACTTTAACTAACAGCTCTTGGAAACGCACTATGATGGGCCCGCTCGTGGAAGCGGAACATTTCTGCAGGGGAAAGTGAGTATGCGTAGGTATGTGGCCGTGGCAAAAGTGGATACTCTGGCCCAGGAGTAATAATATGGACATGGTCTAGCCAGAAACGGATGGGATATAGTTACACATAATACCGAGTATATGACTGCACAAACAACGATTTTTCCCTTTTCTTGGAAACTCATGCTAGTAAAAAGTCTTTCTTCAGACTGATCTATTGTTTCTTTTCTTCTGCTCGTTTGCCTGTCCTCCCGCCCCGCCACCGAGAACTCCTTTGCCAATTTTTTACTTTGTTTCCCTTGTACGTCTTGTCTGTCTCGAGATGCCTCCCTTCGACCCTGACTCGGATCACCTGCCCAAGCTCGCCGATCTGGAACAAATCCCCGGAGCGCCCAAGTACGCGGCGTGGTTCTGGGGCGAGAATGACGAGGTCTGTCGCTCGTTAAACTTGTCTTTGTGGCTCCCGGATCAAGAAGACCCGGGTTGCGATTGAGAACCGAGATTGAGACTGAGACTGAGACATGTACTGTGGCGTTTCGCTCTGCGTACAGTTGGGCCGATTGAACCTGCTCACGGCGCGGCGGGTCGCGGATGCTGCCAGATTGATTCGCAGGGGCGAGAGAGTCGCTTTGAAGTAGGTATTCTCCAATCGTCAAATGCAGTGCTGTGTCTTTTTTTCTGCATTGGAATGCTGTCCGAAGCTGCGGCCTGCGTACTTGTTTCTTGTTTGCAACAGATATTTCTCCCTCTTCTCTTTTTGTATGTGTATGTGTATACGTGTATACTCACGGGCATTCCTCTCCTCCAGCTTCCCCCGAGACTATCCAGACCCCCCCTTCTTCGGCCGTGAAACCTTCAAACACCGCCTGAAGCAGCTGAACCAGTCCTCCTACGACGACCTGTACGATTTCAACCCGCAGAGCGGATCGCAGTGGGATGGGTACCGTCATGTGAGAGATTCTGTTGCGTCTATGTTGCTGTTCGGATTGGGAACGGCCCGGTTTCTGACTCTCAGAGCATCCGCTCAAAACTTGACAGGTCGGCTTCTCGCATAATGGATCTTGGGTCTGGTATAACAATGTATGTAGCGGACATTCTGATGGCTTTGTCCTGGTCGAATCGACGACGACGAGGACTACCAGTGCTAATGCACGGCTAGACCACTCGCGAGCAAATTGTCAATTCATCGAGGATCGGACTCCAAGCATGGGGAAAACAGGGCATCGGTACGTATGACAGCACACAATCTCTTTCTCGTGCGCCAGATCGACGGGTCCATCATGAGACTGACTCCTGGGTATTTCTTTCTCTCTCCCTAGCCGGCCGCGCCATCCTTCTCGACATCTACTCCTTCACGAAAAAATCGTACGATCCGCTCTCCGCCAGGAGAATCACATTGGAGGAGCTGCGCGCGTGCGCCGAAGTCGAGGGCGTCGAGTTCAAGTACGGCGACATCCTGCTCGTGCGCACGGGCTGGTCCGCGGGATACAACCAGCTCGACGCGGCGGGGCGGCAGGCGTACCAGACCAAAGGGTTCCACGAGCTGGCCTTTGCCGGGGTAGATTGCGGGGAGGAGGTGGTCGAGTTCCTGCACGACCACTACTTCAGTGCCGTGGCGAGCGACTCGCCCACGTTCGAGTCCTGGCCGCCCTCGGTCAAGCCGGGCCAGGAGATCCTGCATTCCTTCCTCCTGCCGCTCTGGGGCGTGCCCATCGGCGAGATGTGGGACCTCGACGGCCTGGCCGAGCTGTGCAAAAAGACGCGTCGGTGGGAGTTTTTCCTCACCAGTTGTCCGGCCAATGTCAAGGGTGAACAATCCCTGTCCTGTCTTTTCTTTCACCAGAGCTTTTCGTTGCTGACCTCTATCAAATATAGGGGGTGTGGGCAGCCATCCTAACGCTATTGCCTTGTTCTGATTTGCCGTTGGGAGGGGACACTAGATACTAGATACCAGATACTAGACACTAGACGCCGAACGCCGGACAGGAGGTGAGGCGAGATGATGGGAGATGGATAGAGCTGGATGAGGATATTGGAGATTGGAACTGGGTGCTCAAATGCCACTTGGCATATTTGGCCTATGGTATATAGATGGATGAGACTCTTCCCCTATCCTCTGTCCCTTTGTCCCATGGATGTGGTTTTGCCCTGATCCAATCATCAATCTTCCAACTTCCGGCGCTTTCAGGAGGCTTGGGTATTTCCCATCATCCTACCATATTGCATTTATTTCGCCCTGGGGGTTGGGGGGCTAGGAGCTGGCCAGTAATGGTTTTCTGGACCGCAGGACCTTCGTGGTCTAAAAGGTGGTTGTTGTTGCTGTTCGCAGAAAAGACATTTTCGAGAGGAGAACTCGATCAAAGAAACCATGGCCTGTCTCTCTTCGTTTCTACTCGCTCACCGAACCCGGAATCTTGAAACGAAATGGAAGGGAAGGGGTTTGACAGCAACCTTGCGCGACCAAGACAAAGTACACCACTACAACCCATACCTCCTATTCTTTCGGTTAGACAGGCAACGCAGCCACCCAGCCGCGCAGGTACAGGCACAGGTGAACAAGCACAATTGACCTCGGACTCGTATAAAAAAAGGCCAGGCTAGATCATACCATACCAACAACACAAGGGACAAAGAGATCTAGATCAAACCAGATCAAACCAGAACACGTGCATGGACGTGTACCATGGTATGGCACCGCAGTGGAACAGCTACTCCGGACTAAGGAGACACAGTAGAGAAGACTCGTGACTAGTGCAGTGGGGGATGCCAAAAATTCCGCAAAATAATCCCGCCAGGCCCATCTCAGTGAGCGGACATTGTTGTCCTGCGGGGGATATTGGAGGGAGCCACTGTTCGTGTTCGAGTTTCGTATTCGGCGGGACGGCGGGATGTGCATTGGCGGAAAGGGCGGGATTGGTGGAAAACGTGGGACTTGGGAGAATCGAGCTTGTGTACATCGGGATATGCCCACACACACACACACACACACACACACACACATCCTATATAGTTCTGTATGCGATATTGAGGAGGCGGATGGGTGGGGTGCTGTAAAGCATACAATCAGACAGGCATACAGGGTCTCTACTGGATGTAGGTACCAGGGAGCTACAGTCGGAATTGGATCTATTGCATCGAAGTCGAGTGATTGGTATCAATCTAGGTACCGACAGAAGACGGGGTCATTCCCTACTCCTCGTAGAGCGAGGAAATCTACAGCAGCCGAGGTGCTCAATAGCCACTCTTTCACTCTTTCACTCTTTCACTCTTTCACTCTTTCACTCCTTCTCACCTTAATCAAATGTTGTGCTTGGGCAGAGCCTTTTTATTCCACCCTTACCGCCCCTTCTTTCATTGTCGGCTTTCACATTTTATCCATTCACTTGATATAGTACGCGAGATCTCCCCCGTCGATTTCCAACTGAGTAAACCCGTTGCCACAAAAGCCCCAACGGTTCTGCAACCCCAAGACGATCATGGTTAGCAAGCATCATGTGGAACACACTGGACAAAATCCCCACAGGATGGGAAGGAAAGGAGAGATAGATCTACCTTTTTGTTCTGGTAGGTGATGTCAAAGTCCTCGGCGCGGATGTTTTCGATCAGATCCTTGAAATGTAGGATCGAGCCGGGATACAGGGCAAAGATGCGGCCCAGGTCGTTCTTGTACCAGCTCTTGCACCCGCTGGTCCAGACGGTGCGCTTGAGGACCTCGTCGCCGTAGATGTTCCATTCGTCCTGGACGTCTTGCTTGACGTTGAATGATCTTTGGGAAGGGGGGAAAGGGGTCAGTAAGGATTGTGCGGCGATGAAATCCCCCACTTGTACAGTCCATCGAGCGAGGAGAGAAGACGACAACCGCAGCAGACAAAATACTCACTTGATGCCCTCCTGCGCAACCTTGTTGACCCATTTCAGTATGTATTCGGCCTCCCAATCAATGGCTGAAGATAAACTGCCGTGGCCAACGGGACCGCACGGTCCATTGTAGATAAAGTAGTTCGGTTGACCGCTGACACAAAGGGAGAGATATCCTTGGGCATCGACTTCCCATTCCTTGGCCAGTGATCGGCCATCACGGCCTTCTTGAACCCACCTGGGTTTAAAGGAGACATCGAATCCGGTCCTGAAAGATACCACGAGTTAGCCGAGATGATCCATTTCTTCCATTAGACCAGTGGGTACGTACGCGCAAATTATGGCATCAAGTTCCAGCTGCTTCCCGTCCTGCATGGTGATGCCTGTTTCAGTGACCGTGTCAATATTCCCCACGACCAGATCGACCTTGGGGGAACAGATTGCTTCGAGATACCCGTTTCCGGGGGTCAGCCGACGGCATCCAAGACTCCATTTGGGGATCAGGAGCTCCGCAAGCTCGGGCCGATCACCGATGCGCGACTCCATCAGGGCTTTTGTGCGTCGTTGAGCCTCCTGGTTGGCCGCGGAGCCCTCGATCAGCGCTTCGTAGAAGTGGTTAAACGCATGTGCCAGATCGTGTCTGTATTTGGTGTGCTTCTGAGGGTCCTTGCGGAACGCCTCCTTCTGTTCTTCCGTGTACTGAGGATTGGTCCCGGGGGCACCCGACAACTCTTCCACAAACGGGGCAGAGATCCAAGTGGGCGAGCGCACAATGTTGTAGAGGTGAGAAGCCACACTGGCCAGCTCGGGGACGATCTGGATGGCGGACGAGCCGTTCCCAATGACTGCCACACGCTTCCCATCGAACACGGGCTTCTTGGCCCACTCGGCATAGTCGGCTGAATGTAGGAGATCGCCCTTGAAGGACGAGAGGCCTTTGATGTCCGGCCATGACCAGGCATTGAGGACTCCAGATCCGTTGATCAGGATCTGACAAGTGTCATGGATCGTCTTGTCCCCTTGCTGGACCGTCACATGCCAGAGCCCCTCGTCCTCGTTCCAGATGGCCGAAGTCACCTTCGAGTTGTAGACCACGTCCCGATCGAGATTGTGCTCCTTGGTGATTTTCCGGAGATAGTCCTCGATGTCGCCTCCCTTGGCGTAGAATGCCGGCCATTCGGTGTTGGGGACATCCAGGAGCGTGTAGATATGGGCCGGAACGTCGCACAGCACACCAGGGTACCGGTTCTGTGGCATGTCGTCAATACTCCCAGAGGCTAATCAAACAAGGGAGGGAGGAGCTGTTCGACTTACTTCAAACCAAGTTCCTCCCACATCACTGTTCTTCTCGTAGAGAGTATGCTCGATCCGGTCATCGAGCTTGTACTTGTGTTGGATCTTGTGGGCCAAGGTCAAGCCGCTGAAACCACACCCGATACTGATCACTTTGACCTTCTTCTGTGGTTTCCAGAGCACGTGGTCTTCCATGACCACCCATTTGGGATTGTGCTCGACTTGTTCTGCCAACGGCTTCTCAAGGGGCAGGGGCACAGACTTGACCCCATTCAAGTCTGGCTGGGTACCAATGCCATTTTTTGTACTCACACCGTTGCTATGGGCGTGCTGGCCTTTGTCGCCGGTAGTATCTGCCTCAAGCGGGGCTTGTCCGGGCGTGATGGCCATTGCGAGCGGCGAGAAGCGTGCGACAAAGATAATCGATAAACGACAAAGTCCTGCACACGCGTGTGATTGAGCCCAATGAAAAGGTGGGAAGAACGACCGAACCGCTGGCAATAATCTACCGTCACTGCTCTCCTAAGCCAGACCATTGCACACAGCCGTGTATATATATATACTGGTGGGCCGAGTACCCCATCTCGTTTCTGGCGGAGATCAATCGCCGAATCCGGGGCCGCGTTGCCGGACGTCTTGCCACATTTATCCCCATTGACCATGTATCATACCACGAGTGGAACAAGCTCATAAGTGTGATTCACCCTAGTACGACACACTCTTTTCTATGGTTTGCTGCTTTGTTGCGGTCGTCCTCCTCTGTGAGTATCCGTTCCTCTTCATCCGGCGGCTTCATAAGCGATACCTTCCCGTGGAAGGGGTAGCATCACAAGCATCGCCAATGCATAGCCAACGCAAGAGTCTCAAATCCTCCACAAAAATATCAGAAGTTCAGCGACCTCGAATCAGTTGTTCAAACCTTTGTCACGTGGTTGATCAAAGATGGAATGGGGTTTCTTTGACCACAAGGCTGAGTCAAGTCTTGGTAGCGAACCAACAAAAGAAAAACATTCCCGTCTTTGTCAGTAGGAGAAACAACGATCTCAATCTTCTCGCCACGTGCAATCACGCCGCAGCCCACTGAAGGAGGCTGAGGCAGCCGGGGCCTCGTATCCCTGTGTGAACGGCCGTAGGAGCATCTCTACTCGGTACAGGCAGAGAGACACACTCAGGAGACGGCGAAGTCGTTGTCTTTCAGTACCTCGTAGTTGTTCACAGATGGACCCCTTCCCCACTCCCCCACCTCACACTCAGAACCTCGTAGGCAGCCACGACAGCCCAGAACCAATGATGCAGAAACATACATGCCAAAGTTGAAACACGCTTTCACGCGTTGGGGCTAGACAGCCTCGTCTTGGCGCGCACCCGCTACAGCCGTTTGGACGGACTAAACCGCTTTAGGAAACATGTTGGTCCGCTGCCTCTTTCGGCCACCCGTTTGTTTATTATATGCAACCGCCTTTCCGACCACGAGCTGTTGAAAAATCCTCCTGCTTCTACAAAAAGTTGTATTCTCTTTCTCCCAATAATTGCATTTGGATGAGTCTGTTGCTGTTGCTGTTGATGTTATCATTATCCTCGTATGATCTCACCTACGCAGCGTCATGGCCGACAACAACAACTCGACAGGGACAGCTCAAGTCCGCGGATCCAAGAGATCGAGCGACGCCATCTCCCCCATCAAACCGACACAGGCGATAACTCCCTCCAGAAAGAGACCCCAGAAGAGAGCTCGGTTCTCTGAACCACTCCCCGCTCATGGAACGACCGGTCTGACACCCGCCGTGGGCAAGGCTTCCCTGAAGACCCCCAAGCTCAGAAGAGCGTCCACCCCGGCCATCACCCGGTATAGGGACCACGACGAGATCCAATTCACCCCGCTCCGCGAAGTGCTCGACGCCAGGACCACCAGACGGATTCGGCGCCATGGCCTGAGCGACGAGATGAATCGGTACCACGCGGAGCACAAGTCCAAGGCCGACCTGCAGCGCCGGCTCGAGCAGAAGAACAAGGAACTCCAAGCTCTCAAGGACGAGTTGGAAGCTTCGAAGCTCCGTGAGGTCTCTCTCCTGCAATGCGACCGGGTCGGGAGCCAGCAGCGAATCACCGAGTTGGAGGCCGAAGTGGCAGAATTGACCCAGAGGTCCAACGACGACGATTTTGGACTCGGCGGCACCAGCTCACCACGTTTCAGCGACGGAGACGAGGGCTTCCATATCCACGAGGATGACTCCGCCGGCAACGAAAACCACGCCACCGATGTAGAGGATGACGCCGCCGTAGGACTGGAGCTCGAGTCTGCGCGACAGGAAAAGCAAGCTCTCTTCCGATCGAGCCAGGGCTCTTTCACGAGCACCATCCATTTTGCAGACTCACCTGCTCGTTCTTTCAGCGCATCACAAACGAACCCTCGCCGCCCTGAGATTCCCACTCAAGAACTATCCAAGGAACTCCACGCCGCCATCAATCGAGCCGAGGAAGCCGAAGTGGCGCTACAAGCCTTGACTGCCGAAATCAAGTCCCTCGGGTTTCCCTGCGACAGCGACGATGCCAATGAATGTATCGCCGGCATTAAGACACACTTCCGCAACATGCGGTTCGAGCTCGAACGAGCCGTTCCCGGGGAAACGGTCATGTCCCTGAATTATGCTCGCCTCATGCCCGAAATGCTGTCGAAACTCAAAGCCATTGCCAGGCAAGTCCGCGACCGGGAGACCGAGTTGAAGTCGATGCGAGAGCAACAGCGGTCTCTGCGGGGCAATTTCGACCATGCACTGGTCGCGGCAGAAAAGGCGAACAACAGAATCAAGGAACTAGAGGACGCCATCGACAAGAACGCCGAGGAGATGCTCGAGCAGCGCATGCGAGCCCAGGCTCTCGAGCGCGAGGCCGCGGAGCACGAAGCCAACAAACAAAGACTCATTGCAGCCATGGAGAAATTGCAGCGAGAAGTCAAACGCCAGGAGGACTTGTTCGAGCTGGTCGAAGCGGAACAAGCATCCCGACTACAGGACGTGAGAGCCGCGACGACGGCGGAATTCGCCCAGCAACTCTCCGATCTGGACGCCAAAGTCGCGGCCGAGACGCGCGGGCGGAGGGCGGCCGAAGAATCTGCCGTCGAGCGGCTGAAGAAGATCAACGAACTCGAATCTGCCCTGTCCGCGGCTCGCCAGTACTCGGAAGACACCAAGGAGCAGCTGGAGAACCTCAAGAGCCAGCTCAGCGTGTCGGATCGCGAGCACGAAGCCGAAGTCGAGGCGCTGAATGCCCGCGTGCAGAAACTGAAGAACATCAACACCCAACTCGAAGCAAACTGGAGAGACGAAAGCGCCATCAACGAAGAGATCCTCCGACGCAATCACCAAGACCAGCTCCGCACCCACATGCAATTTGAGAAAGACATTAAGAAATACATCCGGGGTGCCAAGGTGCGGCACGCGAACTGGGAATTGGAGAGCGACGACATGCGCAGTGACGAGATAACCGGCGGCGAAGGACCCATGACGCCGGCCAGCGTGGTGCGGTTCTCCGAATTCTCGCAGGTCGACGACACGGACGATGACCACGCAGACGATCACGTCCAGGGCAGCGTCGAATTGTCCCGGGGCAAAAAGCAGCGTCGCCACCACCGCTCGTCGTCGATTCTGCTGCCTTCCGCCTCGGCTTCGGCATTCCCTGCAGCTGGCATCCTCAAGAAGCGAGGCAGGAGACGGTATGACAGTGGAATCGGCATGGACTCTCTCAGCGAGGCCGAAGACGACGATGTCGCAGTTGATGTCGATGCAAATGTGCAGCAAAACGGTGTCATGACCCCAGATTTGAGCTCCGAGAGCGAAGAGATCGACTTTGATACTCATCTTGACATGAGGGTGTAAAGCCTTTTCTTTCCATTTGGCCTTTGGAGATCGGTATGCGAATGTTTTTCTTGGTGATGGATATGCTGGACATGGGACAACAGCAAACAAAGCAGCGGAACATGGTGTTTGAGTCGAGCTGTCACTCTTCAGCTGCATGTGAGGATGGAGCAAATGAAACCTTTTGACATCCTGAGCGCAATTAATATCTCTGGAAAAGAAACGGGGGATGTGCATCAAACTTGATTGAACTAGCTTCGATTTGGTTGGATTTGTCCTGATTCTGGTTTATGGGATGATGTACCTAATGCGCCACCTCCCCAGACGGGGTCTTTTCCTTTTATTTTTGGGGTACCATTACACGGAATGGACGATATGAGAGAGAAATGCAGAGGTGGTTTGACCTCTTTGCCAGAAGAAAAGGGAGGCAAATCCCCTCAGATCTTATATTGATAAGCCAGGGACACAGTTCCACAAAGGTATTCCTCAATGAAGACAGCGTATCTGGTCCTTGCATGAGGAAGATCAAGCAGCTCATAGTATTCATGGGTAGCGGAACAAGATTGAGGAATTTGGTGGCATTCGCTTGATATGTAGTCGTTGCTACCATACGTCTGCATTGTCCAGGTTCCTCCCTGCCGTGTCATCATATCAAGAAATTCTCGTCCGTTCTGCCCTATGATTCGAACCTCAAAGGACGGAAGATCCATGATATAGCGTCCCCCCTTTGCCGCCACGACATAGTGATCCGAAACTCATCCAGGGCGCTGCTGTCGTAGCTGATGCACAAAATCTCTTGGTTCTCGTTACATTGAACTGGCCATCCCGGACAAACTCCCAGTATACGCTGTCAAATTCCCAATCCCTTCATACGACACGTGGCTGTCTCGTTATTAATAATTTCGATTAGGAGAAGTCATCCATAGCCTTGTCGACAAGCTGGACGCCGTGCGCCTGGCCGCTGGCTGCAGGATGGGTTGAGCCTGCATCCTCGTTCACGTCACCACTACCAACCCCCGAGTTGCCGAGTCGTCTGCTCAGGCTCCCTGAAACCGCTGATCTCGACACACCGACTGGCTTGCGGTCGCCGGTCACTGCGACTCTCTTGAGCGATCCCGGCCGCGATCCAGCATTTGAGCCTGTAGGTGCAGGAACTGGGGAGGTGTCGGATTCCTGATCATGATCATCATCGTCTAGGGGTGGTGGAATGTGCGGGCCCGGCCCTCCTCCGCTGAATGTGCCAGGTAGATTCAGGCTCGCGCTTGTGATCGAATCTGGTGAAGAAAGCATATGCTCGTGGCCGAGGCCTTGGCCGTTGGTGGTGACTGTACTTGAAACCAGACCCTCAAGGTTTCGTGCCGTTGGCGGAGTAGCTGCGTTCCTCTCTACTGCGTTCTGATTCCGTGTCTGAATTGGCGAGGACTCGTTGCTTCCAGGAACTTCGAGACTGCCTCGTTTCGTAGCAGACGGCAAGCCCACACTGCTTACGCTTCGTCCATGACTCCCATCGGGTCTGGGGCTCGCCACGACGGGGAACCGACCCACGCTCCCATCCGTGCTCTTATCTCGCCTGTGTCGGTTCGTGGGCGCGGGCGACTTTTCTCGTTGCCTTTGCCCTCTCTGTTCCGTGATGGCCCGTGCGCGAGCCTCCATATTCGCTCGTCGAGAGCTTTCATCTGTAGTGCTGACGGCACGTTGACGGTGGGATAGACTGTTTGACCCTGACAGCGTGGACGACTGCCGCTTGAGCTCACCGAAGATGGCTTCTTTATGGTCGAACAGGTCACGGATCAGACGATACGCATGCCGCTCTTCCAGGGTCAAGGAGTTCTCGGTCCGGGGGCGTAATATACATGGGGCTAGGACAGTGGCAAGTGCCGAAACATAGGCTTCGTCCGCTGAGGTCAGGTCAATCAGACGGGTGAAATGTGTGGTTATGGCGTCGAGAGTAGCAATATTATTGAGGCGAAGCTGGCCAAGAGTAGATTGCAAGACCTTAATTCTCGGCAAGGCGTCAACTGACTCGGTGGAGATGGGGTTTGGGATTGCGTCGGATGTCGTTGCGTAGATCGTCTTGATGATTTCGTACACCTGAGAAGAGACGAGCGAATCTGCTGAGAGTCAGTGGTCAATTCTTTTACAAAATGTTAGGATAGACTGACCTGGTAACTCAAGAAGATACAACTTCAGCAAACTCGCAATGATGGGCATCTCATATTTCTCAAGAACCTCGCGAGGCACTGGAGCACCATTATTGACCTGGTTTCGTAGGTGATGAGTCGCTGCCAATGGGACATCCACAAGCCAGATATTCCGCCTGGCTTCGTCTCCCTCTAGGTCAGGGTAATGGTTATCGAGGAATGTTAGTATAGAAGTGACAATGATGGGTACTCGTTTGCGATCCGCTCTTGCTCTCGCCTCCAGGTCAACACCGAAAGTCTGATCATCCACACTTCCGTAATAGTTTTCGTAAGGCGTGACTTTGGGGATGAATGCACCTGTCCTGTAGTTCTCGAGCAGATATCGCAAGTCTCCCAGTGGCTGGATGGTTTCCTGGTACAGCATCATATGATCAACCTGGCTCTGGAAAGATGGGATGCTGTTGCTGATAGCACCCGAAAAGTCCAGGATCACGGACTTGATGGCCTTCAGACGATCTGTCTCGCATCGCTCGAGGAATTTGAGATGGTCCATCATCGATTCTTCAAGGTTGCATCTCAGCAGATCAAGTCTCCGAACGGCTCCCTTGTATTTCTCGTCTGCCTCGTGGGCCTCACGCTTCAGCCGCTCCGCCGGCGTCTCGTTGGGGAATGGGTTGTTCAAAGGGTTCCAACTCTGCAGGGTCTCGGTGATGTTTCCGACTGTTGGCGACTCCAAGATTCCATCTGCCGACGCGCCGGTAGTCGATCTGCTCAATGGCTTTCTCTTCTCTGGCACACCGGTCAGCTGGAACGCCCGCGGCTTCCACTGATATTTCATTCGTGAACTATTGGCGAATGTATTGCCCATGTTTCCTATCAGGCGCAAGAATCCGCGATCAATCAAATCTTGTCCAATCTTCTCTGCGTACCCGACACTCGACGCGTTCATGTGTTTCTGGATGTAATCGGTAATATCCGTACCAGCGGACACATTTTGATATACACCCAATATCGGAACCTTGTGTTCACCCAGGGGAATCTTCTCGAGCATGTCGGTAAGGAGCACTTTCAGCTTTTCAGGCGGATATGTGACGTCTCCGATCTCGACAGGTAACTCGTCGATTTCATCCTCTGGAAGGACAATCTTTGGCGGTGGCGGGCTTTGTGGCTTGGGACTCTCCTTCGCTGGCCCGGCAAATGCCATCTTATTCTCCTCCTCGAGATCCTCGACCAATCTGCATTTATTGAAGTACTGGCTTCTTAGCTTCTTGACCACTTCTGCTTGCTTGTCATGCGCCTTGATCTTAGCCTGCAGGTCGTCCTGCGAATTCTGTATCCGTGCAGCGTGCGAATCACACCATCTCGAGAAGGGGTTGACCACGAGTTCGCGGATATTGTCAGCGATTTTTCGATGGTTTTTGGAGGCTTCGACCATCTCGCCTCGGACGCCTTCGTAAGCCTACACAGGAGAAAGGGTTAGCAATAATGTTAGATCCAAGCACGAAGTTGACTCGTACCTTTCTCGTACTTGCGCCATCATCTCTTGCAAACCCGCCAGTCATTCGATCAATGGCCGGTGCGATATCTCCGAGACGGTCGCTGTACATTTCTTCCGCATCTGCCCTCATGCTCGCAATTGTGAGCACCTGTTGGTTCTCTACCACGCCCTGCTGAAGCTTCTGAAAGAGCACCCCCAGACCTCCTGCATAGTCCGTGGACCAGAACGAATCTGTGAAGCCGGGCATCTTTGGCCTTCCGGCGGGAGGATTCTCAGATCCCATCTATGATGACAGACGATCAAGCAAATCCAATCAATCGCTTGCGCAGGAAGAGGCGTCGCTGTATGCTAATAAAGTCGCCCGAAAACCGACTCTCGAAAGCGCAGGTGACGGTTCCGCTGGATGCAGGTGCGGAGATCTGCCAGATTGGTAGGAATGGGCGGTTACGCGGTTCGTACAACGTGACAGCGAGCGCGCTTTAGACCCAACGCTCCTAATCACTTTCGTAAGAGTGGAATAGAGAAAGAAAGGGAAGATGGATAGATCCAAGTACAGCTATGGGACATGGCCAGCGTGTTGTTTGAGCAACTGGAAATAAATTCAGTGCAGTTAGGCTGAATCTGAAACGGAAATTGAAGATGCAGTCTGGCCCCAGGAATAGCACCCGCCTTACTTTTGAAACATCGTTGAGCAGGGAAGAGTGCCATAGGCTGCGCCATGTGCGCCAGGTGCACCTGGAGCATCCGCCAGCTGATCCTTCCAGGCCTTTGTCCATAACCAGGCAACGCCTATAACGCTTTCTCTCCGAAATGGCGAAATGGGGGCTGGAGTGCCACATGTCAGGCTCTCCTGAATGGCTTAAAGTACGTCAAGCTTTTCGCCTCCTAGACAGAGCCATGGCACTTCGTCTACCGTCCCCCTCGTACTCGGTACTTTCCCCCTATCCATCTACCAGCCCATAAGCTGCTGCTGACCTACAAGCCCCAGAAATTTCCAATGCTTCTCATCACTTGGAATCACTTGTGCCAGGCGCATGTTGGGGAGCCATTCATGTTTCATTTTCGTAAAGAATAATAGAACCGGTCGTCCATAAAAGATAGTAACCATCCTTCAGTTTCCCTTCAAAGTCGATGCATACACGGAATCCTGCCGAGCCTTGAGACATAATGAGTCTGGTGGACAATTATCCCTTTTCTTTGCCTTTCTCTCCTTTCTTGTCCAGTCAGCAATCCCGGCTTGCATTGTTGTCCCAGCTTTCGCTCAAAAGCGCCTCATTCCCCTCGTCGGAGACTGCGGTGGAGTAAACGACGACATAACTGGCATCTGTCTCTCAGGTGCGGTGAAAAAGTCATCGACGGTTAGTCAGTCTTTCAGGCCCAGGTCTTCCTCTGCAGGCACGACACGGATGGTGTTGGTATGACCTTGGCCACCTCTCCAGCCCTGAACGCAAACCACGCTGTCGCCTTTGCCCAGAACACCGAGCTTGATGGCCTGAGCAATACCCCACTTCAGTCGCTTGTCCACATCCTGTTGCCAATCAACTCCACGGAAGTCGGGCTTCGGTTCAGGGAATAGGAAAGGATACACTCCACGGTACAGGTGAGCATAGCGCGAAGCAATGGCGTTGCGCGTAACCATGATGATGGGGCACACCGGACGGTATTTCGAGAGCAGTCGCGCAGAAGAACCACTTTTTGTATATGTCAGTCACTAAAATCCGAGGCCACAGTCGGGAGAGACTTACCTGGTCGTCAATACAAGGATCGCGCCGGCATTCAGTTCCATGCTTGCACCCACAGCAGAAATCGCAATGGATTCCACCGTCTCAATGGGACGAGGGCAGCTGGTTCTCAACTCATCAAACGAGTTGGCGTAGGGAATGGCAACCTCGGCCAACAGGCATGTTTCGTGCATCATGGTGACGGCTTCTTTAGGATAATCGCCTTTGGCGGTTTCACCAGACAGCATCACACAGTCGGCGCCATCGAGAACAGCATTGGCCACATCCGAAACTTCGGCCCGGGTAGGTCGAGGATTCTTGGTCATGGACTCCAACATCTGTGTCGCGCAGATAACGGGTTTGCCCTTCATGTTACATTTGGCGATCATCATCTTTTGGGCAATGAACACCTTCGCAGCCGGGATTTCAATACCCAAGTCACCACGTGCAACCATGACACCATCGGTCTCGGCGAGAATCTCGTCAAAGTTGTTCATTCCCTGCTGGTTCTCAATCTTCGCGATGATCTGAATCTCCTTGCCCTTGTCACCCAGAACCCGTCGGATGTGCTTGATATCGTCTCCTCGTCGGATGAAAGAGGCAAAGATCATGTCAACTCCATTCTTGACACCGAACTCCAAATCGGCAATATCCTTCTTGGACAAGGGCGGAAGGTCGACGTCCGTCCCAGGGAGGTTTACCCCCTTTCGGGAGGAGATCTGTCCGTCGTTGAGAGCTCGCACACGAAGGGTCTTGTCATCAATGACCTTGGTGACTTCGAACGATTGAATGCCGTCGTCGACGTAGATCAACTTGCCAACATCGATCACTTTGGTGATGTTCTTGTAGTCAATATACCTGGCGCCCAGTTAGTCTTGCTGCTGCAGTTTGCAAGCTTTCAACTTACAGGTTCTTGTCGTCGCTGGCGGTCTGGTATTTGTCGTCGGTGGTGATGTTCAGTTCAAGGCCAGCCTTGATGGGAATATCTGCGTCTCCAGGAGTGTTTCCTGTTCGGATCTCAGGTCCTTTCTTTGAGAAATCAGCCAATTTCTTTTAGTCAATAGTTGTGGTTCTGCTCACGGTGTCGAGGGCGATCGCAACGGGGCGGCCTGGATAGTCTTTTGCCGACTTTCTGGTGTTGTCAATGACGGATTGGTGGTACTGTTGTGCATTAGCTAGTGATGCCGCAGCATTAACAAGCAGTGTATACCTCGTAAGAGCCGTGAGAAAAGTTCATGCGGACAACATTGAGACCAGCTGTGATCTGAGTTCAGTATTCATGCGCCTCCTTGTGAGATGGTTCTCTTTCCACATACCCTTCCTCAGCATAGTAATCTTCTCAGCAGAATTGGTCTTGGGACCTGTTATGGAAGATCACAATCAGCTTCAATTGTCCTCATTGTTGCTGCTCTTTACAGGACAACATACCAATGGTGCAGATGATACTAGTCCGCCGGTGGTTCTTCTTTGGCAAGTAGTCGATGTTGAGGTTGCACTGCCATTCCAGCTTGGTGCGGTTGGCGAGATGATCCAAAGCGTCACCCATTTTGCTCAATTGATCTGGGTATACAGTTCAAGCGGTGAGGGTTGGGCAAGAGAAGGCAGGGTCGCGGGCTTTGGCTCTCAAAAGAGCGGTGGTCGGCCGCCGAAGGACTACCCGTCAAGACTCCGTTAGTCACCAACGTCTGTCAAACGCAGGACACGAAGGGGTGACACGGAAGAGACAAGATACTCACAGTCGAACTCAGGAGGTGATTGAGCTATGGTAGGAGGAAAGAGGTTCAGGAGGGTTCAATAAAGAATGAATGTTGCGGTTGAAGGTATCACCGCCCAGCAAAAAAAAAAAACAATGGCAGCCCCCTCTCGCAGAAGCAACGGTTGAATCCAACCCAGGCTTGCCAGGCTGGCTAACCAGCTGGGCCCCAAAGGGTTGAATCAGAATGGAGCTCTCACGTCACGCTTATCAGGGATTGATGATGGCACGACGGGGTGACACAGCACTCACACGCTGGAAGTATCAGGCGAACAATAGGCTAATGAAATTCACCATCTGCGCATGGGGGGCGGCTACTGAGTTGGTTGGTGCCGGACATGAATAGATGGGGAGGTCCGCTTGGGGGCCCATTGAAACCTTGCGGGAAGCTGAAAGAGAGGGGCCGCCAGCTTCAAAGTTTCGAGCCCATTGAGGGGCAGGAGTCAACAGCTTAAAAGAGAGATAAGATAAGCGACTCACGGTGCTGCAACAATGTTAATCCGTGATCTGCTAGGTGACTGGCTTGTGGTCTAGGTGGACCTGGTGCCTACGCAGGTGACCTCGGGGCGCATCTCGACCCTCCACCTTTGTTTTCTTATTCTTAAACATCACATGTGAACAAACAGGCAGGCTTGGTTTCCGTCTTCTCCCACACTTGCAGCCCAGACTCTACCCAATATCATAGCAAGATCTTTCCAATCTCCGTCGCCATGGTGGTAAGTTCCCATCAAACCTTGTCAGACCTTGGAATCTGCGGACCGACAACATGCATAGCTCGGACGCCTCACCCACTACGCCTTTGACGCCGTCCTGATCTCCGCCTTTCTCGCGGGGATCAAGAGAAGCACCGGTCTCACGTACGTACAGCCGACATCTTTCAGCCTTTCTCTCCCGCGCTCTCTTTCCTTTCCTTTCATTTCTCCATTCTACTATCTTTCAAAAACTCACTGATCCTGATATCTTGATATCTGACACAACAGACCAACCAGTGTCAAGGCATCCTCGCTCGGCGAAAGCAAAGAACTCCAAACCTGGGTCGACCGTTATCTCGGCGTGGGCGAATGGGTGATGGACCAGAGCGTGGCCCTCATGGGCAGCAGTAGCTGGTTCGAGCGGAGGCGATGAGGCCAATGAAAACACGAAATCACGCTTTTCTGAACCGATGCACCCACCATACGAAAAGCTTCACATGGGGGAGCCTTTTTCCCCCTTCGCAGATGAAAAGCAGGAGGTGGAATGATGACTTTATAAGACTATACAAGGAGACTCTAAGATCGGAGAGTAGCATGACAATCCGGCGTCAATGGAGAAAGGACGGGACACGCGCTGATGGGATGCATATCTGTCTGTTGGGGCGGACACTGCCTTGGGAATTCTGTTTTGCGACACACTCGACTCCTCTCTTAGGCCGGGCGTAGGAGAAAATAGTTCTTTGTCGCTATGCTAGTTGGCCAGATGACTTTAGCCAATATGCCGTGGAACAGGAACCTCGTTACCGCTGTACCAGACCCCTTTCGAAATAGCAGCGCGGGAAAAAGTGGACGAAATACATTGCTCTAGAAAGTATATAGAGCACTCGCTGCCCGACTCATGAGATCGATCGAGATATTCTTGAGTCTTATTTGCAAAACCGAATAACCGTGCACAACCTGGCCTTTACCCGTCCATTTGCAACCCACCCAAAAAGAACCATGTGATACATACCTGTAAAGAGGAAAAAAACAATCACACATGTCGTCCAGCATCATATGAACAATACATAGCTAATCTAGCACCAACTCCATGCTGCGTGTATGTGGAATCACCCCATATTTCCTCTCAAAGTCCATTGTGATAGTGGCTCTTTGTCTTATCTGCTGCAACCTAGTAGTTACTCGTGGGCCCGTCGAAACGTGGCGTCGATCAGCCGGTCGAGATCGATCCTCTGGTAGAAGGAGATATGGCCGTAGGGCACCCAGTACTGAGCCAGTTTATTGGGAGAAATCATGATGAGCTGAGAGGGAATGTACTCGTCTGCAGCGAATCAATCAAGATGAATTAGCACTTGAGCCGCCTCGGTAAGAATGTTTGGGTCGCGCGGCCAACAACCAGGAGAGAAGAGGGAAGATCAAGAAATTCAGGGTACTGCTGTTCACAGCAAATGCTATGATATGTATATATTCACCGTCCTTGGAAGGAACAAGTAAGGGGCAGACGTTTCTGTAAAACTCACCATTCTGGAATCCCCTAGCGGCGACGTGACCTTTACTTTTCACCACCCTCGAGCCTCTGAACGGGTGTTCCTCTGCGATCCTGATCAGTCCGCCAGGGCCGATGTCGTCCGCCACGAAGGTGTACTCTCCTCTTGGGACATGCGGATCTCCCGTGAGTTTGACCGCCATGATGGAGCCCTTGTATATGCCTTCGTCTTCGTGCATTGCCATCATGTCACGCTGGTATTGAGACAGTTGTTCGGCTGTTTGCTGAGCACGCACCGGTGCTTCCGGTTCGGCCTCCTCGCCCTCAGGAGGCAACCCAATGAGTCCTCTTAGATGGGCGTCTGTAGGTCGATGTTCAGGGATTTCGGGCCCTTTGTCCGATTGTATGACCAGCAAGAATTCGCAACCGTGGCCTGCATAATCGCCCACGAAAATACCTTGGTAAGGCTTTTCCTTCGTCGGCGTGTACAGCGCAGGGTCGATGGTGCTCCACGTAGAGACTTCTTCGCCTATCCGGATCCCGAAGAGCGCCCTGCCTGTTGAGAATTGACTCCAGTGCCTCAAACGAAAGGTGGTTTGCGAGATCTGATCGTGTTTCTGCGGTTTATGCCCCGATCCTCGGAAGTTATCAAGGCTGGCGGCACGCACCCGAGGCATATTAGGAATTGTACTTGGTGGCCACAAAGTCATGGACTTGTTCTGCAAATGTGGAGGAATGTCTCTGCTCAGAAAGAATGAGGCGGATGTGTTATGTCCAGGCCGCCCAACTGTCATCTTGATCTCGGCTCCCCACCAGCCCTGACGAGTATTGAAGGGAACAATGTCATGTGGCAGTTTGAGGATCGGGTCGTCCAGCCAGAGATGTACACGTGGATTAAAGTTGTGAATCACCACGCCAGGTTCATAAGGCCAGAGGATACCCATGGATGGAGTCCTCTCGGCTAGCAGTCGATAGCCCTCAATACAGCCTCGCCGCGGGTCGAAACGGCAGATCATCACGCGACCGATATGCGGTTCGTCAGAGATCCATATCTTATTTCGAGGGACGAACCAGTAGGGGTGATGCATAATGTACAAATCGCGAAAGGATGATGAAGGGTACGGGTCCGAGGGAAAGTCTTGGGCTGGGATATTCGGGCGAAGGAGGTTCGCCCAGAGAAAGTCGTTGGAGGCCAGCCCTCGTAATCGACGACAGCTGCGAGAGACCGAGACAAGTGACTGGCACGGCAGATGGGAGAGAATTTGATAGAGAATCTCCGAAGGGAGCCGCACCAGGGCTCCTTTCTGATGGCCTACCGACTTGGTGTTTGTCGTGGAAGCGGCATTGTCGGACTCCATTTTTCTTTGTGTTGCCTGCTCTAACTTCCGGAGAGGTCGGTCCTACGACCCTAGATGTCTGACGGCGAGATCAGTGATGTTGCTCAGTATGGGGTCATCGACATTGACGGATAGATTGAAGGAAAAAAGGTGAATGACTCGGTAGTTGATGGGGAATTAACCATCACATATGCGGTCACCCAACATACATTTTCTCGGAGAAACAGTCAAACGCCTGAAGATCGATGCCTCCATTCACCCCGCCTTTTTGTACCAATTCCCAGCTTTTCTTCTGCTGCTCTGGGCGCGTTTGGCTCTCAAGAGTCGAGCTGACGAGCACGCGATCCGAAGAGTCGAAGTTGGATTGGAAGATGCAGTCGATGTCGAAGTCGAAGCCTTGACTGATCAGGAAGGTGAGAATCCAGCGAGCCACTCGTCGAAGGCCGCATGCACGGGACGCCCCGCTATGATCGACAGGTCGCCCATGCTTGCCATGTCTTGATGGAGATACAAAGTGGAAGCAAGAAAGGGTCAAGAGTCTTGTTCAGAGGGGATCTTATACAGGCTGCGTGAGGATTAACCGCAGCGCTCTTGCTTACAGAGGCCGGCAACTCGCCTACAAGTACATGGATATCAACCACTCCAGCGCAGCATTCTTTACAACACTAACTAATACATCCATCTGTAGTTCTTCCTTCTCCCATGGATTCCGCCCGAAGATAAGGCTTGTCCTCACCTCCTCTTCTGTGCTGGATCTTGACTGTACTAGGCCCTTTATTGCTGGACCAGCATCAACCGGTGCGGTTGGCACCGTTTTCCGCATCACGGAGACTGAGATGAAGGGCCGTTCTGTTGCTTCCATCGTGCGGACAATCCATCTTCAATGCGACATCAGGAAAGTGAGCGCACGGTTGATGGTGCATCATGACCAAACTTCTGGTACATGCCCAACAGCCCATTGCCATCGCCACCGTGCTCTGCAGACCAAGGCGTCCCGGACTCAAATCCAGTGCGACGTTGTTCTCGGCACAAAATCCATTGAGATTTTTTGGGACGAAGGGCTTTTCAAAGTCGCTTCTTCTCTCATCATAATGGCCCTCAGCCACTAGATTTCGTCTTGACAGGTTCCAGCTTCTGCGCATGTGGTAACGACGACGGCCGGTCTTCTTCCTTCCAGATCTCCCGCTCCAGCTGTTCAATGCTGTAAGGCTTGATGTTCGGGTCTTTGGGAGGATCAGGGATCAAGAATTTTCCGATAGTCTCACCAAACACTCTCGTTAGAAAGACTTGTCGATTCTTCCGATCTTCGTTCATCGTGACACTGTACTTGAAAAGATCTTCGGCATATAGGTCCGTCAACTTCGCTTCCTGAAGCGCAGCTCGTGCGGCCAGCTCCCGCTCGTGCGGAGGATATTCGTGCAAGGGCTTTTTCATCTTGTCCTCCATCGCCCTAGGCAATGCCATTTGTTCCAGTGTTGGGGCAGGTCGACTGGGGTTGAAGAGCGATGAGAGGGGAGGGATGGGCTGGTTGTTCCGTTTTGCCTCGTCCACTTGTGCCTCGTAGTCCATCATTCTGTGATACAACTTGTCCGCGTGCATCTGGATCTTCTCTTCGTCCTCGGCAGAACTACCGGCGTTGGTCATATATCCCAGCGCTTGCAGAAACTTGGCCTGCAGTGTGTAGCAGCGGTTGAAGGCCTTTGTCTCTTCGTGGCACATGGTCATTCTTCCGCGTATTCTGTCCGTTACATTACCGCCCTTGAGGCAGATTTGTTGCATTTCCTCCTCGAAGGCGCAGTTCTCCAGTGCGGCCTTGTGTATGGACTGATTTCTGTCTTTTCTTGCCGAAAGTACTCTCTCCACAGGCGTGGACGTAGCTGCAATGATCTCGTCTTGTGGGATGTAGGTCTTCCAGATGTGCTTGTATCTGCCATCCTGGAACAGCGATTCTTTTGGCAGCGGCTTGTCTTCAGGAGGTTGTGCCGCATCAGCAACAGTCTGCTCGGAGGGCTTCGAGGTAGGAGCGAGGTTTTGTGGTGGCTCTGACGGTTCCGCAGGAGCTTCAGCTGGGACATATGGACGTGGTTGTTGCTCCTTCAAGAACTGCTTGAGATCGTCGTCGAGGGCCTTTGCGGGATCATTTTGAGCGTTTCTCCCACCCCAGAACCAGCCCATCTCTTCTAGGGAATCGCCTGCTCTTTTCAGATCGAATGTGATACGATGGTGTCCATAGTCCACCTCCCGACCGCGGTTGCCATGTTAGAGAAATGCGATCGAGATTATTGGCTTGCTGGGGTCAGACTTCAAAAATTGTTTCTCCGCAGCCCAGCGCCAAGATTATCTCCCTTGTTAGTCCCCAACTTTGTCGCATCGTCGTCGTTTTCTCGTTTGATGGGTTGCCTCTACTCCGACTTATGCTTGAAGTCGCCCCTATATACATGTCCAAAGCTGCATCTGATTTTCTGGCAAGCGCCGATATCTAATTTGCGGCTAGCTGTAGGCTTCACAGGGCTCCATGGAAAATTTGCTTTAGGTAGTTTATTGTCGAATCCTGCCTGTCCACTGAGCTATGCCTAGTAATATCCTGATCTGATATATTCTTTATCTGCGGAAACCTATCCATCACTTTTATATATGTCCCACCCAGGTTGTGAGCTCGAGACTGTAGCCCGAATTTTTAACATCACCCTCGGTCAATATTTCGTACATGAGCCATCCCTGCAAGAGCGAGTAGAAACTGGGGGAAGAGATCCGTTAATCATGAGATTAACTATAAATGCGGCTTGAGAACAAAGATCCTCGAGTCGGGCGCCAGAACGATGAAGATTTGTAAGAGGCATCCCAAGACCTCAGATTGCGAGACCTCCGTCGACGACAAACACGCGAAATGTACAACAGAGTCGAAAGAGAAACAATAATTTCGCTTCGAGACTGGTCAAACGGGAGTATTTCCGTCTGGTTGAACGATGTCTACCAGAACAAAGCAGCGGCGAGGGCGCCAATTGCTAGACCTGCCATGGATCCGTCGGCCCTAGAAGCAGCTCCCGTGAAGGAAGTTGAAGCGGAAGTACTAGACGATTCCTCGGCGGTAGTTGCGGTCGCGGTTGCGGCAGCAGAGCCAGAAGCCTGCCCGGTCGCACCAGATATGAGAGATCCAGTTGCAGTGGCCCCGGAAGCACCGCTGGGGCTGCTACCTCCTGTCGTGGCCGAAGCACTGCCGGTGGCCGTGGAAGTCGATAAACCAGAGTTGTGCCAGGTTGCAGTGCCATTGCCAGATCCAGAGGTAGCCGATGCGCTTGATGAAGCAGATGTGTAGCCTGCTGTCGAATTGCAGGCGAGGTTGTAAAGGGGTTTACCGTTGCTACTCACGCCGAACGATGGAGAGGCACCCTCGTCAGCGAGAATATACCACCAGAAATCGATGCCCCGGTTTTCGAGGGCACACGCAACCTGCTGCCAGTATTCTGCAGCGTCATCCGCGCCGGGCACAGCGAGATTAGAGGTGGGTCCAGACACTGGGTATCCAGTCTCGGTAATCCAGATGGGCTTCCCCTGGGCAACGGCTGCGACCTTGTCGTAGGCCTGGAAGAAAAGGAAACCACTATTGTCTATACTGTTGGCATCGGTCGTTTGGAAGTAGGGGTATTCATCGAGACCCAGGAAATCGCAGGAGTCGATGACTGGGTTATTGGTGGCATTGACATAGACATTCCAGGTGTCAACGTGACCAACAGGGGCAGAGGCAAGAGAGGTGTCCTTGATGGTGTCGCGGACCTGACTGATGTAGTCGACCAGAACGTCAGGGGACTGACCAATGCCGCTGTTGGCGGCAATGCCAGTGGGGGAGATGCGGTAGAGGTCCTCGCTTCCCACCGAGATACCAACGACAAGGTCTGCAAAATCCGAACCGTACTGGGAAATGGCCGATTTGAGAGCGTTGAGTTCGTTGTTGAAGGCCGTCTGGTCTACGGACGCCCACAGGCCCAACAGAAGGGTTGTCTTGGTATCAATGGCAGCCTGGAATGCAGAGCTTGGGGTGTCGGTTGTCCCTTCCTGAATCATCGTATACAATCTTGCACTGGTAAAGTCACTGGTGCCAGCCAGGGACGCGGCGGTCTTGAATTGGCTCAGAAACGAGTCGTAGGTTTGACCTTGAGAGGCATAGTTGTACCCCTTGACGGCGGCAAGGGCGGTGGACGCACCACCTAGAATAGCAAGGAGGGAGCTCTTCATGTTGGGAGCGTCTGTGAGGGCGTGTCAAATAAATACTGAGGAAAGAATGTCTAAGATGCTATTTAAAAATGAATGACTGAAGTACACAAGCAAAGAACAATGAAGGATGATTCAAAGAATGAAGATGAGTGCAGAAGAGGAAAATTCAGTCAAGGGATGAAAAGTGCTTTGGCCATGTTATTTACACATACTCCATTCACATATCCATACAACCGTCACATGTGGGGGATGTTCAGGGGGCTGACTTAGTCTGAGACATGTAAGTGGTTCGGTTGGCCGGTACCTGCATCATGTGGCGCTGGTGGCGCGTCTATTGAGCTTCGCCACCGTTGGGTCCGTGTTTGAAAAGTCCGGGTATGCCGCGAGTGGCTAGTCTCCGCTGGGGACAACGGCACGTCAGGTAGGGATTGCACAAAGTGTTACGTGGAGGGCTGTATGATCTTGTGTAAAAGTACTCTTTCGCTATGATTTACGTATATCCACTTGTACGTAAAGGAGAGAGACAACAGTCTATTCCGGTTGTAGCAAAAACGCCAAGACCTCAATCGCTCAGCCAGGGGATATACAAGGACATAGGACAGGAGCAAGGACAGGAACAGAGAGCGTACAGCCGGTTCCGTAAAAGGCATCACTGTATACATTTGTATTACCCAGAGTCATTACGAACTAGATGCCGTTGGTGAGTGATGAAATCGATGGTGAAGAACGCCACACATCTTCACTTCGTGGTTCCAACACCGATTCAACAATCTTGATTATGGTTCGAGGGCAGATTATGTCGGGAAAGATGTCATGGCAACAAAGACGATCGATTGTGATAAGCCAGACGCGGGTCCTGTGGAGGCTGTCGTTAGATTCGGTGCAAAAAACCAAAAGAGACGTTGACTGGCAGCCTGAGCAACTGGTTGGATCCGATCACCATTCTTATGACCCAGCCGAAGATATATGGAGATTCCTAAGTTCAGCTTGAGCCTGGGCATGGAGGGGCACTACAGACCCTGCCTGCATGATGGACTGATTTCGATGCGAATACTATTAATAGGCTTTCGGGACGACATGGTGTGATATTGCGACTTCTTCGCAGCATAACTAAACGCGTACCACTTGGTGAAAAGATTAGGCGAGAACCTTAGAAACAAATGGATAGGTATGCATGTAGCGGGGTGCTGTAGCCTGGGGTACCTAGAAATCCGTCGCCTCGCATAGGACAGTAGGCAGATAGAGAGCATAAGACATGGCGTTGTTGATGTACTGGTTGTGACCGCCAAGCCATTTGGCCAATCGGCTCAACGGGTGTTTGTTGATGCTTCGACGCGTGTCTGCTCGTCCACCGGATCGTCCCACTTTGGTACCAATCTGTATCGACTGCGACCAACTGCTTGAGTGCTGGTTCATGGTCGTCGTCATCGCCGCCTATTGTACTCGCCAATGATCAATGAATATACGTTACCGCAACGATTCCTCGAGGTATCAATGACCTCCACCAAATACCATGGCCTCTTACAGTCGGCAAGATCGAGCGCTGATGCGGCAGCGAGGTGCTGGGTTCGTTACATCCTGCTCAAACTACGCAAAGCGAACTCGATGCTGACAATCTCAGATCGCGCGCTGTCCCGACTGCTGACTTTGGCATTAATTTTGGGTTGGGTGACAACAGGCTGGAGCGTCAACAAATGCGACAGAGGGGCGCCGGGTATGATAGTCGTCCTCCACCTGGTCTACACCTCTCTAACGTCCCTTGCTCAGGTCTCGCAAGATTGACAATGTCGACTTTGGTATTTCTTTTCCTACTCTGGCGCAGCGTACGCACACCAAGACACCACAGCCTCGAAGGTCGACTTCGCGCCAGCCATCAAATACGCCGGCCAGACATGGACAATCATCGACGTCCACAAGATCGACCAGACGATATTCAAGCAGACTGAACTCCGCTCAACCTTCAGCACCTGCGCCTGAGCCGCAGTCACTAAAAATAAATGATGAACATAGAGAAGCAAGCACTCGCTCTAGCAAAAGAAGGAAATTATCCCCAGCCGTTGTTACGCCGACTCCACAACCTCTACCAGAGATCGTTAAGCCGACGCCCACGAGACGAGCTTCACAGAGGAGAAGTTCCACCCGACCATTCACGATTGCGGAGGGCAATGACGTCCAAGTGTCTCACTCCATAAGCCAGGCAGAGGCACACTCTCAGACATCCCCATTGTTCGTTCCACAGCCTAAGCACGAGAAGGAGAACGAGACGCCTAACAGTAATACCCCGAAGCCAAACCGTGAGGATTCGGGCCTACAGACCACAAAAAGCGGACGAATTCTGCTTGCGCTGTCTGCTGTGGAGGAAGATATCGATGAATCTGCTTCTGAAGCCCTACTCGTAGAGGCTGAAGACACGCGTCAACAATTACTGCATGATGATAAACCACTAGACTTGGACGAGCACGGCTCTTCCAAGCAGCAAAAGCGGAAGAAAAGAAGGTCCCTCACCTTAAAGCGCAAGAGACGTCGTTCGTCTTCTCACAGTCAGGCTGTGGATGCGTCGAAGGAGAAGTCGCCTGCTGTTACTTCTGAAACGCCAGCTGAGGAAACTCGATTACCTAGGGCTAAGCTTCTGGCAGATCGGATTACCAAGTATAGCAAACTTGGGAGCAAAAGGAATATAAGAGCAGCAACTCCAGCCTCTGATCGCGAACAAACACCTGACAAAGGAGAGGAGGACGATGACTCGTACGTTGAACAAAGCTCTCCTGAAGTCGAGACGCCTGCTGCAAGTACGAAAGGCAAGAGAAAGACTCGCCGACAGAGCTCCCGAGAAAGCCCAGCGGAAGTCTCCAAAGGCGACAAAACCGTGACTACCTTTCCCATTCTCACGCACCGGCTGTCTGGCTTCTCGATATTGCCGACTATCCACGAAGACGACAAAGCTTCAATGGGGAATGCACTCCTGGCAAGCGATCGGGCTCAACCCAACGTGGTAGACGTGCTGGCCCAGATTTGTCGCGAAACAATTTCAAACGTGATTGACCGCATAGCTGAAGTTACGCAGCCCAATAAAAGGACATCGCTGAACAACAAGCGAAGCGCTCTCGAAGCCTTCGGAAAAGACCTTGATGATGAATTGTTTGCAATGTCTGAGGCCGTAGAGAATCGCTTCAACCTGGAAGCCCGTGTTCGGAAGGCTAAGCGGGAGAAAGCAGCTCTACAAGCAGAGTACATCGAGCTAAGGAGGGAGCGCGAACAGGTTGCCTTGAAATGTGACGCCCTCAGACGACGACATTGGCAGTGCGAAGAGTCTACGCGAGCAAAATGGACGCTCAGTGAAGCTGCCATGCGCGTGGAGCAGGAGATGGACAGAAGTTCAGATGTCGAAGATGAAGGTATTGAGTTCCTCATCAGAGACGTTACAACATCGATCAGCAGTGTCTCGGGACAAGGCATTTTGGACAGGGTCGTGTCGTTCAATGCTCAGTTGGAGAACATGGCATTGTTTTTAGAAAGAAGAAATGGTTGACGTTGATTCCCGATGTATCATGAGGTTAAATCTAAGACGACTGACGGTTCTGGGGCTATACTTTTGGCATATTGTGTATTGATGTGACTTTGGTTGCTGTGGCTCATGCTCGGCAGGGCACTAAATGCGTACACAAAGTCGTGACCGTGATGGTGTATATTGAAAGGATGGCGAGAACGTCAGTAGACTAGCACGTACCGAGTACATATGGTTTGCACGGTCGAAAAGCCTTGTTAAAAGAAGCTCATCTCCCCAACGAGGCTGAGGTTGTTCCGATAGCGGAGAGCTGTGGGGGCTCAGCCTTGCGCCGAAGCTTCTCCAACGAGCAATTATTTTCTCCTCCACCTTCGCGCAGTAATAGGGTCCTTCTTCACTCAAGCAAATCTCGCTATAGACATGGCAGGTCGAACGTTGCGGATAGGTATGGTCACTCACCAGGTATTCTACACCATCACGCTGACATGCGTGTCAACAAACAGGTCTCATCCCCGGTGACGGGATCGGGCGCGAAGTCATTCCGGTACGAGTCTTGAACCGTCTCCCAGCTTTCCCACTACCATCGGCCATGTCAGTGTTTCATGCCCTAATACTCGTGCTTTCAGGCCGGCAAACGCATTCTTGAGTCGCTCCCCTCGTCGCTGGGCCTGAAGTTCTCCTTTGTCGACCTCGATGCAGGCTTCGAGTGCTTCAAGCGCACTGGCACTGCGCTGCCAGACAAGACGGTAGAGACACTGCAGAAAGAATGTGACGGTGCATTGTTCGGGGCTGTGAGGTGAGCAATATCCCCTACAGCTTGACTCCTTCTGAGGACGCCTAAGCTTCACTCACAAACCACACGACTGACACATTGCACTCATCTTGCCAAACAGCTCCCCGACAACAAAAGTCCAAGGGTACACGTCGCCGATCGTGGCCCTGCGCAAGAAACTCTCCCTCTACGCCAACGTCCGCCCTTGTAAGACCACTCTCTCCCCGGCGTTCCAATCGCCCGTCCCGCACCCCATCGACATGGTCATCGTGCGCGAAAACACCGAGGACCTGTACGTGAAGGAAGAGAAGACGTACAGCGACGGAGAAGGCGGGGAGATCGCCGAGGCGATCAAACGGATATCGAGCAAGGCGAGCTGGCGGATCGCGAACATCGCGGGCGAGATCGCGCTGCGCCGGCAGCGGATGCGGGAACAACAACAACAACAGGATTCGTCGGCGCAGAAGCAAGGCATGGTCACCATCACGCACAAATCCAACGTCCTCTCCCAGACGGACGGGCTCTTCCGCTCCACGGCGCGCGAATGTCTCTCTCAGCCGCAGTTCTCCTCGCTGAAAATCGAGGAGCAGATCGTCGACAGCATGGTGTACAAGCTGTTCCTCCAACCGCAGTACTACGACGTCATCGTCGCGCCCAACCTATACGGAGATCTCCTGAGCGACGGTGCCGCCGCGCTGGTCGGCTCGCTCGGCCTCGTGCCCAGCGCCAACGTCGGTGAAGGCATCATCATCGGCGAACCCTGCCACGGATCGGCCCCGGACATCGAGGGCAAGGGCATTGCGAACCCGATAGCGACCATCCGGAGCGTGGGCGTCATGCTGGAGTTCTTGGATCTGCCCGAAGCCGCGCAGCTGGTGTACAACGCCGTGGACGCCTCTTTGGGAGAGGGCAAATTCGTCTCTCCCGATCTCGGCGGCAAGGCGACAACGACCGAGGTCGTGGACGACATTATCAAGCGACTATAACTCCCTTTGACCGTCCCCTTGGGAGAGATTCTGGTAGAAATAAAATGGAAAAGATTTACGGCTCAAAGACCCGACGAGATTGGCGGGCGATCTGAGAAACAATCCCAGACATCCATGTTTGTCTTCCAGCTTTGAGGGGTATTGGCGACACTCGACACCCGTTCGGATAGGGCAGGATAGGATCAAATAGAAGACAAAAAGCGTCTCAAATGTCAAAAATTTCAAAGAGCAGAGAGCTCGCATGACAAGGGAACCCCAATTGTAGAAGGGGCAGGTTCAAACGACAGAGGTGCATTTGAAGGTCGCTCTATAAAGCCTCTTCTATATCGACCTGCTCTGCGGGCAAATCAAGGGTCACTGGACCACGATGTTCCATCGTCCAAGTCTGATGCCTGCCAGCATTAAGCATTCGGTGGATGAAGTGATTCACAGAACTTGTAGAGCCCATACAGGCAGCAAGCAAAGAATGAACTGAGTAGGCCACATAACGAATGGATCAGGTTGCTGGCGTCTTTTCATAAATTTGTGTGACATTAATACCTATACATTCCCCCGAGTCATGGTTCCCAGTCAACCTGTTTGCGGGGCATCAAATATTGAATTGCACATCTTCAAAGTCGCCCACCCCAGCCCATTCAATGTATGTTGCAACGCCTTTGAGTGACTTGTCGTCGACACCTTTCAGGGACTAGTCCTTTCGAGAACCAGTGCTCTACTCGTATGCGTCAACGTACAAAAAGCCAATAATTCGATCCCTAATCTACTGCTTCTTTGTCGCGAGCTGTCCTTGCTCTTTGTCGAACGCGGCGTAGGTGACTTGCAAACTGGCCACGCCGGAAACGGCCACGTACAAGATCAATAACAGGAGGAATCCGACGAGGTAGCCCATAAAGATGCCTGCGCCAACATGTCAGCCGATGGTGGGGACAAAGCAAGCAACGAAATGTGAGTAGCAGCAAGGAAAGGGACAACTTACCAGGAGTAAAAAATTGATACTTGTCAAATAGCGGCCCATCGATCATGGTCTGGTTGTTCCGAGCCGTGTTCGCCCCAGCATGCACACCAAGATCTCGCCTCAGATCGAGATGCATACTCTCTTGTATTTGCGAGTCCATGTCATATTCCGCGGCTTCTTTTCCATCCGCTTCTTGGGCAGTCAACATCCCGTCCTGTGAGCGGCTGGTCGTGTACAGAACAGTGTAATTCTGAGTTGGCAGCAGGTCTAACACAGAGGCCAGGAATGCATCGTTCGAAGAGAGGTCACTAGCTCTGTTCGAGCCAGCAGATGGCGCTGGGAGGACAAGCTCGAGCAGCCGCGGTGATGGGGATAACTCCTTCGTCGGAATACCTCCTCCTTCTCTTGAAGCATCAATAGAAACCACAGAGACGCCGCATTTGGTTTTCAAGACATCGACCCATGTAGAGCTTGCAAGACGACCGAAAACGTCCGGAACAGTCAAGCTACTCCGGACAACCGATCCTTTGGACTGGGAGGGCGATAACGCTTTTGCGAGTAAGGGTGTAGATCTCCTGGATTGGGAGTAGTCTTTGGCGGACACTCCCGGTTGCGAGACGAGAATGTAGTAGTCAGAAGGGCACGAGGAGAGAGTCAATGCGATGTTCGAGGTCAGTAGGGGTGCGGACTGAATGTGTGAGGTCGTCGCTAGAAGTCTATATGTACGGCGAACAATGATCAGTTTGATATGTGCCTAAACTTCAAGGATTGGTGTCAACATACTCGGAGGTTGAGAACATGAAGAAGGGCGTAGTATCGAGATAGCCATGGGCGCATTCAGCGGCCAGCGCCAAAGCGCACAGCCGAAAGAGACGCATGGCTCTGGAATTGGCTGGGGGATTTGTCGTTGTTGAACAGTCAACGCAGGCAGGTCTGGGAAGCTTTGATATGATGCATCTGGGGTTCTCCCGCTTCATCGTATACCCCGATCGCAGCTATGGATATAGCCAATAGAAGAGAGTCATATCTTGGCTGTTTTGTGATGTTTGCTCCGTACGATAAGGCTGAGACGGCGCGATAAATTTTCCTATCAAAAGCTCAACTTCAAACTTTCGCTCTTATTTCAATCTGCATTACAACTTCAAAACTCCTCAAAGCTGTCTGGTGAGGTTAGAGCAGGCAAATTTAATGTTTCCACTGACCCCTTTCTGCCTCGATACTAATCAACATCGTTACTGGGATTCTGTTTGTTTCTAGGTATGTAACGAACTCTGACTGTACCTTCCCTACTCGAAAAACATCAAACAAAAGCAATCGTATGATGATACAACCTCTAGCTGATTCAACTATTTTGGTCGAGACCAATTATGGGTCAATGCGAATACCTTTTTCTTTCCCCTTCTGAGATTCATTTCGTTTCCATCCATTGCGAGCCCATGTGTTGGTGATCCAAGATTACTGACTGTTAAAAGTAGGGGTAGTTACAAGTACAGGTGTCTGAAGATCCAGAAGCCGTCTCGAGTCTGCGAGGACAACCTATATGCTTGTCCTTGCGTGTCTTTCCATAGCGATAATACCACCTTTGACATCTCCGATCCATCCCCACTTCTTTTTCCGCACGGCTTCTTGTTCGGCTGCCATCTCAGCTTCGATCTTATCTATCAGTTTCTGTGCTGCGATTTGGCTGTCGTTCCCGCGCTGGCAGACAAAGTACACCGATGAATACTGCTCTTCACCACTGCCGTCTTGTGTCTCTCTTGCTGGGCTTGGGGGTATTTGGTCGGAATGGCCACTCGGTTTCGTGGGGAAGCTGTCATGCCTCGTAATCACAGGGATATGCGATTCCTGATCGATCATGCCTCCATCTGGTCCCATAGGAGGGGGACTAGCCCCCGGACTCACCCCAAGGACACCGAAGGCTTCGCTTCCGTGCCTCAGAATATGCGAGATTGGGATATTTAAGCTGCCCCGAACCTTTGGACCAAGCTCGTACTCATGCTCCTCGCGAACATCCACGACAATAGGCTTCCTTTTCTGCTTGCCACTTCTGTCTGGCTGTGTTTGCGCCTCGACCTGGTTTCGGAGAAAATCTCTAGCGTGGATCCTATTGTTCTCGTCGAGAAGTTTAACGTCTTCAAACACACCACAAAACGCCTGGTAGTCGAGTCTGCCATGTGAGATCGCCTCTGCAGTGACTTTCGTCACATTTTTGGTTGCCAGAGTCTGGTCATCGCCGCATGCGACACAATCCTTGCGGCGGCCTCGCAAGCCGACCGTGCGGAACATACTTCGTGGGTCGGAGGCGTAGGTGTTGTACAGGAGCATTGTATGTTGTTTCTTCTGTGTCGGCGACTCGACGGAAGCTCTCGTGTCGTTCGCAAATTGATCTGCCCTGGTTTGACGTGAGATATGCCCGCCGCTCGTGATTATCTTGATCGCCTCTCCAGCCATCAAAGTCCCTATAACCCCAACCACAGGTCCAAGGATGCCTATTTCGCTACACCCTCGTACTGTTTCCGGGGCCGGTGGGCGAGGAAAAACACAGCGATAACACGGCCCCTTTTCGTCCCCCTCAGAAGAAGTGGGTGGGTTATTGAGGACAATCAGCATGCCCTCGCCTCTCTGCGCGGCACCACTGACCAGCACTTTTCCCGAGACCACGCAGGCGTCAGAGATCAAATAGCGCGTCGCAGGATTATCTGTACAGTCGAGCACGAGATCATATTGCGACACGATGTTCAGGATATTGCTCGCGCTGGCCGATTCTTCATGGCAGACGTACACGATCTCCGGGTTCAGCTCTCGACATCTCGTGGCCGCCGACTGGACTTTACTTTGGCCCAGGCGTGCAGCAGATTCCGTGTGGACAATTTGACGGTGGAGATTGCTGGTTTCCACAGCGTCGCCGTCCATAAGGCCCAATGTACCGATTCCCGCCCCTGCCAGGTACAATGACGCGGGTGAACCGAGGCCGCCTAGTCCAATTATAAGGACTTTGGAGGCTAGCAGAGACTCTTGACCTCGGAGTCGAACCTGAGGGACTAGCATTTGGCGGTTGTATCTTCCGGAAGCAAGAGGTGGCGCAGGGAGAAGAGCAGATAAAGACGAATGAGGTTCCACCTCCGACGTTGTAGAGCGGATTTGGTCTTCGGAACGTCCATCTTCTGATCGTGATTCTGAGACGAGGACTCCGGGATTCGACATGTCTAAGTCGTTTGTTTCCGATGACGCGGCAGCGTGGGCGATAAGTGGAGGTGGAGGAGGATCGGCCTTGGGCGGAGGTATAGACCTATCTATCCCTCAGTCAACGATCCGCGGAAACAAAAAGAATAGAAGCAGACAAGATGAAACAACAGTATTCATTGATCAAAGCTCTGGTCTGGTTCCTGGCCGCGTTAAAGCATCGGATCACCCGACACCTGGGCGACTGACTGACTTCCTTTAGGGGAATCTCCGTCTATCCCCAAGGTGGCTATATTCATACATAGGCCAATAGATCATACCACTCAACCCATCCATTTCTGTCGCTGGGTATCATATCATACTTGTAGGGCAACACCAAGACTTCTCCGGTCTTTCCGGACAAAGTTCTGCCACTTTCGGCAAAACAAACTCCCCGGTTTCGCTGAGGAAAAACACATGCAGAAATAGTTGCGTCGGACTTACTCGTCTTCTGGTTCGATCAAATCCGGGAGATGCTCGGCCTTCTCTTTGCCTTCCAGGATATTGTACACAGCGGTGAGTAGAGGAAAGTCCTTCTCTATTCCCTTGTACTTGAGGAATTTGTTTACTTCATGGGCTGTCAGAGCTCCCTGCAGCTTCTGGCCGTTGAGTTCTCTTTCTTGGATCTCCTCGATCGATTTGCCCTCTTGTATACTCATTTTGGCACACCGGAAGTTGCGGCCACCCGAACAGGAGGTGATCAAATCTGCAACGCCCGCCGACTCAACCGTAAAAGTGTCAGATTGAATGGTGTGAGGGAAGAATCTGTTTCCGAATTCTCTCATTTCCAGGAGGCCAATTCGCATTACTGCAGCCTTGGCATTGTCGCCCCAGCCCAAACCGTCAACCCAGCCAGCAGCAACCGCAACAACGTTCTTCAAAGCACCACCCAGTGATACCCCAGCCACATCAGAGACTACTCGCACGTGGAAGTATCGACGGTGAAACAGTTTCTTCAACGTATCGTGGTCGATGGAGTGATATTCGGCGGGAAGCGGTTTGAGCTGGACCTTCGATGGCTTGCCAGAGACATCCTTGTGTACCAGTTTTGTCAAGTCAACATGGCTCGAAGCTGGGCTAGGGCCTTGAGATGTGGCGGGCGTAGGTGATTGTGAGTCCATCAACGGTGGGTCGTATGCCACTGTAGTTTCACTAAACTTCTCTTGAGCCACTTCACTGGCGATATTTGCTCCAGACAAGGCACCACAGTATATTCCCAATTCCTCCCCAATAGTCTCGGAAAACAAGCTGATGGAGGACTCGTGAACATTGACACCTTTGATGCACGAGATGCCTCGAGCGAACGGGAGGATATGGCCACGGAGTTGCTTGCATAGATTGAGAATAAATTGGTGGGGAAGATTGAAAATCAGAATGGTAGAGTTCTTGACCGAGTCGACCAGGCTAGGATTGGCAACGACATTGGGAGGCAAAGGAATTCCAGGAAGGTATTTGACATTCTCGTGGAAGGCGTTGATGAGAGTCGAGAGTTTCTGTTTTCCTTTACTGAACTCAGAGGCCTCGTCATAGTGTTTTGATTTCTTGTCCAATTCAACCTCCTCTTCATAAACCCACATCTGCACCTCCCGTTCGAATAGCTCCGGGTGTTCCAGTGTGTTTTCACCGACAAGTTTGGCGATAGTTGATCCCCTATCTGCGTCAGTAGAGTTCCCACAAGTAAGAGGACGGTCATTACCAGTTTCCGGAACCGATCACAGTGACCTTGTGCTTCTTTGCATAAGGAGTTAGACTGGACATCTTCACCCGAAGCCCGTCCATTGTGACGGAGTTGGTGCTTCTAGGAACAACCGAGAGTAGATGCGAGGAAGCAACCAGTCTAGGAAAACGAAGAAATAAAGGCGATCGAAAAGGCAACAGCATCCAGTGCTGAATGATCGTGAGCAACGGGTCTTCAAAAACAGTTCCCGCTGCGAATTTTGGTGAGTGGTGGGCTGGACGCAAAAGGATTTTGGACAAAAATGTTGGTCAACTCAACATCTCGCGTGACGCAGGAACATGTCATAATGGGAAAGGCTCATTGAAGTTTATGAGTCCAGCTGATCTTTTCCTGCCTGCTAGTGGGGAAAGAGGAGAGAGCTCCACCAGGCCAACGATTTCTTTTCCAGGGGGGTGGGTGCCTAGCTCGATGCCTAGAAATGAGGGAGTTCGGCTCTAAGGGTCCAGAATGGGCACTTACGGCAGCACCGAAGGCCCCCCGCACCACCGCACACCCACGCTTTCTTATCGATAAGGGGAAGACACTGGCGACGCCTGCGCTAATGGCACAACGAGAACTATTCGGACCCAATACAAGTTTCACACTATTGTCATCATGCAGTAAACCCTGACAATATACGCCTGCCCTTTGCCCGTGGGAGCTGTAGGAGACATTAGGACGAAGTCTGATTCGACTGTTCGCGAGAGCTGATTGCTAACTGCGCAGCTGCGATAGGAGACAGGAACTGCGTGCCCGCCGAGTGGGAGATGAAACTCACCGCGCAAACACAGGGGGACACCTCTCGCCTATTGATTATCTGCGACTGGCGAGGACTCTGAGAGCGGTTAGGCACCCGACTGAGACGTGGAAAAATGGCAGCGCAAGTGGAATACGAACTAACCCTGGATCGTTGCACAGCCTTCCAGGAGTCTCTGCTTCGATCCAAACCCGGAGTTCGTCCAGGATGCTTCGCGTCTGGGAATTGAGTCTGTCATTCTCAGTTGCCGTGATCGTCGACATTGATCCCCAAAGGAAAGAAGAGCAATCGTCGGCTAATGGCTCGACCAGTCGCTAGACATCCCCCCTATCTACCGCTCCTCGAAGGCGAGGTGGTTAGGCTGATAGATCTTCAACCAGGAGTGGGGGACGATCCTGTCTCGCTTCGACTTCTGATCGCCGAGTTAGGTCATCATCCTGACTACGAGGCCGTCTCCTATGTCTGGGGCGACCCTACTCAAACAATTTCAGTCCTTTGCAATGGGAGACCTCTCGCTATCACTGTCAGCCTCAATGCAGTCTTCAAGAGAGTTCGATTCGCAGACAGATCTCGAATCTTGTGGGCCGACGCTGTAAGCATCAACCAATGGCATGATGAAGAACGAAGCCATCAAGTTGCTTTCATGGGTAAAGTGTATAGCTGTGCGAAAAGAGTGCTTGTGCATGTCGGGGACGATCTGTACGGCGATGCAAGAAACATTTCTTCTCTTGTGAAGGAGTATGCTGCGATGATCTCGAAGTACAAGTCCGTGCATGACATGCCCATTCTGTTGGCAGAGGATCCTGCGCTTGATGATCCGAGATGGAAAACTCTATCAAGATTTCACCACTTGCCATGGTGGAGTAGAGCATGGGTTATTCAAGAAGTCGGGTTGGCGCGGGAATCGGTCTGTCTATACGGGAATGAAGAGTTTGATTACCGCGATTTAATGAGACTCGCCGTATGGACGACAAGATGTGCACCACATCTTGAATTCAGATATGATGTTTCTTTCGCGACCGTCCATACAGACTGGCTCGATTGGTCGCCCAAATGGCGAGAAACCTCTCCGGATCCTAGCCAGACTTTCCTAGGTTTGATGAACCATTCGCGGTGGCTGTCATGCCAGTGGAAGAAGGACCACATTTACGCCCTTCTAGGCCATCCACTGGCTCATGTTGAATCTGACGAGAAGCTGATTGTCCAACCAGCCTACAACAAAACCGATGAGGACGTCTATCTTGAGCTCGGGAAGATGCTGATAAGAAACCATGGCCTTCGTGTCCTGTCTCCAGTGGACCATAGCGAGGAAACCTGGAGCAGCCTTGTGGTTCCTTCTTGGGTTCCCTTCTATCACAACGTCGAGCTTACAGCATGCAATTTCGGAGTCTTCCCAGATTTCTGGTACAATGCTTCTGGGCGATCTGAAAGTCAGCTCGTGATAAACGCGGACGACTTGCATGTGGAAGGCATGCTCGTTGACGTTGTGAGACATTCATATCGATTCACCGAACAGGATTTAGAGGATCTTGGAAGACTGTCAATGGAGAGGCGTGCTGTTGGACATCAGGGCGGGCTGCTGGATCATATCATGGCTGAAGCCCTTGGTAAGGTGAATGGCCACGCTTACGATGCGGACGACAAAGTTACGGCCCTCAGCTTGACACTTTGTGCCGGGTTGTCGAGATACCGAAGCGCCGACGATGATCTTGATCAGCACTGCAAAGACTTTGCCGCCTTCTACAGGCTTTGGAAGGGGCTGCAAGACCAGGACGACTTCCCTCGGTGGATGCCACGTGATCACGCCGAAGGAGACTATGAGAAATATGCGACCGACATAAAGCTGGTGTGCGAAGGTAGAAGCTTCATGTTCACCGAAAAGGGCCGTTTCGGTCTGGGACCACTGATCACGTCTCCCGGAGACATCTGCTGCGTCCTTTTTGGCGGGACGGTGCCTTTCGTCCTACGGCGGACACAGCGCGAGGGGTATTTCAAACTTGTAGGCGAGGCCTATTTGCATGGTGTTATGCGCGGAGAGTCACTCAACCCAAGTACAGCCAAGTGCCGTGAAGAGCAGACGTTCATCATCTGCTAGACTCCAAGGTGTCAAGTTTTGACCTACTTTGTCGATCGTTACAGCATTACCGGAATTTACCATTTAATGTGTCGGCGAGGTATAGATGATCTCCCTTGACAGACTTAGCTCTCCATCTATGATACTCTTTTGTTGATTTTGACTAGTAACAGACTGAGCAGGTACTTGGCTCTGGTGACGAGGCTGAGGCTGAGGGGTTGAAAAAGGGGCTGCCAAGGCTCGACTCATTGCTTGCTGGGGAACAACTAATAATTACAACTGATGATGGCACATTTTGTCTAGTCTAGAGTGAAGACTAGATGCCAACCAGGCCAAGATAAAATATCAGCAGAATGTCGGAAACATCCCCAAATTCCCTCGCTGTTCTGGTCACGCATTTCCACAGCGCAACTCCGAAAGTAAGATACGGTCATAAAACGGCAAGTCAATTCTTTTCACTCGCAGCGCATTGAGGTGCTCTGCGGGTGGCCGCGTGAACCTCTTCGTTAACCATCCAACAGTCCTCAAGAGCATGCAAAGCCATGGTCACAGCATCGCTTTCGGCATATACTTCATCGCCTGTCTTACACCAAGATCACCCAGGATCTCCTCCGTCCCTCCCAGAATGGCATCGAACTTGTACGTCCGATGAAACATTTCGATATTCCTTCCCATGCCGGTGGATGTGATGCCACGCCCTCCGAAGACATTGACGGCCTCATCGGCGATCTCGTGAGCAGCACGGGTGGCAAACATCTTGAAGAGCCCGATGGGGCCGGCCAAATGTCGATTTTGTTCTTCCTGGGACATATTACACATTTGGTAGGTGATATTCTCGAGGTAGTTTTGGATGGCCTCTGCGTAAGCGATCATTTTGGCCAGTCTGAGAGGCAAAACGCATATTAGCAGGAGTGGTAAGCAAGAAGAGGGAGAGGACGCATACTTTTGTCTGATGACCGGCTCCTCGATCAACTTCTTCCCAAACACCCTCCGCTGGTTTGCCCACTTTATACAATCCTCTACGATTATCCGGCTTGTTCGAATGCTGAATGTCGTGATCATCCACCGTTCATGGTTGAAGTTTGTCATCATCACCCTGAATCCCTGGTCTTCGACGCCGAGGAGGTTCTCCACGCGCACCTTGACATTGTCCAACTTGATAAATGCTGTCCCGGCGGATGAGGAATAGCTTGTCTTGATCTGGGTGGTCTCAAGACCCTCCTGTCTTTCGATGAGCAGCACAGAGAACCCCTTTTTGGTCTTGACGCCGGTGACGAAGTAGTCACAGAAGACGCCGTTGGTGATCCATTTCTTGGTACCTGATACAAGGTGTCAGAGGAAACATGCAAACAACAGATGCTGGCTTACCGTTGACGATGTAGTGTGTACCGTCAGGGCTCTTGACAGCAGTGGTCTTTATACCAGCCACGTCCGACCCAGCAAACGCCTCGGAAATGGCCAGACAGATCTTCTTCTTGCCCGACAAGCACTCTTCCGCAACTCGCTTTCGAATATTGGGTTTTGCATGATACAATACAGCCGGCAAGCTGATGACCATGCCACCCAAGTTACCATCGTTGAAAGCCCGACCCCCGGTTCGACAGAGCTCGTGATTGATCACCATCTCGTGGAAATAGTCGAATTCCTCTGGCGTCACTGCTCCATTCATCAAAGTCAAGCCCTTGAGATGAGGCCCGGGCCCCATGCGCATAGCGTTGATTCCAAGGCGTCTGAGCAACATCACTATTAGACCTTGGTAGAAACTAGGGGCATATGCGACACATACCCCATCTCCACGATGGTAGCGTCCGATATCCTGGCTCCGCTGCTCTCCTTTTCTTGCGCCTCAGGGGCCAGGACTGTCTCGACCCATACTCGCATAGCCCGCTGCAACCGCCGATGGCTCTCCTTGAAATAGGGACTCTTGAATTGTGGTGACAGCCAGGTCGGTTCTCCATAAGGCACCAGGCTGAGATCCCCGGGCTGGGGATATATGACCTGTGGTGTCTCGCCCTTCACCGTGCCTATGCATAGTGACTTCTCATATTTCTGGAGGACTTCTAGCCTGTGCAGATTGAAGAAGTCGACGGTGGCATCAAGCCCTCCAACTTGCTGGAGCACAGTCGAGCCACCAGGATGTGCGTCGGCAAAGTCGGTCAGGTCATAGACCTTGGAGTCGATGATACACCACAAGCTGTCGGCGGTGTTGTTCTGCGCCACCTCCTCCCTGGAGATTTCGAGGCTCATGGTGGAAGATTGAGCCCGTGTGGCAACCTCTCGACCAAGGCTCGGGTGTTTTCAAAAGCTGAAATGCATGGGCTCTAACAAAATTCAGGTCCAGCCGGTGGCTTACATAGGGGATCCGCCTCGGCAGATGCTAGGATCTGGTTTTATATATTAGTGATACACTTGTCGCAGAAGAGGTTTAGTTCTCAGACACCAATCTCACCTCTCCCTATGTCTCATTTAATAATCAGGTACCCGCGGACAACCCTCGACACATTGCCCCAATCTGGACACCATGCTTGACGGGGCTTTTGATGGTCTTACGCACGAACGCTTACTGCCGTAGTATCACATGTTTTTGACGGCAGCGCCACAGATGTTTGTTAAGTACGACGTACCTCGGACGAGGTCAAAATGCACCAGATTGACCCGCTTGCTGATTACAATATATGGGCTATGGTTGTGAGTTTGGGAATGAACGCCAGTGGAGGGCCGAGAGAACTGCGTGGTCTATTCCCACACACTCTCCAGAAACTCATCGGAGTCTTCTACCTCTAGGTTGAAATCATGGCTTTCAACACACCCCTGACGCGTACGTTGGGTATCAGGGTTCCCGTGGTCCAAGGTGGTCTTCAATGGGTAGCATACGCAGAGCTCGCCGCCGCTGTCAGTAATGCCGGCGGTCTTGGGATCATCAACGCCTTGACGCAGCCTGACCCAGAGCACCTTCGACAGGAGATCAGAAAGACGCGGTCGTTAACGCCGAACCCTTTTGGCGTCAACATCACTTTATTGCCCGCGCTCAATCCTCCCGACTATCCGGCATTCACCCAGGCAATCATCGATGAGGGGGTCAAGATTGTCGAGACGGCCGGCAACAGCCCAGGCCCCGTCATCAAGAAGTTGAAGGAGGCTGGTATCATCGTGATCCACAAAGCCACGACAATCAGACACGCCAAAGCGGCCATCCGACTTGGTGTGGACATCTTGTCCATTGACGGTTTCGAATGCGCCGGCCACGTCGGAGAATCTGACATCGCGTCCCTGATCTTGAACAGTCGCGCTCGCCAGGAACTTGGAGACACGCCGTTCATCGCGTCTGGCGGGTTTGCGGACGGTTACGGCCTGATGGCAGCTCTCAGTCTGGGGGCCGCGGGCATCAACATGGGTACTCGATTCATGTGCACGGTTGAGGCACCTATCCACCTGAACGTCAAGCAGGCCATTGTGCAGAGCGACGAACACCAGACGACGCTCATTCTGAGGCGGTGGAAGAACACCAGCCGGATGTACAGCAACCAAATGACGGCCAAGACGATTGAAATCGAGTCCACGAGCAAGACTGGGGAGTTCGCTGAAGTCGCTCCAGTGGTGAGCGGTGCCCGAGGCCGAGAGGTGCTTACTGGTGGTGACATTCAACACGGGGTAGGTCTTCACTGCTCGTCACAGTCTTGAGAGAGGAAATTGTGGCTAATTTGTTGTTGTAGGTGTGGTACGCTGGGCAAGTGATGGGCTTGATCCACGACATTCCCACGTGTGCCGAACTCATTGCTCGTATCGAACGAGAAGCTGAGGAGGTCTTGTCCAATCTTTCGAGGTCGATTCCCAGTCAACCACAACATCCTAGGAGTAAGTTGTAGTCTGGTAGAGGCGTCGCAAGTGGTAGACACTGTTCTATAGAAAGGGCATGGAGCGAGCAATCGTCAATTACCAGTTAGACACATCGTTCGCAGCATCATACACTAGCATACTGAAGAGATTCTTGTCTTGGTAGATCTACAAACTCTCAATGCCTCCACCCCAGCTCTCGTGCTTCATGGTAGAGTCTCACACGAAGCCCAACCTAGTAGCAAAGTAGTCCTACGTACGAAGCACGACAAAATGTCTGATATTTGCCGCTTACTATTCTGATAATAAAATCAGCATATATACCGATATATACCGAGTAGAGGCGGCATCCATATGCATCTTCTCAGAACTATATTATGTGTTTGGCCCCACGGATGGTCACGGTGTTTGTTTGAAGGCCGAGGCTCGTGATTACTTATTCCTTGTCCCAACCTCGACCTCGACCTCGACACCACCAAATCCTTTGGATTGATCACATTTCAACGACATGTTTCTTCTTTCAAATATGCCTTTGTACTTGATCACTTGAAATAGTTTCCTTCTCATCCGATTCACCCCCACACTTCGGGTTTTGCCATTGACGTTGACATCAAGTCAGTCTGAGACTCGGGAAAAAGAAAACAAAAGATTATCACCTCTATCATTCCAGCACAGCAGTAATACTTCTCCAGCAACCCATCACTTCACACCATGTCTCTGAACGCGCAAAAGAAACCCGTCATCGCCGTGGTGGGCGCTGGCCCAGGCATTGGCGAAGCAGTGGCTCGCCGCTTCGTCGCTGAAGGCTTCTGCGTGGCGCTCCTCGCACGCACCGAGGACAAGCTACAGAAAATGGCGCAGGGCATCGACGCGGACCACGGCAAGGGATCGGCGCGTTACTACATCACAGACCTGCGACAGGAGTCGTCGGTGCTGTCGAGCTTCCAGCGGATCCGCGACGAGCTGGGCCCCGTGGCGGTGCTGGTCTACAACGCCGGGGCGCGACGGGTCAACGGGCGCAGCATCCTCGACACGTCGTCGGAGGAATTCGAAAACTTCACCAAGATCAACCTGTTTGGCGCCTTCTGGGCGACCAAGTGCGTGCTCCCGGACATGCTCGCCGCGGGCAGAGGCACGATCCTGTTCACGGGGGCCACGGGGGCCCTGCGCGGCAACCCGGGCCTCGCCAGCTTCTCGCCGGGCAAGTTCGGGCTACGGTCGCTGTGCCAGATCATCACGCGCGAGTACCAGGCGCAGGGGATCCACGCCGCGCACATTATCGTCGACAGCCCTGTCGACGGCAAACTGATCGGCGAGTGGTCGCGGCGCCAGTGGCAGCGCACGGGCCAGGGCGAGAAGCTCGACGACGTCGACGGCCACCTGGTCAAGCCGGCCGATCTGGCCCAGACGTACTGGTTCCTGCACACGCAGCCGCGGAGTGCCTGGACCCACGAGCTGGACGCCCGGCCGCAAAAGGAGAATATGTTTTCGAAGCTGTGAGGGTAGAGTTACGCGGGAATAATGGAAAAATTTGTGTCAAAATATGCCTTTTTCTCTCTCTTTAGCATACAGCGTTTTGGGATAGGAATGGACAATGGAACCCAAAGGAATTTGTTGTTGCTCTCAGTATTGTTTCAGGACCAGAGTCAAATCGAAGCTTGGTCCATGATACCTTGGCCAGGTCATGTCATGCTTCTACAGTTGGTGATAGGCAGGCAGGAAGAACAAAACTATAGACTGTCCATACGAGGGACATACATAACTACATCCAATCAATGTATGACGGCCTTGATGCCTGTTTCCCTAGTTACAATACTTCTGCTCCACATTATGGTGTTCTGGTAATGAAGAGCCGAGCTTCGAGAACACACCACAATAGAGGAGAGGAGGAGACTCCAGAGAGGAAGTTGTATGTACAGTATGTGTCGACATTTGTTGATTAGTCGTGCTAGTCGTGGCGACTCTCCGCGGAGCCTCGGCTTTCCCCATATTTTCTTTTCTATCAATTGCTGCAGGATCCAACCTCCCTTTACCTACTCTCTGACAGAATCTGACAACCTTCGCTGCTCCTTAATTGAAACCCTTCTGGCTCTGCCGAGTGGCATGTATTGATCAGAAATCATCGATCATTATCACGACATTGTCGCGACAAAGGACGAGCCTTGAGACTGCGGTAGCGACCCAATCACCCGCGCGGCGTTTCTAGTGTCATTCCTATCCATTCATTGGACACCACTGTCCCTACGTATCACATTAGAAGATTTCTTGCGGGGAGGAACAACGTGGGAAGATGAGTCCCGAAGGAGGAAAGCTGACCATCTACGTGGATTGTGGTATGTCTGACACCGACCAACTCGCCATCTTGTCCAGAGCTCACCCGTTGTCGCCAGTATCTCCTTACTCGTGGTTCGGCTTCACCAATGCGATCCGCTACCGGCCTCTCCTGAATGCATACGGGGTATCTGTCGACATCATCCCTTTCTTCCTGGGTGCCGCTCGTGATGGCGCGGGCAACCCTTTCAGCCCAACCCCGAAACCCAAGGAGGCCTTTGCAAAGCAAGACTCGGAATTGACTGGGGAGCTGCTCGGCCTCAAGGTCGTCCGCCCCAAGGAATTCCCCATCCTCTCTCTCTTTGTATGTTTCTACACCACCTCCAGAAAGGTGATTGCAAACACCCTTAACCGCGTGAGTGAGTAGGCAGTCCGTGTGGCGACATGGGTCAAAGACCACTACCCACCGGAGAAGTTCGAAGCCACATTTCCAGCCTTCAGCACCGCGTACTGGAGCAACGGCATCAACATCTCAAAGCCCGAAGGGATCGTCAAAGCGTTGGAAGGTATCTTCCCCGAAGAGGAGATCCGGGAGATCATGAAGAAGGCCGTGTCTCCGGAGAACAAGCAACGGGTCATCGACCTGACCATGGGGGCCGGGGCGTTTGGGGCGCCCTGGATCGTCGCCGTCAACTCGCAGGGCCAGCGGAGGGACTGGTTTGGAAACGATCGGTGGGACCAGGTGTTTTACCATCTCGCCGTGCCGTTCAAGCCCGTGAGCATCATTCCGCCCGAGGAAGCTAAGGCGCGGTTGTGAATACATACGAGATCGCCTTGCCCAAGAAGGGATCTATACACAATCCACTGGTGCCACTGGGTGTTGTCCATGTAACAAAGACGTTCGATCCCCGGCTTTGGACCTCGCGGTCTTTGTGTTCAGTTTTTACATTCGTAAATTATAAGTGATGACTCGTTCACCATTTGCAGTGAGATACGTATACAACCATACACATGCTGAGTATATCTAGATGAGCCTTGGCGAAGCTTCTCACACCTAATCAACACCATCAACCTAACCTCGTTCCAATCTCTCGGGCCGTCTTCAATGGCCACCTACTGAGATCAGAATCAATGTCCAGGTTCAGGCCGACCAAGCTGACCTGAGATACTCGGAAACCAGGGATGTATGTATCGTGGTGTACACCACCATCAATCTACGAGGTACAGAGCACCCAATCGCCATGTCCCCAGGCCACCCTTTACTCCCTCTTCAGATATCTATCACAAACCAGAGAGCATCACCCTCGAGCCACGCCGCCAGTCCCCAGCAGGTAAGTGGATGGATCTACCCTACCCTTCCCTACCCTACTCTACTTTACCTACCTCTGATCTCGAGTGCACTCTCCTCTCGCATCCCACCTCCACGTACACCCTCTGGTCCTGATTGGATGCTGACTCAGGATTCCCACCTCGTTATGATATCCCTACCCACCTAGCTGATTTCCGAATCCGGCTCCACCACCACCACCACCGTCGCCGCCATGCACGCATGCACCCACGCACCCACCCGTTTATGTTATTATTTTCCATTCTTGAGATCAAAAAACATTCATTAATCAATTGTAATTTCGCATATTTCTCCCACAATTCAGAGAGATGTACCCCTCTCTCACCAGCGTCTCTGGTAGTTCAGTGGTAGAATACCGGCTTGTCACGCCGGTGGCCGAGGTTGTAAGTATTGTCGAGATACCTAACAGAAAAAATTAATGGGAGGACGAGTCAACTAATTTACGCAATATAGCAATTCCTCGCCAGAGAGTCATGTTTTCCCTTCTTTTTTGTTGGGTCTCTGCAATGCTCATGGTCATAGGGTTCGAATTCGAAGGTTCACACATGGCCATGGCCTTGCAATGACTTTTAGTCCCTTCTCTGTTTTTGGGGCTGGGGTCTTAATCAAGGGTTCCTGGTTCCTTGGTGAGCATCCGACTTGTGCGCGTAGGGCCTGATCTCATAAGCGTGCCATGTCTCGTTCCCCTTCCCTATTCGTGTCGACTGGAGCCGGGCGAGCCTACCACCCGCTCACTTCGTCCTCGCCCTCCAGAGTCTGCTGCTGTAGTCGTCTTGCAACTCGCTCCACAGCCTTCCATACTCCAATGAGGTTGCCCCCGGCCACCTTCGCGGCATCTTCATCGCTGACACCCAACCGCAGTAGCTCTGCAATCAGGTCAGGATACTTATCAACCCCTTCCAACCCTCTCGGAGTCAGCTCGCCCATCCCGTCAAAATCACTGCCCAACCCGACATAATCATATCCAATCTTCTCGCCCACATACATGACATGTCTCGCCACTTGATGCAAAGTATTGTTCTTCTCGTAAAACTCGGGCAACACGCTCTCGTTTGCCGGTGGCAAGCATGAGATGAACCCGGGACTGAAATTGATCATCACCAGAGATTGGGTCTCCTTGACCAGGTCCAAAATGTCGTCGTGAACATTCCGAGGGTGTGGACACAGCGCGAAAGCTGAGGAGTGAGAGTATATGACGGGCGCTGCGGAACTTTGATTGCTCAACACAGCTTTCTGCGTCCAGTATGAAGTGTGCGAGATGTCGACAAGCATCCCAAGTCGGTTCATCTCGCGGACCACGTCGCGACCGGCCGAGGTCAATCCTCCACGATGGTAAGGTGCCACTGTCGTGCCATTTCGCGATGAAATCAACGCAGCATCGGCAAATGCATTGTGACAATTCCAGGTGAGCGTCGCCGCTCGCACGCCCAGCGCGTAGTACAACCGTAACGTGGACAACGGGGCAGACTGCGGAATCTGGTGCAGGCCCTCGATACTAATTGGAGATATCAACCGTCTCGTGCTGTGGAAATTCGACAATGCCACATCCAGTGGCGAAGTCGCCGACGTGAAATTGCCGGTATATTCTCCCTGCAACCGACGGATCAAATCGATCTGGGACAATGTGTGCGCTACGGCACTGGAATACTGCTCGTCTGAGAAATCCTCGCTGGCATTCTCCGGACACACGACGAAGGCGCTCCAAAATGCCCCGCCCACTCGTCCTTTCCGCAGCCGTGGCAGGTCGACGTTCAACTCCATGTCTCCATTCTCAAACTTGTCCCGGAACTCCTTGGTGTGCAGTTTGTTCTTGTAGGCTCCGCGGATGAAGATCGCGAGATCATTGTGGCCGTCAATCAACGGTGTGTGGGTGAGGATGGCCAGCGCGCGTTCCTCAATCGTTTGGTCGGGTTTTGGTACAGGCACGGGTCTTGGAGTCGGGATGGGCCACCGGTCGCCAGTATCGGGATTCAGGAAGGCTATGACGAGGGCGAAGAAGACCACGACGCAGAAAATCGAGGCAATTTTGTTCAGTGCCGCTTTGGTGGATTCGACCGACAGTAACTGCGCTTCATCATCTTCTTCGCTTTCACCCGAATAATCTCTGTAGGCCTCGTTGGGTTGGTACTCTTCAGTCCATTGTCTTAGAGACGCCTTGTGTTCATCCTCGAGTTGTATGCCCTCATATCCCCTGTACTTGGAAAAGCCGTAGCCTTGGATCTCCGGCGCGGGTTCATTCTGCGGCAGCAGAGGGTCAAGCTCGGACTTGGAGGACATCGGGGCAGACAGCGAGAAGAACTCGCCCTATGCAAAGTGTAGAGGAGAGGAAGTGATCTGCAAAACTTGTCCTTTCATCTACATCTCTGGACACCACAGACTGAGGCCACCCCCGGCATCCCATGATAGAGAGTCATCTGTGATAGCGTTGATCTCATGCACGGAGGACGGAGCAACGTCTTCTCCGCAGTCTAAAGCAAGTGATAACGATAGCGGCAGCGCAACAATATTAATCCGTCTTTCATCCGAAGGTCCCGAAAGAGCTATTTACCATCTATCAATGGCGAGATCGATATATTGTACTTGGTACCTGAGATGACATCGGAGGTGGTAAAGGACTTGACTTCAGTCAATTGCTCCTACTCTTGGTTCTTTACAGACCACACCTATTTCTGCCTCAGCGCAGCCATATCCAACAGCCTGTAGTCATAGACTGGTGTTTCCCAGTCATCCTGCAAAAGACCATACGTCTCCGTGGCATCACTCTTCGGCTTGCGCGGATTGATTGCCCAGTAGGCAAAATCGGCGTCACAATTTCTCAAATACTTCATGAGATTCTTCCAGTAATGGTAGTCTCGTCTTGACGGGGAATTGGGAGCCCCGATCTCACCCACCCAGACAGGAGCGGTATCTGTCTCACGGAGGTACTCCCAGTTCTTGTCCATGTCGTCGGCGAAGGACTTGTACGTGCGGTACCAGTACGGCACCAGGGATCCCCAACCTGACCATCCATACACATGAGATGAGTATACCAACTTGTTCTGTTGCGTCAGGCGAATGGGCCGATCTCGAGCACCCCTGATATCGTTGGCGGACTGCACGCCCTCCACTATCATCAACCATCTGGGATCAAGTCGGTGGAGTCGTTCTGCTGCGTGTTCGGCGGCGGTTGCCCAAGAGTCCCACAGGAATCTGCCTGCAAACCCACGGACCTCATTACGCAGGTCCACGCCAACCACCAGAGGATTGTCGATATGGGGTTCCATCACGGTTATGAGATTTTGAATCCAGTCTTCCTCGGTCTGCCGGATAGGACACAAAGGTCCAAGGTCACTGTTCGACCATCCCATGTCACACGGATACCCATCACAGCACCATCTTGCCTGCGTGATATGGTTGTTGATAATTACAGCCAGACCTGTCTCGGTCAGGGTGCGGACAACAGCAGCATAGACATCCAGAGCGCGCAACCCAACAAGGTCTTGGTTGGCTGTCAAAAGTTCAGCTTCAACAACCGGATTCTTGCGCACGATCTCGTCGGCATACGGCAGCCGGACGCTGTTGAAACCCAGCTCCCGAATGGTACGAGAAATCTTGGTTCGGTTCTGTATGTCCAAGCCACCGGGCACCATGTATATGTCACTGGCTCCGTACCAGTTCACTGAGACGAGCTTGATTCGCTTGCCGTCTCTGTCGACGATATCGCGGCCTCGAGTGCTGAGTGGAGGGCTGAAAAGGCGATCGCGGGGTTCAAAAGGAACGGTGACATTGCCTCTGATCAAATCGGCGTCAGGATAAAGCGACAGATTGGCAGGAATACTTCCTCGTCGCCAAAGGATCCGCATCATCAGCCAGACGCCGACCAAAGTGACAAAAACCAGGACCAGTGGCGCTCTGAAAAGTTTCCACAAACTGCGCCTGCGCGCGCCCCCGCTGGCTAGCAGCGTGTAGCTGTGCGCATGATGCATTGGCCAAGTTGACCAGACCATTTCCAACGCCGTCCAAATTGTATCTCAGATCCTCCAAGATTGGGTTCTCGAGCAATTTGCGCCCTGGCTGATGGCACATTTTCCAGGGCCCGTTTGTGAAAGCCAGGCACAACAAAGCCGCGTGGTTCCGGCCATTTGTCTGCAGTCATTGGCTGCCTGCGCCGGTGCCTCAATATCCGCTGACTGTTGCATTATCAAAAGCAATCTGGGGGATGTGCCTATATTTGAATGCGTTGTGCCTTTGGATGACTTTCCAATTCTTCTTCTGCCGCAACACAGATCGACACTAGACATCCTAAGATGCTGCAAATTCCTGAAATGCCCTGTTTCACGTTCTCTTCGCCCGGAAAATTGCTTGAGCCTGGAGGGACTGGCCACAGATGCACGTGGAGGATGATTGGCATTCAGAAATGCGTTGATTGGTGGAACCAAGACTGCACACATGCGAAAGGTTCAGATGACTGGTTAGGTAAGTGTGACGGTAAGCCCACGAGCCTCGTTGTTTGGTATACATGCCGTCAACACATTTTCATCGTCTTCGCTCACCTCCTAGATGCGGATCACCTGGACTCGCCGTTGCTGGCGCTAGCACGATAAGAATTGCCAAATGGGCAAATGGACGAGATGCTCGCAACCAAATGCGAGCTGGCAATGTCTGCTTTGGTGGCCAGGGGTGGTTGACTGCGAGAGTGGTCATGCCGCCAGCCAGGATATCCTTTGCAGGAAGGGACAACAAGAAGAAGCGTGTGACAAGACGGCGAGAAGGGGCCATCAATGGCGCGAAGTGGTAGAAAGCTGGGAGAAAGTGAAAAAGAGTGCACACCGGCGGATTGGGGCTTGAAATGTGCCATGACTTCTCCTAGCTCTAACACTCTGCCCAGGAGTCTGTCTTCAGCTTAATTCTTAAGAGCTGCATCGGTCACTACCTCGTCGTCACCTGCTTCACCCTCTCTCCTCCCACTGTCCCCTCCCTCCTCCCTACAGATCGTGTGAGACCGACTGCTGCAGACCAACTCCTCCAAAAACTGCGAGCATGGGCTTTGTCAGGTGGTCACTTCGCTGCATTCCTGGCTTGTCAGTCCTTGGCCTCCTGGTCCTGCTCGAGTCCGCCCTGAAGATTGTCGAGACAGAATGGCTCACCTTCTTCTACCCTCCGTTTCTCAAACATATCGCGAGTCCTGTCATTGCCCAGACTCTCTTCATTTCGTACTCGGTCCTTCTGCACATCCTTGCCCTCCTGTTCCCTCTACGACTCTGTGCCTCCGCATACGCCGCGACACGGGCAATCAAAGCCACCCACCTACGGTCGAACATCACTCTCAGCAACACTGTTCACCGCAATGATCTTCGGGAGGAATACCAGGGACTTGAATCCCAGCACGATACAGCGAAGCGACCAGGGGTCGTAACGATGGCGGTAGTCTTGCCCAGCTACAAAGAGGATATCGAGATACTTGAGACCTCGCTGAGGGTTCTCGCCAGCCACACTCTGGCCAAATCTTCATATGACGTTGAGGAGATTCTCGCACGATTTGGGCGGACAAATGACTGACCGGGACACAGATCTTCTTGGCCATGGAGGAGCGAGATTCAAACGGCGTCGACGTGGCTCGAAATTTGATTCAACTATTCGCGGGAAAGTTTCGAGAGATGCAATACACTGTTCACCCGGCGGGTCTGCCTGGCGAAGCCCCGGGAAAGAGCAGCAATGTCAGCTGGGCAGCAAGGCAGATAGAAGCAAAATACCTGGACAACCCTGACTGGTCAAGCGTGCTAGTAACAGTTATGGACAGTCAGTGATTCAGAGAAGAACCAAAAAAAGAATGGAACAGAACCATACTGACACGCCGCTAGGTGATACTCACCTCCTCAGTCAATATTTTGAGACAGTCCTCATCCACCACCTCCGCAACCGCAAAGACCAAGGATTGACCGATATGACCCTGTACATGCCGCCCATTATTTTTGATCGCAATGCGCACCTGGTGCCCCAGATGGTGCGCATCGCCGACCTCATGTGGTGCGGGGCCGGGCTCTCTTGTTTCACCAGCAAACCCACCAGATCGACCGTTGCAATCCCAACCGCAGTCTATACCCTCCCACTTCCTCTTGTTTGCCTGGCAGGTGGGTGGGACACTGGGTCAGAAGCCATTGGTGAAGACATGCACATGATGTTGAAGTGCTATTTTGCCACACACGGCCGCTTGCAAATCAGGCCAATTCCGAGTCCGGCGAGCCAGTGCAATGTCACGACGGGAAGAGCTGGGATCCGCGGCTGGCTGGCAAACCATTCAGCTCGATACGCGCAAGGTCTTCGACATATGTGGGGGTGTCTCGACACCGGGTATGCTGTTCGCCAGTGGTGCAAGATTGGTCCGGACTTTGTCACTCACAACCCATCTTCTCCTTCAAGCGAAGGGAGCTCATCAGATTCTGAGCGACCACACCGGCCTCGTCACGTTGAGATATGCCTGAAACTCAGCCAGCATGCCCTCCATGGCCCCAGTCTTCGAAGATTCACCTGGCGAAATCTGATCCTTTTCAGTCGACTTTTTGAAGCGCACTTCTTACCGATCCATCTGTTCCTTGTTCTGCTTGCTTCGGCCATATACTCTGCGCTCCCATATCCGATCACCTCTTGTCGACTTTTGACGGCTGCAATGGATCTCACCTCAGTTCTGCGCGCTATCAGTTTCGCATTGATGACGATCTACTTCGTTATCTTCTATGAAGGATATCACCAAGCTTGCATTGAGGCCAGGGAAAAGGAGATGAAGAAAGCTGGGCTGTATGAGGAGTTGGCTGATGAGTTTTCTTACCGTAAAAGATTCTCACTCATCACCTTGTGTGACTACGTGCTGTTCCCTATCGCCGGCACAGCATTTGGAAGCGTGCCTCTTCTTCAGGCAATAGCGTCGCACTTCTGGACAGAGAAGCTTGTTTACCTTGTGAGTGCAAAGCCGGTCAAGACGGTCACCAAGAGTTTTGTTAGCGTCACGGTTACTGAGCGGGAGGCGGATGTCATGGATGTCTGAATATGAAGTCCGGGGTGGAGGGTGTGGAATTCGATAAACATAGCGCAGCACGGCACATGCAAGCCCCTCAGCATTACGGTGTGAATAGATCTGACAGAGGATTATAGGCGGTGTTAAGGTAATCATCATAGGAATGCTAATGACTGCGGATGATGAGTGACGGGTACAACCGCAACACCGGAAGGACACGAAAGAACTGTCCGTCACGTGTGTCTTTGTTGCCTGTCGAAACTGAACGCACGTCTTGGTGAATTTGCACCCAAGCCGCGCCCCTTTCACTCGACCTCGCGCCGCGGATATCATACCTCACCAGAACTGGCAGAACCGATTGGGCACCTGGAGAAACCCGTGTGTGAGTAGTTTCCCAGTTTCTGATCCTTCCGAGCCCATCATTTGAGCATCAGCAGCTGAGCAGCGTTGTGCCGGAGGCACCGCGTTGCATATGAGGCGAAACGCGTCTCGGGTCACGGCCTAGCAATTGAGAAGACAACCGAGCCCAAACACCCCCTGTTCAAAAAAACCCCGGATCCACCTGAGTCCTGCTCACCACCCGTTATTTGCTCCATGCAACCGCCTGGCAATCCCGTCCGAGGTTGGGGATTTCCTTTGTCGACTGACTCGATCTTCCCTTCTTCAAACGGGGGATTTCCTTCCTTTGGGGCCGCGTGCTAATAATTTTTTGATGGAAACCGCAGCCATGTCGACCAACTCTGGAAACAGCGGAGTCAAGAACCTTCGGGCAATGTTCGAGAACAAAGCCGGCGATCAATCCACCTCTCCCCCAAGTCGAGGCCGCTCTCCAAATCCCTCCGAGATATCCAACAACAGTAGACCTGTCAGTAAGGTCCGAGCAAGCTTCGTTGCAGTTGAAAGGCCCAACGAGAACGGAGGCGCGCCCCTGATAGGCCTGAGGAGGGCAAGTGAAGTGAGCAGCATGGGTGAGATTAAAGAAAATGTGATTGAGGACACGGAGACCACAGAAAAGTCGCCAGTGCTCGCCGTCACTACAAAGAAGGAGGATGCAAAAACAGATCCACAAACAGCACCCGGTGCAAATAATGGCACGGTTGAAGGTGGATTGGGTACCATTCTGAAGGGGTCTGCTTTTGTAGAGAACACTCCTACAAGACCATCAACGGAAGCAAAACATCTGGTTGAGGCAATCTCGTCTGGTCGGATACAGGAGAAAATACCTCGACCGCCGTCAAAACCAGGAAACGAGTCTGATGCGGCAGAAATGGTCAAGAAAATACAGGCAAAAGATGGTATCGTACCAGGACCACCTCCGACCACTACCCTCAAGACCACGAAAGATGCGCAGCCAGTCAAGCCCCCGCCTACGAGACAACAGATCAATATCAAGCCTATTCCTAAATCACCCACTGTGACAAGGCCTTCCCCTCGCACCCCAACCTCGCCAAAGCTCAATATCAGAGGGGGACCCGCCAAAATCAAGGGTGTGATGGAATCAGCGAAAGAAGCACAAAGAGCTAGAGAAGCAGCAAGATTACACACCGAGAAATCGGAAAAGCCACAAGCATCAGCACCACCGAAGATAGACACTAGTGCAAAGTCGAGCAAAAAGGATCAGGCCCCTGTGACCCCTAAAGCTATCAGATCACCCACTACAGTCAAACCAAAAGCCCCTACCGTACCTGTTAAACTCCCCACTGCGGCAACCGCCACTACAGCTTCAACAGCTGCGAAGCATGATGCACAGCACTCACCAACTGAGACCGATCGCAAACCAGTGGCAAAGAAACCGGCTACGTCCTCGACACGACAACCTCGGGCCAGTAGCTCAGCCAGCACGTTTTCGTTGGCAAAGAAGGCTTCCCGCACATCACTCACGAACGGCCACGATAGACCGAAGTCTCGAGTCAGCGCGGCGAGACCAGACGAGGGATTTCTGGCTAGAATGATGAGACCTACAGCAAGCAGTGCGCAAAAGGTCCACGAAAAGGTGCAGGTCAGTAGTCCACCTAAGCACAAAGCAGTGGCTCCAACCAAGGCTAGACAGCCTGTCAAGGAGAAGTCACAGGAGACAACACGTGTTGAAACGCCTACCATGGTCGAAGAGAACAAAGAGAACTACTCCGATCTTGATGCGAATACTCTGCCCGATATAGCACACCCTTCACCACTGGAAGTTGTCAAGGAGGATCCGATGAACGGCCGTGTCGAAACAGAGCCACCAGCCCCTGAGCCGGTGGAGCCGGCACAGCAGGCCAGCGGTGAGATTGACGAGCTGGATTAGAAGGGAACAGTCCATTTTGGTCAGATTCATTTCAAAATGACCCAGTTTCATTTGTGATACTTCACCTATCAGCGATTTAGCGGTTCCTGGTATTGACAGCAATTTGGTTTCCTGCTGGCATTCGAATGTCATTGATATTATCCCATATTCGGCGTCTTCCTGTTCCTCGATACTGCTGTTCCTGCTTTGCGTGCGGACGCAAGAATTTTGGTCTGCTGAAAAGGACAAACTTGAGGTCCTACTGGCTTTTCTCATTTTTCCTACTTCTAGTCCTCGGGCCTCGTCGCACTCCAATCGAGAGAAGTGAGCGATGTCAGCCACATAGGTAAGCAAGCATCAGCCTTTGGTCGACCTATTCTATCAGAAACTCGTGGTGAAATACGCAGTCTGCGCTGACAGCCTTGCCAGCCTTGTGATTGTCCGAAAATGGTATAGCGCCATTCTGGTTATTGATCTACACATCCGGCCTCACAATGGCCCATTCGGTCCTATTCAAGTCGACTTCCGGTTTAGCCTACAGGTCTGATGCCTATTCAAGTCGATATTGAGTCTAGCCTGAGCTTGGCATCACAGACTTCTTTGCGTTGCTCCTTTGATGCGTCTTCCCTTTTGCGATTCTTATTCACCTCTCCTTGCGGACTGTCCTTGGTGCGATTCCTTTCTCCTCCGCCGTCATGTCTCCTGCAGCGGCCCTACCCCAGCGCTTCAATGTCTATTTCTCTTTATCTCGGATACGTCAAAGGCCCGTCTGCTACACTCGAGGCGCATTATAAGGTATAAGCATGGATTTGCCGTCGTTTCCAATTCCATACCGTCATAAACTCCTCAAATTCTGAAACAAATTTAACAACCAGACATCCTACAAGCCGTCTGTGACACTATCGGAATGAAATTTACAGCAGCAACGGCGGCGGCCTTCCTGGTCCTTACTTTGGGTCAGGTCGGCGCTCTCCCGTCCCCTCAAGCCAACGACGGCTCGGTTACGGGAATCCAAGATCCTCCTGTCGATATTCCAATTTACTACGTGGAGGAAGCAGACGTCGAGAAACGGGACTCGCAAGGCCAACATTACGGCCAACATGGCGGTAAACCCAAAGGCCATGGCGAACACAAGTGGAAAGGCATGGGTCAAGGAAAAGGCAAGGGCCAACACGGGCCAATGCCAGACGACGATGACTCGGTCGACCTAACCCCTCTACTCGATCATCCCGACCCAGAAGTCCAGGAGCTCGGTCGCCGTGCTGTTAAGGCTACCAAATTCCACTGGTGGGAACAACAAGGTAACAGTGGCAAGTTCATGAATGTTGTGGTGGGAAACCCCAACGTTCGTCCGCTTGCGAATGTCAAGGAACAGGATCTATTGCCCAAGGAATTCAAGAAGCGCGATCCTGCTGCGCCTGCTGGTGCCAATGGTGACTCTGACTCCCAGCATGCAAAGGGCAAGTGGATGGGCAATGAACACGATGCCGGCGAGGGCAAACCTCCCCAAGGTGTTGGCGGCAATGAGCAATGGAAGCAATGGAGGCAGAATCGTGGGCATGGGCCCATGGCTGATGACGAACAAGAGGAGCAATAGAGGCGTCGAGTCCTCAGCGGCGCTGAAGTTGGAAGTTTCGGGTGATTTACCAACGACACATGAGACTCCTCTCGCGCTCACAAGGGCTACAACAACCCGGTCGAGATGATAGAGGCGCTCTCTTCAAGCCGATCAATGTCTGCGCAACCACTTTTTCACACATCAAAACTCACTTTATTGATTCTCTATTTCAAACCCCTATTTTTCCTTCCGTCGACCCCAGGACGGGGCCTTGCGATGTTTTCAGTTCTCCCGGATCGGCTCTTACCAAAACCATGGTCTACCGCCCTTTACTGCTTTGATAGCAGTCTAGCAGGACGAGACAGTGGGATATACACACTCATTTGCCGAGCCAGGCAGCATTCGTCATTCCTCTGCGCTGAACCTGCGTCGCAATAGGTGGACGAACTGCTTTTTTGTACCACAATGGCGTCTTTTAATGGTCGCCTGTCCGTCTCTCTTTCGACTTTCCTCCCTTTCCATAAGGTGGAAATCCTTCGGAAGAGACGGCGACCTACGGCTCGCGGGAGTCTCTTGTGACTGGCTGTTCTTTCGTCCGTAACGACTGACCTGCCCAAAGCACTCCCAGCTTACACTTATATTTTCCAAGACCAACCAACCGACCTGTCCCACGGGGCTTTTCTCCACGTTGGTGTATTGTCTCAATCTCGATCTCTTTCCTTTCTCCTTGAATAGCCCGGATTGGTCTCAGAAAAAAAAGGCCCTTTTTAATGTCAGGATGAACGAATGCGCCGAGTGCGCGATTCTCTTCTCCCATATTAGACGCTCCCCGAGACGGAACCAGGCGGGCGTTATTTCGTTTTCAGAGATGTAAAACGGTCAGTTAGAAGTGGCGATGGGCGGTGGCAGAGTGCAGGGTGTCTTTCGATCTATCCATCTTGGAACTCTGGGACCCTGCCTGCATGCCTGATATACTGCCGCTTTTTGTTTTAATAGAGATTATACATTTCGAACTTTGTATGGTTTGGCCATATTGATTAACCGAGGGCTCTGGGGGCTCTCTCCGCCCCCCCCCCCCCCCCC